TTAGACTCTAATCATATATCTATACTACTGAAGGGAGAACATTTTATTTTATATCAAGTTATATGTGAATTGTTGGGGTTAAGTAATGTTATATCTGAGTAATGTTACTTACCACAAAGAGAAAACAAAAGAAGGATTGTTATGATGTAATTTCATAGTGTGGTGGGAACCAGGTTAAATTTAGTAGATAAGTGATTCTGGGCACCGCACAGTCTGAATAACAAGAATTCCATTATGTCAAGGGAGCTTACTGGTGGTTTATCTTAGAATGATTGATAGATATGATATACTGACTTGGGGTACAAGGTAATAACATCAAAAGAAGGGAGTGCCAAATGATTGTTAACAGATGTTGTTGAAGAAACGTGTAACTGAAGGTATATAAACTGAGAGGTTTTCTTTGTTCGAATGGCAAGAGGCGAAGCACAGGCTTTTTGTTATACGAACCACGGTACCTATTAAATATTTGAATGAACTCTCCATCTAAGTGTTAAATATCTTCTTGCATCATGAATTACTTGATACCCTAGAAACTCATCATAACAGCGCTGTAGGCATCCATTACACTGGGGATTGGCTACTATGGTACCCTGACAGTCTTGTAGCCAATGAGATAAGCTTTCCAGGGATATGCAGTTGACCTGGGTGGGACAAAGCAAGAGGCTCATCCAGTGTGCAAAAACAGTGCAATTACCACATTCGGACACTTTGGAGAGGTTGAAAGGACACTTGAATGTACCCTGGATACTCCATAACACCACCACAATGTTTGAGTGAGGTTGATATGGTAGAAATTGAGTTTTTATACTGAACAAATAGCATTTAGGGATTGCAAATAGGTAATAGCACTGGAATTATATAATTTACAGACATATGCCACTTTGGAGAGGTTTAGGGACACTTGGAAACGTCCCGTGACCACACCTGACACCACTTACTAAAACATCTGCCCATTTCTAGTTGTTAGGTCTGTCAATACCATTTTTTTTCTGATATTGTTCACATGTTGTGCAAGCCATCTGATGTGTTTCCAGCTCCAGTCATCAATAGTTAACTTATAGCTTGTCAATGAAAGATGACTTTCAAAATAAAACAATGGTTATTTTGTGTGTGCTTGATCTTGTGTATTCTGAACGATGTAACACCTATCTATCTTCTGATCATTTCCTCATAATCTCCCAGATGTCTTCTTTCCAAATATACCACTTTTTTGCATGTCAGAATCATGTAATTACACATCAACAGCAGTTACTTTTGGGTATGTCCATTTAGGCGGAAATCTACATTTTTCCATTACATTTGAGGTTGCCTTAGGTAACCTTCTGTATTACGTAGCCATACTAAACGTAACGTATCATACTAATTTGAGGGTCCCGGATATATTACGTTTATCATGTTATGTCTAATCTATGAGACCAGGCTGTGTGGGCGAACAAGGAAAGGGCAAAGGGAGGTAGACAAGTGTTCTATTGATATAAAAACACACAGTGAAAAGTATCATATACAGTATACAGTACAACCATCAGAGAGAGAACATGTTTGAAGATGTACTGGACTGTGCCCAGTGCTTAATTTGTAAATTGGGAGGAGCCAGAACAAAAAGTGAGCATGAGAGTGGGGTGACCTGGGGGGCTTTGAGATACCGGAATACATGAAAAAATCTATAAAGCATTGCATGCATATCATCTCATTTGCGTAGTGGCATAGAGCAGTATAGTAGAGGTGCTTGCAGAAGTTGCACACATGGGGAAATATTTTTGTAGCCTAGGGTCTGGGATTTCTTTTTGCCTTTTATAAACAAATTTCATGCAATTTTGTCATTTTACATGACTGGAGACTTTAGCGTAATATTTGTAATACCACACAAATGATCGAAATGACAGGCAACTTTGATACTGACAAACTGAGAATCTGAGATAAATAAAAACGACCTTGTCTTTAATCCATCAACAGCCTAGGCCTAGGTGTGTGGAGACACACTTATTGTACAATGAGGAGGGAATTATAGTTCTAAAAAAGCTTTCCAGTTTCACTGACTCACCCAATGATGCACAGTTCATGCACCAGAGATGGCTCATGCCCAAAGCCTATCTATCTCAAAATGCCTATTTGGATGTTGATAGAATATTTTGGTAGCCTCTACAGAAAGATTAGTCTTCTCTTTTCAGCAGGTGCCATTTGCTTTCCAACCGGTGTTTTCCTGTGATTGTATTTGAAATATTGCAAAAGGCCTGTTTTGGCAGCATGCTGTTGTTCACTGACAGATTTAGCATGTTGTTCACTGACAGATTTAGCATGTTGTTCACTGACAAATTTGCTGCACATTCCGGACTGTAGGCTTTGCCTTGTAATTGGGCTATACACAATCCACAGCTAGGCAATACAAAAATTTAATAAGCTATTGATCCTCTGTGGCTAAATTATAGGCCTACTCCTGGTGTAGTATTCTGAATTATTTCATTTATTTATGAACAGACAGCAGTAAATCTATAACTTTGGCTAATGTAGGCCTATTTCAATTTATCAGGTTTTCCGCGGCTATGATTCTACAAGGAAATAAATGATGAATTGCAACGCTGGAGAGATGATAGTTGCAGGCTCATGTCTATCAGAGCAGAGAGAGATCATATAACGTGAATCTCATTCTAGTGAGAGATAGGCTACAGGCACGCTTCTCTCACACACCACAGCAACAGCCACGCGTTGTTCTCTAGGCTACAATGTTGCACAAACCATAAACCCGGTCCGCCCAACGCAAATACATTCTTAGAATACCAGGCAAGGACTGAAAATCTACGTTTTCACAATACGTTTTTTTAGGGGGCATTAGAATTACAGAGGCAACTTAAATTAACTCTGATTGCTTTTATTCAAATTTGTACATTACAAACAGTGGAAAAAAAACATGCCATGAGAGGTACCAGATCCTGGCAAATAGGTTCCAGAACGAAACAGTATAGGGCAGGATCCGGCTCAAATTAAGCACTGACTGTGCCATAGAAAATATACATTCACCACAGTACATAACTCACATTTTTGTAGGTTTACAATTTACCATTTACAGTCTGAAGTGCATGAAGATACCACAGTATACCTTCGGGGTCTATTCAATCAGATCTGCTTTAGCCGACATATGCATAGCTGTTGTTTTGGCGGTGTTGCGATAGAGCTGTCAAATCCAAGTGGCTCCTGGCATTATACTAAAGCGGATATTGTCATTGGCTGCACAGAGTCACACTAACAGCAATCCCATGCAGCCTTGTTTACAAATTCCATCACTGGAACGTGAGATGTAGGCCTAATCTACAACTCGATTAGGATGATAGAAATTCTAATTATTTAGTTTAATGATTTGTCAATTTGAGCGTAATTATTTATATATAGCCTACACTTTCTCATTCCGATCTTTTATGCGAGTGGGGCGGTGTATGCAGTTGGACCTCACACACCTCCAAAACATCAGGGTGTCCACTATTGTTGATCTAATTGAATCTAGAAATGTACAGTACATTTTAACCATAATGAGAGGGCTAGCATTTTTCTTAGCATTTTTGTTCAGGTATGTGTGGTTAGTCCTTAATTTCCTTGTCTGCTGTTAAAGTTGAGTTACTCCTGGCTGTGGCATTGTTAGTGGAATTGTATGTTACAGCACTCAGGATACAAGGAACAATTTTCCCAAGTGTGTGTGTGTTATTAGCAGCATACAGTGCAGTCGGAAATTATTCAGACCCTTTGACTTTTTCCACATTTTGTTACATTACAGCCTTATTCCAAAATTGATTAAATTGTTCTTTTTCCACCTCATCAACCTACACACAATACCCCATAATGACAAAGCAAAAACAGGTTATAAAAAAAAGAAAAAAGAAATACCTTATTTACATAAGTATTCAGACCTTTTGCTCTGAGACTCGACATTGAGCTCAGGTGCATCCTGTTTCCAATGATCATCCTTGAGATGTTTCTACAACTTGGAGTCCACCTGTGGTAAATTCAATTGATTGGACATGATTTGGAAAGGCACATGCCTATCTATGTAAGGTCCCACAGTTGACAGTGCATGTCAGAGCAAAAACCAAGCCATGAGGTCGAAGGAATTGTCCATAGAGCTCCGAAACAGGATTGTGTCGAGGCACAGATCTGGGGAAGGGTACCAAAAAATGTCTGCAGCATTGTTCCTCAAGAACACAGTGTCCTCCATCATTCTTAAATGGAAGCTGTTTAGAACCACCAAGACTCTTCCTAGAGCTGGCCGCCCGGCCCAACTGAGCAATCGGGGGAGAAGGGCCTTGGTCAGGGAGGTGACCAAGAACCCGATGGGATATCTCACACTACATCTAAGATCTACACATATAGACTGGACAAGAGTGAGGCCAGTAAAGTAAAGCACCTTTTATCCCAGTTTTTACATTCCTCCCAATTTACACTGGCCTTGTCTTGAATAATCTTATGACTTGTAACATTCTCTTCTGAACAATCAGATAAGTGAAGAGGTGTGATGTGAGTGATAGGCTTATCAATGGAATAAGGGAGTGCATGACATAATCATTTGTATATTTTTATGATTCAACACCTGTCTTTTTGGACCTCAAAGTGTGGTTTCTTACCGCCCGAGATTAGGTCAGTGCTAACAGCAGGTCAGAGAAGCCAGTAATTTTCAGAAGAAAAAAATGATTCTCAGGAACAGAGTAACGTGGACCCAACCAGTATTTAATCCCCATTGTGTAATCTCCTTCTCTGGGCAGTAGGCTGCAAAAAACAGAAACCAAAACCTATTCTGCAGACTATTTATTCTCAAGAGATCATATTCTATTCTTTGGTAAAAAAAATATTCAACTTTATCTACACCAAGAAAGGTCTACTTCAATAAGATGCTTTTACTTATCTGAAACCTTCCACCTGCATGTACAGAACAATACTAAACTGAGGTTTAGACCAAGCCTCTTAGTTCTTCTTACAGAGGTAACAGTAGTGGTTGAGTTTTTGTGGTCACATGGTGACTACTGTGTGCCAGGGACTGGTCCAAGTTGCCCTCCTGCCCAGCACAGGGCAACGCCAAAGGCTGTGGTGCCCAGTACTGCCAGGCTGGCCTTCAGCACGGCACCGGGAGGCCTGTGGAAGTTGGCAGGGCCCATGGTGGCCAACATGGCTGCTGTCACAGTCAGGGTGAACAAGATGGACACTACTGTGTTTATGGCCACGATCTGACCAAATTTAGCAAAAGGCACGATGACACAGAAGAAGAGAGGGACAGTGGAAATGACCGTGGTGACAGCACTGGACACTATGGCAACTCCCACGTGGTTCACTGCATCTAAGGTCCGTCTCTGCCTTTTAGCTGACAGATCCTGAGAATATCAACAGATTTATATAATGAGTCTTTTCTCTTTATGCATTATAACCCTCAGCCGTATTCCATTAAACCCGGTGGCATTCATGACTTTTAAGTAAACAGAATATTCGAAAGGCAAATCCTTCATTCTACTGTAAGAGAGTTTGGCTCTCTTACAGTAGAATATATAATATGTAAATTAAATTCCTTATGTGCCAATAATAGATACAGTGGGGAAAAAATATATTTAGTCAGCCACCAATTGTGCAAGTTCTCCCACTTAAAAAGATGAGAGAGGCCTGTAATTTTCATCATAGGTACACGTCAACTATGACAGACAAATTGAGAATTTTTTTCTCCAGAAAATCACATTGTAGGATTTTTTATGAATTTATTTGCAAATTATGGTGGAAAATAAGTATTTGGTCACCTACAAACAAGCAAGATTTCTGGCTCTCACAGACCTGTAACTTCTTCTTTAAGAGGCTCCTCTGTCCTCCACTCGTTACCTGTATTAATGGCACCTGTTTGAACTTGTTATCAGTATAAAAGACACCTGTCCACAACCTCAAACAGTCACACTCCAAACTCTACTATGGCCAAGACCAAAGAACTGTCAAAGGACACCAGAAACAAAATTGTAGACCTGCACCAGGCTGGGAAGACTGAATCTGCAATAGGTAAGCAGCTTGGTTTGAAGAAATCAACTGTGGGAGCAATTATTAGGAAATGGAAGACATACAAGACCACTGATAATCTCCCTCGATCTGGGGCTCCACGCAAGATCTCACCCCGTGGGGTCAAAATGATCACAAGAACGGTGAGCAAAAATCCCAGAACCACACGGGGGGACCTAGTGAATGACCTGCAGAGAGCTGGGACCAAAGTAACAAAGCCTACCATCAGTAACACACTACTCCGCCAGGGACTCAAATCCTGCAGTGCATAGACGTGTCCCCCTGCTTAAGCCAGTACATGTCCAGGCCCGTCTGAAGTTTGCTAGAGTGCATTTGGATGATCCAGAAGATGATTGGGAGAATGCCATATGGTCAGATGAAACCAAAATATAACTTTTTGGTAAAAACTCAACTCATCGTGTTTGGAGGACAAAGAATGCTGAGTTGCATCCAAAGAACACCATACCTACTGTGAAGCATGGGGGTGGAAACATCATGCTTTGGGGCTGTTTTTCTGCAAAGGGACCAGGACGACTGATCCGTGTAAAGGAAAGAATGAATGGGGCCATGTATCGTGAGATTTTGAGTGAAAACCTCCTTCCATCAGCAAGGGCATTGAAGATGAAACGTGGCTGGGTCTTTCAGCATGACAATGATCCCAAACACACCGCCCGGGCAACGAAGGAGTGGCTTCGTAAGAAGCATTTCAAGGTCCTGGAGTGGCCTAGCCAGTCTCCAGATCTCAACCCCATAGAAAATCTTTGGAGGGAGTTGAAAGTCCGTGTTGCCCAGCGACAGCCCCAAAACATCACTGCTCTAGAGGAGATCTGCATGGAGGAATGGGCCAAAATACCAGCAACAGTGTGTGAAAACCTTGTGAAGACTTACACCCTTTGATCTGTGTCATTGCCAACAAAGGGTATATAACAAAGTATTGAGAAACTTTTGTTATTGACCAAATACTTATTTTCCACCATAATTTGCAAATAAATTCATTAAAAATCCTACAATGTGATTTTCTGGATTTTTTTCTCATTTTGTATGTCATAGTTGACGTGTACCTATGATGAAAATTACAGGCCTCTCTCATCTTTTTAAGTGGGAGAACTTGCACAATTGGTGGCTGACTAAATACTTTTTTCCCCCACTGTACATATCAGATTGTGTTGTACGTACCATAGTGTGTCCTAGTGTGGCTGGTAAGGTCTCCCCAGCCAGCAGGTAGCCCTCCACCAGGTGCAGGCAGTAGTCCACTGAGGAGCCCACTAGGATGGACAGAGAGATGGCCTCCACAGCCCCCAACTCCCAGCCCAGCCAGTACATGATGGCCACCACCAGACAGATGACCCCTGCATATGGTCAAGAGATCACAGTCACACACTGACAGACAGATGACCCCCTAATCCTCCCACGGCTAAAACCACAGAACATACAGTATGTACATTACAACAGTTAATTACTGCCTCTTACGTTATTCCCAATAACACATCAATACTGCATTGTATCAAATTATTGGAGACCTTTCTCTGCAGTCTATTCACAATGGACCATCCTGATAAAAATACAGGCATGATCAGCAGTGTCTTACCCAGGATGGTGAGCAGTATAGGCAGCAGCAGAAGTGTATGGGCAGTGAAAACAGACACAGCTGCCACACAGATGGCCAGGGACAGGAGCAGACTGCAGAGGGCGCTCTCCACACCTACATAAAACCCAGGAAGGAGTCAGTCAGCACAGGAAAGTTACATTCCCAGAAGGACTGAAATAATAATATTTTACATATGATCATATTTATTAGCTGCTCGACAGGTAGTCAAAAAAATGGATTGTGCCCTGGGTATGGAACAGCTGTGTCCTCCGGCTTCTCCACTTGCCTATGATTTCCATAAAGATCTGCTTCCAGTGCTCACAGGTCTGGAAACCTCTCCGTAGAGCAGAGGATTCTGGGAGAGCTGAGAGCTGCTCTTGTAGGAAGGTCTCCCACTGGAGGAAGTCTGAGCGAGTCTGGAAAGAGGATTTCCCCTTGTAGGTGGTCTTAGGAACAGACAGATGAAAAATACATGAGCTCTGTTACTGGCACAGACCTGAGTTATAACATTAGAGGTGGTAGTATACACCAAGGACAACAGTGGCTGGCACTCACAGACTCAAAGGCCATGGAGAGCCAGCGCACTCTGCCACCGTGCGTCCCCACGGCCCCATGGGACAGCTGGCCTGGCAGCAGGTTGGGCTCAGGGAGGGAGTGGCAGTCTGGGTGGAGTAAGGGCAGGATAGAAGAAAGCTTGTTGCCTGAAGAGAGAGAGAGAATAAATGTAACTCATATCAAACATGGTTTGTGTATGTGTGCTGTTAGATGTGTTAGACTGTCTGTGCAGTTTTTACCGGAGGGTAAACATTGGGCTCCTCCCGGCTTCACAAGCTGTTTATTAGCACTGATGACTTTACAGATTTGGCAGAGGTGGCCAATCTCTTGGAAGATATCAAAGTTTGGATCAAATATCACACTGCCCTTTGGAGAGAATTTGAGAACAAATCAATACCACTAAAACAGTATTGATTATTAAATTACACCTTCATATTGTTATTGTCTCGCAGTTGGCCCCTCACCATGTCCCCAATGACGTGGTTGTCTGTGCGTTGGGTGCGGTTGACTCCCAGTATTCCAAACACCACAAACACCATGGCACCAGTGTCAACCAGAGGACGGACTGCTGGCTGGCCACAGCCACCTCCACTACAGGGGTTAAAACCGGAGGTCTTGGACCTTTTGGTTGAGGTGGAATCTTTTAAACAAGGTACAAATGAGGAAAAAAGGTCACTCCCTCACATTCATAAGCAACAAATCATAGTACATGCTTGTATTTCAAACCAATGCTGAGTATTCATGCAGTTCACTGATATCTTCTGGCTCCAGATGTTCTCCCGCTCTTACCTGTGGGGAGCGGTGTGTAGAAGGAGCCTCGTGTGGGTCCGTCAGGCCCGGAGCTGATCACACAACCAGGTGGTTCTGCACACACTCGGCTGGGATGAGGACTAAGCTTGTGCTGGGCAAAGTACAGCCTCCTGGGAGGCACAAGGACAGCTGTGTCAACAACTTGACCACAAACAGCTTGACTGTTCTCTATTCCTCCATCATCTGTCCCTCGTCATTCCTTTTACCTGCTGTGCTGCTGCTCAGCCGATGCCACATAGAAGCTGAACTCTGACCTCCAGCCGTGGCGTGGGTCACATGACTGGGAAGTGATCAACCAGCGAGGGTGGGGGTGGTACACATGGGACACGCACACAGTCATGTGCATGCTGAAGTTGCTGTGAGGTTCAATGTACGCCTGTTTAGAGACACCAGAAGTTATATGATGAAGCTGACTACCAGAGGTTAGATATTAGATCATAACCCAGTAATAACACGTTTTTGAGGGTCATCTAACCTGAAAGGATGGAACTTCTCCATTCTTGGGACTGAGGCCTTTCCAAGGCGAGGGCATGCTAGTATTCAGAGAGAAGCGGTACAGAGTGATAGAAGTGCCCATATCCAGCTTAGAGACATACACTGTCAGCAGAGGCCCTGTCATGAAAGGATACAGTAGTAGTAGTAGCAGTAGATAAATAGAGGCACACATTCAAACATTGCCAGGTATATATTCATGTGGATCCTATTTAGATATGTTAACATTCTATCCAGTACCTGTTGTGATGGAGGAAGTGCTTGGTGTGATTGGGCTCTGTAGAGTTGAGTTTGAAGGGCTCTGTGTATGTTGTTGGGGGTGAAACCCAGCCATGGAGGGGGTAGTATGGGTAGGGCTGTGCAGAAGATGAGGTTTCTCCATGAACAGACCTGCAGGAAATGGGACATTTCGATTCAATGCTAAATTATTGGCAGAGCTTAATATCCTGATATATGCAATGTCCTGGGAGTGTTGTGAATGTGAGCACTGAATTGGAGCATGCAAATACCCATAGCAAGAAAAATAATGTAATGGAGTCAGCTCTTACCAGGAGTCGACTGTAAATTAATATCCCAGTCTAAAATGAATTGAAATGTTGCATAAAGACATTTACAGCCAGACAGTTGCAGGACAGGGGAGTTTCATTTGGGATGAAAGTAGTGTAATCAGTTTACTTTACACCCATCTGGGTTCCATCACACTGATTGATGGCGACGTCTCACCAGAGCACATGTGGCAGGATACGCCCTGGGCACTGAGGTTGTTCCTCAGTCCCAGTAGAGTCTGGAGGTTGGTGTCTGGACGAAACAGTAACGGGGCGTGAGTTGCCGGCCGCAGGAGGCAGCAGCAGCCAGCAGACAGCAACAGGACCAGGATGTAGATTCCTATGGGCAGCAAGACAAAGACTGGCCTGTAAGATGGGCAGTTCAGATGGGGTAGATCACTGAGGGGAGAAGAATATGATTAAATTGCTTTTTTGTGAAGAGGATTCAGGGATAGACAATACAAAACACTCATGGATATTGCTGATAAAAGTTGAAAAAGGAATATGGGCATCATGAGATGTGGTGGTCCTCCCAACCGCTGCAGACAGACAGAGCCATTACCTAGAATGACGTTACGTTTCTCCACGGCTGGCTCTGCCACCCAGTGCCTCAGAGCCCACTGAAGGTAAGCGCTGACCACGCCTGAAGTCCCCTGCTCTGGTGATGAGAGAGAGGTCTCCACTGACAGGGACAGAATGGCTGCATCTACATCTGTGTCACAGGAGCCTGAATGAGACAGGGTGAGACAGAGAGAGGGGGTGAATGGTGTTGGGACTCTACTATTACCTTTCATTCTTGTGCCCTTCTTTAATTTAGCTCTGTTCAGATATGGATCTCACCTGGCTCCATCTCCACTGACAGTAGGGCCACATCGTCATCCTCATCTGACAAAGGACTGTGGCTCACTGACAGTCCTGCAAGTGCCTTCCACCTTTAAGAGGAAGCGTATCAGAGAGACACAGCTTTAGAATCACACTTTGTTCATAATAGGAAAACAGAATGAAAAGGCAAGCACCACAACAATAGGAACTCTGTTCTCTAGCAAAAAAGGAGGAAAGATGGAATCACACCATTTGAGACAGGCATTCTCCTGGGGGTCAACACACTGGGTCCAGATACACAGGGCAGCGGGCATGAGGATGGACACCCAAAGCCAGCAGCAGCTGACGATGAGGGCCATGAACAGGCCAAAGTCATGCACGGCCGGAATCTGATTGGAAGTGCAAAAGACCTCAATACATTTACATCATGCTTTCATATTGATACACATACATGTACAGACAGTTCCACCTCACAGCCATTAATTTATTTTGCATTCCCTTTGGAAGGATAATACAATATGGACTGACAATTCTTCTGAGTACCTGTGAGAAGGTGTTAGCAGCGTATGCGGCTGCGGTGGTGAAGGAGGTGAGGAAGGTGGCCCGGCCAGCTGTTTTCACCGTGTACACCATCCTCTGGACTGGATGGACTAAGTGGGAAGCCTGTCTGAAGGTACTCATGAACACAAACACATCATCCACACCTGGAGAACAGTAAGAGGGGAAACAGAAGAAAGAGAGGGATGTTATCTGTAACAAAGATGTTGTTTCTCAACCAGTTTGGTCATGAGAGAAATTCTAGAATATATTTTCATATTGTCACTCACCAATGCCAATGATCACAAAGGCTGCAACTCCATTGAGGATGCCCAGGTATCTCACCCCAAAGACCACATGGTAGAGGAAGAGAGCCACCAGGCAGCTCAGACCAATGCTAGTGAGCCCAAAGAATGTCAGGAACACTGTAGAGACACACCAAATGACTGACTGCAAGACCTCATGTTGCATGTCTTGTATGTGGTATCAAAATAATAAGAATAATACTAAGAATTAGATACTGATGCTAGCTTTTCACAGATTCTATGTATAACAGCATATGACCTATAGGAGATGTTGGAATAACATGCATGTAGTATCTAATGCAGGTGGGAGAGTGCATGGGACCTTACTTGAGAAGGAGGTGAGGAAATAGACCAGCAGAGTGATGCAGCCTCCACTGATCAGCGCCAGCAACATGTCACTGTGGAAGGTCTGTCTCACCTCGTTATCAAACAGCTCTGTGCCCCCATACAACACCTTCACCTGGCTAGCATCACACAAACCCAGAGATAAGGAGACAGTCAGAGACAGAGAATGAAATAATAGTATGTGGGTGTCATGAAAGGAGGGACTCTTTGATTGTGCTTAATTACAATTGGTCTGGAGAGTTGAAGTCTTGTGAGAAATTAAAAACAGCATCAGTTCATCTTATGGCTCTTTTATGTCTTTTAGAATGTGGTTCTTCTAGAGTTTACACAGCACACAGCGTATCATCAGCATTGGCAGAGGGCCCATAAGCCATAACCCACCTGGTGGACTGCTGAGCCAGGATGTCAGCGTACTGAACCACAAAGTTCCTGAAGCGGCTTCTCTGCTCCTCAGGCCGGTCCTGGAGGGAGCAGTAAGAGGGCAGCGGAGCTCCAAATTGGATCTCACTGCGCAGGAGAGAGGAGGAGAGTCGGTCAGGGGCCAGACTCTCATCCACATACCAGTAGAACTGTGGGTGGGTGATCGCTAGACTCAGAGCACCTGGGAGCAGAAACACAAGTGAAGATCAAAGTGGTACCGTCGCTGCCTGCTCCCTTTAATGTTCTGCTTGATCTCCCTCAAGCAGATGAGCTCCCTACTAAATCATGCAGAGCAGCAACTGTACCTACAGAATATGCCCAGTTTTATAAACCTCAGACTCACCATGGATGTCAGCCAGGTCGGGTCCCATGCCGTCGTAGTAGATCCTGCCTCCCTGTTCACTGGGGAAGAGGTAGGAGAGGAGGGAGCTTGGAGGGGAGCAGTAGGAGGGGCCCAGGGGCAGGTCTCTCAGGACCTCCAGAGGCTTCCAACAGAACTGTTGGAACTGGGGATGCTGCATGAGCAGGCGCTCTATGTGGTGGATGGTGCGGAGACGCTCTGGGGTGAAGATGTTGTTGTCCCCCCCACCCTGAGCTACAAAAACCAGCTCCATCCTCCACAGGGCCTGGCTCTGCAGGTATGAGTAGTTGGGAGCAAACCTGCGCATCCTAGTCTGAGATCTCTCACTGTCTCCCTCTCCCTCTATGGACTCACGACTCTCAGATTTTCCTAAATTAGTTGTATTTTTTTCCTCCTCCCATACCTCTACTTTACCACCCCTAGCCTCTCCATGCCTCGCAGTCTCTTGCCGACTCAGGGCATCTCCTCTCTGTTGCATTACTACTCTTTTGAACATTTTATTTTTCAGAGATTTCGAGTTCAGCCCTCCATGTGATGTCCTGTTGGATGTTCCATCTCCCTGCCTACCCAGCATGTCCAACAGCAGCTCCTGTAGAGCAGTAGAGTCATAGTGGTCCACGTCACGCCTGCGTCTGTCCCAGGACCCCAACTGAGTCTTTATGGCAATGGTGAGTGCATCAAACCGCTCAGCGGAGAAGTGGCTATGAACCTCAAAGGCACTGTAGGAAAGGTCTATGTCCAATGGGGGGCAGTATAGGAACATGTAGGCAGAGAGGGCACAGGGGAGAAAGACTCCAACTCCCAGGACAACCCCACTCACCCAGGGTTGTGTGTAGACCCAGCCCATCGCCCCCCACACCCTGTTGCCTCCAGTGGTGCTGCTCCTCCCATTAGTCTGTGTATCTGACTCCCCACCCTCCTCCTCTCGCTCCTCTTCTTTCTCAGCATCCCAGCTGCTCTGGAATAACAATGGCTCGTCTTCCAAGTCCATGGCAGCAGCACCTGTCACAAACACACACAGTACTTCATCATCACTCACTCTCCTAATGTAAATCCTCTCCTGTCCTTGGACAGAAAAACATAGACATAAATTATAGGTGATTTACAGAGCAGGCATAATAGTGGTTCAGGGTATTCTGCAGTACACAGCCAGCAAGGGCACAGCCATTAAATATGTCCCGCAATAGCCAAGACACACAGGGTTGTTATTCAGCTGACAGAAAAGTCAAGGGGAGAATTTAGTAAGAAGATGGACCTCAACGGTCCAAAGCAGTGTACGTCTGCCAGTTTAAGATGCTGAACACTAAGGCTGGGAGTTTAGAAAGAGTATTGGCTGCAATTTCATGCCTCTCACTCATTCCTTCAGTGTGTGCAAAAAAACTATATTTCCCCTAGAGTGCTCATTGGCGTCTTTGTCCATATCAGCAGTCGACTTGGGTTTGGCTGATCTGCAGCAAATTAAATAATCTCACTTGTCTAATTACGGAGAGGGGAGAGACGTGTGGAATGTTAGAGAGGTGTGGAATATGAGAGGGGTTTTATCCCTGGTGATAGACAGCTTCTGATAGTGTCAAGCTATTGTTCCTTCCTCTTTTCACTCCACTGCAAACAAAGGATACTGCAGTAATTTGGTATTCACGTGGCAATAATCGTGCTAACGACAAATTGGCAATTCATCTACTATCTTTAGACTAGAGCTCCAGGGTCATCTAGGTGGGGCGGGGAGGCCAAAAGAGTGGGAGCATAATTTCCATATCTCTTCAGCCTGGGTCTTGAATATTTACGTTTCCGATAAGATAAGGGAGTTTGAATCCATTGTTAATTTGGTTGGTAAACCTATGGCCGTTGATCAAGAACCAAGATAAGCATTATGATAATTTATCAGCCGTAGTAGGCTAGCTATCTATACACATTTGCAGCTGAACCTGCACATAGCCACGAATACAGTCTATTCAAAGAGATGACCATGACAACAGTGCCATGTCATTGTTCAGGGCATAGATGGACACCAATGCTCGCCCTCAATGAGAGAACAGAGCAGTTCAACATGTCTGCACTGGGAGAACATCTGGGTCTGCAGCCCCTTCTGAGGACAAATTCATTAGACAAAGGATCAGTCCATTGAGAGGGGAGAGGGAGGGAAGGAGAAAAAGAGGGGAGAGGAGAGAGGGAGAGAAAGAGGGTAAATGAGAGGGAGGAGGAAGGGAGCACCTTACATTACAACATCAACAAATATGAAAGGCAGCTTTGTGTGGTTTAATATTCAAGGCAGTCTAAAATTAGCTAGCTCTGTACATTTCCATACCTGCCATGTTTGTTTCCACATCCCTGGAATTGCTGATCAGTTGTGGTGAAACACCATGCTGGCCCCTCACACTTACACCACTCTTCAGTTATGCAGACACTGTGCTATTAAAGCAGTGCTGTGTATTTCATGTTAATGGTCGTTTACTGAGAATACCGTTACACAGACATAGCATGGATGTACAGTCGTTTACTGAGAACACCGTTACACAGACATAGCATGGATGTACAGTCGTTTACTGAGAACACCGTTACACAGACATAGCATGGATGTACAGTAGAGTGTCCCTTGCTCCCCCCACCATCAGGCAGATTACTGCGATGCCTCCTGGAGTAATCTGTCTCTGACAGGCTCCTGGGACACATCCTTTTCCCCTGTTGATGAATTCAGGCGCGCTGCTTTTCCAGCCATACAATATCTTTATGAGAGAAGCCTCAACTGCAGGGTAACACTCCCAGGGCTGAAGCGAGAATGAGGATGCCAGAATCATTCAACTTTTTAATTTTTCTTTCATGCTTGAGAGCGGAGGAAGTCAATTTAGGCTGTGCAGGTGGGGAATAAAAATAGATTTATGGACAACAAAAGCATTCTCAAAAGTTTAAATCAGCATGAACTTTGTCATTCTAATCTTACGCATTCCTTGGTCTGTCATTTATTTTTAGCCCCATATTCTAGAGACACTGTCCAGCAGAATTTATAGGTTATTTTCAACTATAGATTTACCACAGCAAAGAGAAATTGATTGGATGAGGTTGATAATTCTGTACATTATTTACAATGCTGTGACATGCCAATGGCCCTGATACAACTATAAAAAATGCAGTGAAAGAGGTGAATGAATATCCTTATGTGAATAACTTTCTAGAGAACTAAAGATATCTTTCCCCTGCAGACCAAATGCTAGCTTTTTGGGTTGACTTTGGAATGTGAAGCACCAAATCAGGGTTGAATGCCAGTTGGTGACTATTGCTGTTGTGTGGCAATGTGCTGTTTTCTTGGTACTGTGCTGTCTATGCTGAGTGTTAGTATCCTGTGGATCTGATGTGGCACTCTAAACACTCCCAGTATGCCATCCAACACACCCTCACTCACAGGCACATAAGGCTTTTATTTCTTGCTTTCTGGGGATGTGCTGATGCGTGTGTGTATGTGTATGTGTACAAGCGTCTAGAAAGGTGGGAATAAGGAGGATACATACAAAACCTCTCTTACTGACAACAGCCAAAAATGGTATGCTCCCGTCTGCTCTCCTTCCTCCCCTCCCTCGTTTCATACTTTCCCCATCTCATCCAATATGGATTTCAGTTTCTCCTGCCCCACAGATTCAGCATGGTTTAAATTCACAGAGCATGCAACATCATTTAAAGGGACATTAATCTCAGCCCAGCACACCAGAAGACAGACATTGCTTATGTATGAGCACTGAGTATCACTAAAAGGGTAATCACTGAGGGTGATGCCTCTATTCTTCACAGATCCCCAGGATATAAAGGTTCAGCATAGTTCAAGTGTAAATACCTCACTCATGCTTCATTTGCACCTAATGACAGTCATTTTTTTGATATTTGCAAAGATGGATGAACCCCTTAACACATGCAAGTACCGTAAACCCAAACCCAAAGCTCACTACTGCTGCTACACCTGGGGGAGAGATGGTGGGTGATTGCAGAAGAATGATTGTCTGGAGATCTACAGGGCCATGTGAAGTTTGACGACAGATTTTTTTTTGAATACTCCCATTACAGCAAGCCAAGGTCTCTGAAGATTCTCTATCCACCTGGGAGCTCCATTTACTGCAGCTGTGCTCCTCAGAGGCTGCTGGTAGGGATGACCTTTTCTTGCCACCTATTGACTCTTATTTGGCTTAGTAAATGAGAGATAATAACAGGATAATGCCATGCTCAGTTGTTGTTGGGTGTAATTCATTATTTAAGCATCTGTTAATTATAAATAAAAAAAAGAGAGATTTAGTGTACGGCAGAGCCGGAGAATTTTACCTGAGCTTGAAGAGTAGAGGTATGAACTGATGGGATGTGCAGCCCTATGGGGTCCTCTGAGGATGCATACCTGTGCTGAACAATTTCATTTCAAACTTGTTCTCCAGATGTTCACTTGAATCACTCTGTTGATCTTGGTTTTATGTTCATAAGTGTTCTAGCTCCAGGAGGGAGAGAGCCTGCACCTTAGCGCAGCCTCACCGATACAAGACTTCTGAGATTTTTCTATTGTTCAATGAGTCTTGGCTACCATAAAAATTATGTTTTGTTATTTTCTCCCTTTCTCTCACTCTTCCCTCCCTACTGTGCCTGGTTGTCCAGGCGACGTAGTCAGTGAGAGTATCAGTTCTTTCACTCTCCCAGCAGCTCCTCTCTCATGGCTTTGTTCAGGCTTCTCTCCTGACTGGCTCACCAAGGGGAGGGGAGGGGAGCACAGCCCTGGGCGTCAAGGACACTACGTGTGACAGGGGATAAATCTCATCACAGCCTAACAGGTAATGCAAAAAGAGGGCTGACTGATTCAAGCTCTATTTGGCAAGAAACATGTGCCTAACGTGAAGGTTTAGCCAACAGACTGCAGTAGAGTCCCCCTTTGCTTCCAGAGGATTTGGTTGGTTTGGTCTGGCCAGGGCTCTGCGGGGGGGAGGGGGGGGGGGGGGCTAGGCCATATCATTTCAACCCCAGGAGTCTGAGCCCCATTTTTGTTCCCCAAGGCCCTCCTGCATTCACATCTAAAGAATTCTGTTAAAGGCAATGCTCTCAGAGCTATCGTTATTCAACATGAAATTGAATTTACCACAGTAGACTGCTATGATTGGATAATATGGTTAGATAGGACTGCTTGTGGTCACATCACTTTGGTTTATTACGATACAGTGATGATTTTACATACAGTGCCTTCGGAAAGTATTTTTCCACATTTTATTACGTTACAGCGTCATTCTAAAATTGATTAAATAAATACAAATCCTCAGTAATCTACACACAATACCCCATAATGACCACATACCTTATTTACATAAGTATTCAGACCCTTTGCTATGAGACTCGAAATTGAGCTCAGGTGCATCCTGTTCCATTAATTATCCTTGAGATGTTTCTACAACTAGATTGGAGTCCATCTGTGGTAAATTCAATTGATTGGACATGATTTGGAAAGGCACACACCTGTCTATATAAAGGTCCCACAGTTGACAGTGCATGTCAGAGCAAAAACCAAGCCATGAGGTCGAAGGAATTGTCCGTAGAGCTCCGAGACTGGATTGTGTCGAGACACAGATCTGGGGAAGGGTACCAAAAAATGTCTGCAGCATTGAAGGTCCCCAAGAAAACAGTGGCCTCCATCATTCTTAGAGCTAGAGCTGGCCGCCAGGCCAAACGGAGCAATCGGGAGAGAAGGGCCTTGTTTACAAAATATAGAATTACAAAATATTCAAACCAGTTGAAATCAAAGAATGTTGAACACAATGACATTCCATTTCTCGGTCTCAGTTGAATTTCCAAAAACTATTTTCGTATCAGATCATGTGTAGGATTCAACCCAGATAGAAATTATATTTTTCAATCAGAAATCTATGTCCCACTCTGAGTCCTCAACAGCTGGTGAGTCCTCAAGCATGTCAGTGAAGGGGTCCAATTTGCTGTCCTCCAAGTGACTGATGAACTGAAAAAATAATATTTATAATGGTAAAATACAATATGTAAGTATATAGTGCCTTCGGAAAGTATTCAGACCCTTGACCTTTTCCACATTTTGTTACGTTACAGCCTTATTCTAAAATTGATTAAATAAATACAAATCCTCAGCAATCTACACACAATACCCAATAATGACAAAGCAAAAACAGGTTTTTAGAAATGTTTCAGAAATACCTTATTTACATAAGTATTCAGACCCTTTGCTATGAGACTCGAAATTGAGCTCAGGTGCATCCTGTTTCCATTGATCATACTTGAGATGTTTCTACAACTTGATTGGAGTCCACCTGTGGTAAATTCAATTGATTTGGAAAGACACACACCTGTCTATATAAGGTCCCACAGTTGACAGTGCATGTCAGAGCAAAAACCAAGCCATGAGGTCGAAGGAATTGTCCATAGAGCTCCGAGACAGGATTGTGTCGAGGCACAGATCTGGGGAAGGGTACAAACAAAAATTCTGCAGCATCGAATGTCCACAAGAACACAGTGGCCTCCATCATTCTTAAATGGAAGACGTTTGGAACCACCAAGACTCTTGCTAGAGCTGGCCACCCGGCCAAACTGAGCAAGAGAAGGGCCTTGGTCAGGGAGGTGACCAAGAACCCGATGGTCACTCTGACAGAGCTCTAGAGTTCCTCTGCGGAGATTGGAGAACCTTCCAGAAGGACAACCATCTCTGCAGCACTCCACCAATAAGGCCTTTATGGTAAAGTGGCCAGATGGAAGCCACTCCTCAGTAAAAGGCACATGACAGCCCGCTTGGAGTTTGCCAAAAGTCACCTAAAGACTCAGACATGAGAAACAAGATTCTCTGGTCTGATGAAACTAAGATTTAACTCTTTGGCCTGAATACCAAGCGTCAGTACTTGAGGAAACCTGGCACCATCCCTACGTTGAAGCATGGTGGTGGCAGCAATTTTAGAATAAGGCTGTAACCTACCAAAATGTGGAAAAAGTCAAGGGGTCTTAATACTTTCCGAAGGCACTGTATTCTCTCCATGTACCGATACACTACACTGGGCATAGACCTACAGTATTGCAATCACCTCAATCATATTTCTGTCATGAATGAGTGGTTTGATAATGTTATAGTCTTATTACATACACTCCTGTATTCTTTTTATCAATCACTTCATCCATCACAAACTTTCAAAACAAATATAAAGTATTTTCTCAGCGTGTGCGTACGCACAAACATTCACACACGAGACGACAGGCAATCCATGATTGCTAAATAGAAGTATTTTAGATAAGCCTGAAATTTAAATTCCTGCTGGTTTTCTCAATTACAACGGGTGTTGTTGCACTTGCTAGGCAGGGAGAATGGGGTTGCAGACAGGGCCAGGAGTGTGAGTGCAAGTCAATCTGTCTCTGCAACATGCAGGCCACTTTGTCATTGTTCTTTTCAAGAAGCTGCATAGGATCCCATCTTACCCCAGAATAATCCTACAGATCTACAGTGATTTCAGCTCACCTGCTTATTAAGAACAGAGGAAAATGACGACAGTTACCAGACTGCTGCGAGTTACAGCCATCTGGAGGACTGAATGGGGACGCATTGGACGACTGCAGATCTTATGATTTCTCAGATCTTACCAATTATTGAGGATATCCTGTAAAGCAATCTCACAGATACCAGACTGTTGTTGTTAGGGTTTAATGAGTCCATCCAATCTGAACAGACATCATTCCATCAACTTACATGTATCACAAATATTGGCAGGCAAGCACTTTCAGGCAGTTTGTAAAGTCGAACATATACATTTAAATAATATAAAACGCACACAAGCACACTCTTTCATTCAGATAGACATTCACACATACAGTGGGGAAAAAAAGTATTTAGTCAGCCACCAATTGTGCAAGTTCTCCCACTTAAAAAGATGAGAGAGGCCTGTAATTTTCATCATAGGTACACGTCAACTATGACAGACAAAATGAGAATTTTTTTTCCAGAAAATCACATTGTAGGATTTTTTATGAATTTATTTGCAAATTATGGTGGAAAATAAGTATTTGGTAAATAACAAAAGTTTCTCAATACTTTGTTATATACCCTTTGTTGGCAATGACACAGGTCAAACGTTTTCTGTAAGTCTTCACAAGGTTTTCACACACTGTTGCTGGTATTTTGGCCCATTCCTCCATGCAGATCTCCTCTAGAGCAGTGATGTTTTGGGGCTGTCGCTGGGCAACACAGACTTTCAACTACCTCCAAAGATTTTCTATGGGGTTGAGATCATTGTCATGCTGAAAGACCCAGCCACGTTTCATCTTCAATGCCCTTGCTGATGGAAGGAGGTTTTCACTCAAAATCTCACGATACATGGCCCCATTCATTATTTCCTTTACACGGATCAGTCGTCCTGGTCCCTTTGCAGAAAAACAGCCCCAAAGCATGATGTTTCCACCCCCATGCTTCACAGTAGGTATGGTGTTCTTTGGATGCAACTCAGCATTCTTTGTCCTCCAAACACGACAAGTAGAGTTTTTACCAAAATGTTCTATTTTGGTTTCATCTGACCATATGACATTCTCCCAATCCTCTTCTGGATCATCCAAATGCACTCTAGCAAACTTCAGACGGGCCTGGACATGTACTGGCTTAAGCAGGGGGACACGTCTGGCACTGCAGGATTTGAGTCCCTGGCGGCGTAGTGTGTTACTGATGGTAGGCTTTGTTACTTTGGTCCCAGCTCTCTGCAGGTCATTCACTAGGTCCCCCCGTGTGGTTCTGGGATTTTTGCTCACCGTTCTTGTGATCATTTTGACCCCACGGGGTGAGATCTTGCGTGGAGCCCCAGATCGAGGGAGATTATCAGTGGTCTTGTATGTCTTCCATTTCCTAATAATTGCTCCCACAGTTGATTTCTTCAAACCAAGCTGCTTACCTATTGCAGATTCAGTCTTCCCAGCCTGGTGCAGGTCTACAATTTTGTTTCTGGTGTCCTTTGACAGCTCTTTGGTCTTGGCCATAGTGGAGTTTGGAGTGTGACTGTTTGAGGTTGTGGACAGGTGTCTTTTATACTGATAACAAGTTCAAACAGGTGCCATTAATACAGGTAACGAGTGGAGGACAGAGGAGCCTCTTAAAGAAGAAGTTACAGGTCTGTGAGAGCCAGAAATCTTGCTTGTTTGTAGGTGACCAAATACTTATTTTCCACCATAATTTGCAAATAAATTCATTAAAAATCCTACAATGTGATTTTCTGGATTTTGTTTTCTCAATTTGTCTGTCATAGTTGACATGTACCTATGATGAAAATTACAGGCCTCTCTCATCTTTTTAAGTGGGAGAACTTGCACAATTGGTGGCTGACTAAATACTTTTTTTCCCCACTGTATGTACATGCACACACAAATCCATATTGTCCTTTCAGAAAGACTGAACAGACACTGTGCTCTCCCTGATCACACAGAAGTCAGTGTTTCTGCTAGATGGTGCTCTTTAAGGCTTTCTGAATAAACATTATTCTTTGGGAACTTTTCCATAACTTTTGGCTTGCGGAACAGATGCACACTTAAGAAATAAATAATTTGAGAAACTTTAGAATCTCTAATGCTAAATGGATGGAGAAGATACACTAACGTCACGCAATGCTATTAGTACCGAATCACAAATAAAGGGCTGTCGTTTTAAGGCATACTCCACTTGGGGATCTACATCAACAAAATGAGAATACAATTACGGGTACATGCATGAGTTCAATCAAAAACCATGTTGGTCTCTCACACCTCCAACATCCCTGTCATCTGGGTAGGACTAGGCCTAGGGCTAGTCTGCTGGAGTGCCACCTCTTCTGAAACTCCAATATGCCACTCTACGAGGCATATATCGGGTCATTGTTTTACATGGGGTACAATATTTCAAAGCATTCTGAGATAAGGACAGTAAAGGACTGCCTAAGAACAGTAAAATTATTTTGCATAGTGGCTTTCTACACTTCATCGCTATACCCCTCAAATCAGTGCTGGACTCAACCATAACTATCCTGCATCTCCTGACAAGCTAGCTACGCAATATCTATACATATACACATCTATTCAAGTCTTTGTGTCTGCTATTCATAAATGGGGTCTCAGTTGTCCAACAACATGTGAAAGAAGAGTGACTAGAAACTTCATATTGAGAAAAGGAATGCTGTATTCTATGTTGTGAACGTACGACTTCGTTATAGGACTAATATATGCATAAACACAGTGCAAATGTATACCTGGAATGATATGTAAACATGACACACGTCAAGAACACAAACCTGCTCTAGCTCACAACTACTGTACCCATCAGCACTGTAGACCAGGTCAAACCAAACCTCTGCAGCATCCCTGAAGACCAGGATCATATTTCAACATTATAGTGCATAATGTTGACTTTCCTTCCTCTGTTAATGTTTACAGAATGTCACAAAAAAAAAGAAAAAAGGAGAAACCAGTAAAAGACTGATTATATTTACTCGGCACATATGCTTTTAAGAAACTGGGATCATGGTTTGAGATCACTCTTCCATAAATAGATACCTCATCAATGGAAACAAATGCAGCAGTACAAGCACAACCTGTGCCATGATATGAGATGCAATAAAGACCCTAGAAAACAACTTAATATTCCACATTATAAAAACACATTTCCAACCACAACCAAAAGACCGAACAGACATTTAGACAGACGATTGTTGCACTTACTTTGTTTTTGATCATGGGTGTCTCTTTCACATTATGGCCAACTCAATACAATGGACCAGCTCAGCCTGAGTGTGTGTTGGTCTCAATCACTATATTCACAGTGAGACACAATGGTCAAAATCCTCCAGCCAAGACGCCAGTGGACAGACAAAAAAAATACAGCTTGATGTGCTATGGTCAGTGTGAGCTCAGTGGTATTGCCATACAGTACAATACTCACATTCTCACCTACACTCTCAAAGACATGCTATCAGTGAGGAACGGTCAGTTGCATTGGGCTACCACAGGTGTCTCCCGGATCTCCAAGATGATGTTGCTGGCTTTTTGAAGAGCCTGAGGAAGGAGAGAAAGGAAGATAAGAAAGGAAGAGCGAGAGAGGATACCGGTGTTAAAGGGAGAAACAGAAAGTACAATACAAAGTGCCTGAGTCTACACCCAGTAAGAGTAGTGGTACCAGTAGCACCCATTCAGTACCTCCAGCATCTGGGCCACCTCTGTCCTCTGTTGTGCTGTATCCTGGGACTCGATAAGCAGCCCCTGCAGCAGGTTCTGTTTGTACAGCTGGCCCACCAGCTCACTCTGCAGATGCTCCTTCACAAAGTTCACCAGGAAGTGCATCACCGTCTTTGGCACACAAGTCCAAAGACACACAGTTAGCTAACACACCAGGACAGACAAGGCTCAACTCAACTCACCACTAACTGGATACATAAATAACACCCCTAGATGCCCTGGAGCTCTGGTCTCTGACCTGTCCTGAATGCTCTTGCGGACGATGAGGAAGTAGCATTTGATGAGGCGTTGGATGACCTCCAGTCTCTCTGCTCCCGGGTACTCAGCTTGCGGGACACCCGCACAGCCTGGCAAACAGAAAAGGGGTCAGATGTTACAATCTTGTCACAGATCTAATCACATACAATGCTGCTCTACAGGCTAGCGCTGGATCAGTTCTGACTGCTTAGTCCCACTGCTGATTCCATTACGCACTGTGTCCAGGAGGTTAATGGCCTGGCCCTTCACAGGGCTGCTGAAACCTGCCACTGGCGCCTTCTCCTCCACCACTTTCTCATTCGTCCAGTGTTTCTCTCCATCCTGCAGGTCCTAAAAAGAGGTGAAATGAGGGGTTCAATTCAGTTTGACTGTTCTAGTATCGTGTTAAAGTCATTCAAGTAAATTTCACAACTGGCTTAGTGAAATTCCTCAAAAGTGAAGTCCATTCTGGCATGAAAAGACAGCATCACACTCTGGTCAACATTAGGCTCATCTACATGCATGAAAGCAGAACATCTACTTTGAGTGGAGACAGAATTACCTGTTGACTGTTGACAGATGCTGAGACCTGAGCAGCATCAGTGAATTCTGGGTGCTTTGTGTTGATGTAAGCAAGCTCAATTTGAACCAAGTCGTGGACCTGAAACAGATGGGTGCTCAGAATCATCCACAAACACAGACAGACGGCCAGTAAGGAATAGCATTAAAATTGTAGAATAATTATATTCAGTACGTTTTCTGTAATAAATAAAAAAAGTTAATCACAAAAATGAACTGTCTTACCATGTCATTAGTAATGGGCAAGCGCTTCCTGAGTAAACTAGTTACCACCTCCACAATGGAGTCGTGCAGCTTGGTAAACCGAAGGAGCTCCTGACAAACACACAGCATGCCAGGATACATATAGAGAGACAATTATATTACAATTTGCTTTAGGGTTGTCAGATCTTTAAGTGTATGCTTTGTAGTATGTGTTGTGCAGTGTGTAGCCTACCTGTGTGCTGTAGGAGGAGCAGTGCTGGATGATCCTCTGTAGCTCCTCGTGGACCAGCTCCACACAGCGCAGGCTGGGATCCTCCAGACGCTTCATCTGCCTCTTCACCAGCAGCTCAAAGGAGATCTCAGGCACAAAGAGGGCCGGCCGCGGATCCTGAGGCACCACACACACAGCCCTCTATTAACATTACATTTACATTTTAGTCATTTAGCAGACGCTCTTATCCAGAGCGAGTGCATACATAATTTTAATTTTTTTCATACTGGCCCCCCGTGCAAACGCCATGCTCTACCAACTGAGCTACATCCCTGCCGGCCATTCCCTCCCCTACCCTGGACGACGCTGGGCCAATTGTGCACCGCCCCATGGGTCTCCCGGTCGCGGCCGGCTACGACAGAGCCTGGATTCATAACTTATGAGCTTCTCTCCAGCCATTAGCTTCAATGGAAAACTATTCAAAGATCTGTTTAACCTACACACAGACAATGCAATTGGAGCTGATATGAGATTGGAGCTGGTGGTTATTACCGTAGCATTGCGGATTGCAGTGAGGATGTCGAGCTCCGTTAAGCCCCCCAGGGGGTCGATAGACTGAAGAGTGCGGCCAAAGGTCTCATGGAATATGTAGCAGATCCGAGCCCCTCCGCAGCTGACAAGAGAGGAGGACAGAGGAAGCCGTATCAGTGGCTGTGTGTGAGGGATGTCAACTTCAGATGCAGTCAGCCAGACTGGGTCCATACTTGCTTCACATGCTTGAGGAAATCAATAAATCAGTGAGCGGTACAAGAGCTATTGAAATGAAGCTGCAAGATATGAAATGCCAATACATGAACACCTACAAAATTACAATGAGGGCAAGAAATACAATAAACGCCTGCAACATTTACCTGGAGCTAACTCTGCAGATAGCACTACTGGGTGATTTGAAAAGTCATAGTCAATCGATCAATAATATAATAATACTTTTAGTAAAAATGTTTCTTTAATTTACAATCTGTAGAAACTATGAGAATAGAAAAGATTCCGAACTTTCGTGAAACATCACAGCACAGTTGACAAATATATGCCAAATAGAAATAACAAATGGATGGTGTTAAGAGATTGATGGGAGTCGTTGATTAAAACAACAAGATAACTAATGTAAAATATAGTGTGTCCGTAAAATGTATATAGGTTCAGAACTTCTGTGAAACAGCACAGTTAAAAAAATATGGCAAAATAGAAATCTAACTGGATGGTCTTCAGAGATAGATGGGAGGGGTTGATGGTAGCTGAAGGATGAACAAAATATAACTATTGTAAAATACATTGTGTCCATAAAATGTATTAAGTATGTAGAAGACTAAGTATTGTTGTCCATTAGTTTACTCCAATTAGGGGAGGGGTGGTAGGGTTAGGGGAAAATAATAAAGGAACGTTTATATTATATATACACACAGTACCAGTCAAATGTTTGGACACACCTACTCATTCCAGGGTTTCTCTTTATTTTTACTATTTTCTACATTGTAGAATAATAGTGAAGACATCAAAACTATGAAATAACACATGTGGAATCATGTAGTAACCAAAAAAAGTGTTAAACTGATCCAAATATATTTGAGATTCTTCAAAGTATCCACCCTTTGCCTTGATGACAGCTTTGCACACTCTTGGCATTCTCTCAACCAGCTTCATGAGGTAGTCACCTGGAATGCATTTCAATTAACAGGTGTGCCTTGTTAAAAGTTAATTTGTGGAATTTATTTCCTTCTTAATGCGTTTGAGCCAATCAGTTGCGTTGTGACAAGGTAGCGGTGGTATACAGAAGATAGCCCTATTTGGTAAAAGACCAAGTCCATATTATGGCAAGAACAGCTCAAATTAGCAAAGCGAAACGACAGTCCATCACTACTTTAAGACATGAAGGTCAATCAATACGGAACATTTCAAGAACTTTGAAGGCTTCTTCAAGTGGAGTCGCAAAAACCATCAAGCGCTATGATGAAACTGGCTCTTATGAGGACCGCCACAGGAAAGGAAGACCCAGAGTTACCTCTGCTGCAGAGGATAAGTTCATTAGAATAACTGCGCCTCAGATTGCATCCCAAATAAATGCTTCACAGAGTTCAAGTAACAGACACATCTCAACATCAACTGTTCAGAGGAGACTGCGTGAATCAGGCCTTCACGGTCAAATTGCTGCAAAGAAACCACTACTAAAGGACACCAATAAGAAGAAGAGACTTGCCTGGGCCAAGAAACATGCGCAATAGACATTAGACCAGTGGAAATATGTCCTTTAGTCTGATGTCTTTGTGAGACGCAGAGTAGGTGAACGGATGATCTCCGCATGTGTGGTTCCCACCGTGAAGAATGGAGGAGGAGGTGTGATGGTGTGGGTGTGCTTTGCTGGTGACACTGTCAGTGATTTATTTAGAATTCAAGGCACACTTAACCAGCATGGCTAACACAGCATTCTGCAGCGATACGCCATCCAATCTGGTTTGGGCTTAGTGGGACTATCATTTGTTTTTCAACAGGACAATGACCCAACACACCTCCAGGCTGTGTAAGGGCTATTTGACCAAGAAGGAGAGTGATGGAGTGCTGCATCAGATGACCTGGCCTCCACAATCACCCGACCTCAACCCAATTGAGATGGTTTGGGATGATTTGGAACGCAGAGTGAAGGAAAAACAGCCAACAAGTGCTCAGTATATGTGGGAACTCCTTCATGACTGTTGGAAAAGCATTCCAGGTGAAGCTGGTTGAGAGAATGCCAAGAGAGTGCAAAGCTGTCATCAAGGCAAAGGGTGGCTACTTTGAAGAATCTCAAATATAATTTGATTTGTTCAACACTTTTTTGTTTACTACATGATTCCATATGTGTTATTTCATAGTTTTGATGTCTTCACTATCATTCTACAATGTAGAAAATAGTAAAAATAAAGAAAAACCCTTGAATGAGCAGGTGTGTCCAATCTTTTGACCGGTACTAAAATATATATATATATCCCAAAAAATATGGGGAATTGGAAATGATGCAGACAATTTCATTGATGGAAGCTACAATCTATCTGCAGTATTAAAGCTGTTCTACCCCCTAAAAATATATCAAAAAATAAACGCCTGCCTAAGTGAAATGCATTCAGCAGAATAACCATTGTGTGGTGAGTTTTCTGTCACAAGATGGCTGCTGTACAGCATCTAGGTGGTTGGTAGATACTTGGTGGTCAATGATGCGAGTCGCTCTAATACAATATAAAATACTGAAAGATGACTGGTGCCTTGATAAAGTAGCCTAAAGCTGTTGAACTACTCACAGCTCAGATGTCTGGATGTGCGTGGCGGTGCCCTCGATGGTTTTGCAGTAGTCGCTGGCAAATTTGGTGACGATCTGCAGCAGGGTGGCGCTGTGGTCCTCTACAGGCTGGCCGTAGCTGCTGAGCCGGGCCTGGTACTGGGCACTTAGCACCGTCACACGGGTCTTCACCTCCGGCAGGCAGTCCCGGATGTGGTGCATGAGCAAGCGGCTCAGGGTGCAGGCCAGGTAGCGAGAGCTGCAGCGGGAGGCCAGAGACGGGTAGTGGCACTGGAGGAAGGCCTGCTCGTCCCGCGCCATGTCCTCTATGCTTTTCTGGGTGTTGATGTCATGCTGGCTCCTGGCAGGGAGAGAGGTGGAGAGTGACAGCTGGAGTTACAGAAGACTTCACAGTGGCTCTGCGTAATCAAATAGTCACCAGTTATCTCCAGCATAGCAGGAAATGATACACCTCAATTATAGGATGAAGCACTTTTGAAATGGCCGTTACTGTAGCTGTAAAGTTTCCTTAAAACTAATCTTCAGCACTCTGGGGGAGTGTGCTAGCCTCCTGACTTCAGACAGCCTTCCCTGGGGGTTGCTATGATTGACTCAGCTCAGTGAAATTACTTCTGAAAATGACTTACCATTTCAGCCTCTGAGGGGTGGATATATTTTTTGCAATTCTGCACCCTTGGTGAAAAATTACTCACATAACTCATACATCAGCCCTGTGCTAGAACCCAATGAGTAAGACATGGCACACATATTTCAGCAAGGTGTGTGAGAACCTAATATCGATCTCAAAGTGTGGAGACATAAATCTTTAATTGCTGAATGATTGTTTGGCAGATGCAACCAAATTGAGCTGGTGAATAGCAGGGACATTGGAACATTTGCTGTTTATAGCTTTAAGGTCTCTGAGGGTACCAGAGTTAATTTAACGACCATAATGATTCAGATCCTTCATACTCAGTCTGATAGATATGTGGTACATTGGTCAAATTTTTGTATGCCATCTTCCACTGCTATGGAGCTGCATCTTTTTAAGCATCGAGGTGACATCATCCAGTAAGAATTCGATACGTCTGTTAGATAAGTTATAGGTATACGATATAGACAAACCTGTTGACCACTCCCACAATTCCAAGCCGCACTGGAATGACCCGACCCAGTAAGACTTCCAGAGCATCTGTCCCTGCGTCCATCAGGTCCAGCTTACTGACCACCAGCAGTGTTCCCACGGCCTGCAAGACACACATGGGCACAAAAGCTGGGTAAAGACACATCCCTTTTGTCTATGGCTCGCTCTCTCTATATATACACACAATAGCAGCACTTGAATGGCAGTTCATTATGTCCTCTAAAATGTGTTGTGTATATAGGAGTCACTAATCTTAAAGTTTACTGAGGTCAAACCTAAAAAGTAACATTGACCAGGTTTACTGACATTTATATCAATGAACAATCAATACATATACACTGAAAAGACATTAAATGAAAAATTAAGGAGCATAAGTGTACAGTATGCCTCACCATCTGGGTCGACCTCACGGGCCAGTTTGAGGGCATCAGAGGTGGCCAAGTCAGAGTTGGCAGGAGACACTGAGAGGATAAGGGAGTTGGGGTTGGAGATGAAGGATAGGACCATCTCTTGGACTTGAGCTTCTATGTCCTCTGGCTGGTCTCCAACTGGAACCTTGAACATCAACAATACATAAATAAATAACTCTACATTACTGTAAATAAATATACACATGTATTTGTTTTCAAAAATCATAGTTGTGCATATTCAAGTAAGTGGGATTAACACACTGGATGGGTTTACCTTGGTTATTCCTGGCAAGTCAACCAGTGTAAGATTGAGGACATAAGGAGAGAAAATCTTCAAATAGATGGGCTCAGGGCTGATTCCCTAGGGGCCACAAGAGGAAATATGGATGGAGAGAGAAGCAGATAAATTAAATCAGTAGCTCATAAACTAGAGATAAGCCATATTTATCCACAACTATTTATCCTAACCTTGTTGCCTCCCGAGCTACGTTCAGTCTCTTCTTCAATCTCCTTGCGAATCTCCAGGAAATCTGTGAAAACCTATAATGCAAACAGAGAGATGGGATACTTAGCGAGCTAAGTCAGCCATTGGCAAGGCCATCAGAAGCTAGATAAAGGTATCTGCCATTCAACTGTATTAGGGCAACATTTTGGAGTGACAGTGGAATCAACCAATCACATTTTGACTTAATGAGGGGACCGTTTTCACAAAAACATATGGAAACTTCTGCCTTCTTGAAGTCCAACAGGTCACTGCGCATTAGCGAGCAGTAGTTGTCCCACGGTCTAACTAGCTAGCTTTTGTTGTCAGCTAGTTTGCACCGGCTGCAGCAGGTGTTATCAAAAAGGATTTTGCTGCTAATTTGTTATCGTCTCCCTTTTCAAGAATAACTTTCAACAAGAAGTTATGTTTTAAATGATCATCATCTGGTGAGTAGAACTGTGTTTTTTATTGCAGCGCGCTTGCTGTTGTTAGCCATCTCTTTGAAAATAACTTGTGTGTGAAATATTGTTGCATTTAAAGTGGAACTGACAGCATTTTAGCAACATGAAATCTTATTAAAATCTGTTCATATACACCCCCAAGAAGAATTACACTTTTCAAAAAACAATTGACAAGCGACCACTTAGATATGGTCATTTTCAAGTTTTCATAAATTCTTAGTAAATTACGTATACTAAGGCATTTGTGAAAATTCTATAGCAATATAGAGTGGGGAAGGGAGCGTGCGTTTGAACAATTAAGACACTGCAGTAAATAAAACTGAATAAAAACATAAATCTTGTCCAGGACCAGAGTCTACACAGACCGGTGCGCTATAGCCAATCAGAGCTACAGTAGACCTTTATACAAACAAGCCATTTGCCACACGGGCCTGCCATCATTCACTTTGAACTGGACTGTGTGTTTACAGGCAGTTGCAACAGCGCAACTTTAGATCATTAGAAAGCATTCGCCAAAAGCCACTAAATACACCTGAATGGATTTCAGTAAATATGTAAACACCACGGGAGTCCTCTTACATTTGGGAACTTTACAGTCCTATTGATCAAACAACCATGAAAAAAGGTAGGGTCTCTCTCCCTCAGTTATCCACATCAACAACAACAAGAACAACAACTAATGCTAGCCAGAGCAAGATGAGCTAAAATCTAACGAAGGAACATTAGATAAACCCTCTCAAACCTTTTCAGCTAGTTGGCCGAAAAACAATATGAAGGGAAAAAGTCAGTCACTCACCCACTCCTCCAATGGCATGACATCCTCCTAGCAGCTAGCTAGCTACCTAACGTTAGGCTCTGTGTTTTAAGCTTGCTACATAAATAGATACGCTAGCCTATTAGCCACGTTAGGACTGACTTGTGATCATTGCCTTTGATTGTATTGACATTCCCAGCCTTAGTTACATTCGTCTGTTTTTTGTCCAGAATATTGAGTCATTGAAAATGAAACAGTGCATCCCGAATGGAGGCAGCAAACAATGTACCAGGCCAGCTGTGATTTACAACCTGATAGTAATGTTTTTTGGACTACCAAGAAATGTATTGGTGAATTATATGAATCATACATTGAACTGGCTCCATCTATTCTGCCAACAATGCCTTAGTGTACATCATGGAACATTGAGTCAAATATAACCTATTTTTAAAATATCTTATAAAGTTGGTTTTGTAGCATAAACTGGCAATTTGATATTTTTGACTGATATTATGATTGTCTGTTTCATATCTGCAAAGTAGTTAAAACGCTGTCAGTTCCACTTTTAAACTTTAGGTCACCGCTTATGTTGTGTGCTAAACGTGAAATGTTTTTTGCAATGGGAAGTAATAGTTGTAAATTTCGATTGGGAAATGCTTAATGGTTGCGTTTTTGTATTCTTATGATTGGGACCTATTGGCTTATTATGTCCAAGTTTATGGACTGCTTATCCTTTAACATCATGCTGTGTGTGACTGCTGTCTTTACATCTGCCCTATGCAGTGGTGCCTGGAGAAGTGGGTATACTCAAATTTTGCCAAAAAAGTTCCCAAAAGGCCCGCCCAGCAAAGGAAAGGCACCCTGTGTGAAAACGTATATGTTTTCCTATGTATTAAAAAAATGAGTTCTACCGATTTTTCTGATTTTCACTCTCAAAATCACACTTCTTTTTTTTGTGGAAAAAATACCAACATTTGATCGCCTAAGTCCACAACAATGATTAAAACCACATAAATCTGATTGGGTGGACCTGCCAGGGCCTGGCTCCCCAGTGGGTGGGCCTCTGTCCACCCAGGCCCATCCATGTCTACGCCCCTGATGCAAACAGGCATGACGACAATTGCGCATTACAAACAGCCTACTAAACAACACTACGGACTAAACTTTTCCAATACCTGGTTTGCATACCCATTGTTGCCTTAGTCAGCATTTACTGGTATATTTAAGTTGAAACGTCTTTCCTACCCTACCGATGTCATTCTTCTGTTAGCTGCTCCATGCCAAAACCAGCTGAGAGCTGCACACTCTTGCTGCCTGCAGATGACATTCCACTGAAACTAGGCTATGTGTGCGGCGCGCATGTGAATATATTTGTCTATTGTACTACATAATTGATACTGTAAGCCGTATACCTCCACTACACTACTTTGATACACATCAGTAGAGATTACGTGAGTATAAGCAATGCCCACTGAAAAGAAAGTGGGTATACGGCTTATACCTGCGTATACCCTCCACTACACCACTGGCCCTTTTTGTTTTACAAAAAGTGCCCTCTCCTACATGAATGCACTGGTCTTACGGTTGCTGTCCTTTCAGAATCACAAACCTGTCGCACTGCGCCACTGCGCAAACATGTCTATAATAGATATAAAGGCTGTTAAGATATTCATGTTTCAAGAAAGGAGTGTATATATTTGGCCTGGCGAAGCGGTTTTATGTGCTGACTGACTGGAAGCTGATAATTTAGTTTTTTTACTCCGCTGGTCTCGGGAAGAAATTACGAGTCCTCACTGTCTGAGACCAAGTCAAGACCGAGTACAACTATATCCGACACTGAGACAAGACCAAGACACTCAAGATGTGGTCTCGAGACCGGACTCGAGAACTACAACACTGGAGATACAGTACCAAGACTCTCAGACAATGCAATGCCGTTCTAAAAATATGGAAACACTCACAATGTTCATTGCAAAACAGCTAAATAGATGTGCATAGCGAATGATAGTGCCACATACCTGGTTCTGGCTGTGAAGGAACGTGCCCCATTCCTCAGCCTTAATCCCTTGACAAAATATAAAGGAATGAGTGTAAAATAATGTGCAAACATAAAGGCAATATTAATATCACATATAAAACATAGACTTGGATGGGGTTTATCAGAATAGAAGGCATTATGACAGAGACAAAGAGTTTGTAAGTTGATGTGATGATTAGACAGAGGAAATGAAAGACGATGAGGATGACAAGACGATATTAAGACGAATGACAACACAACAGGTCCATGCAGTTAAACTATGGAATTAAAGACCTGGGTAGCAGTTTGCATTTTGTTTTACTCCATTTCCTGAGAAAAGCAGTGAAGAAGGGAAAGTAAATATAATGTTAGAAAAGAGAGACAAAATCTCTGAAAGACCACTTGGGCTTTATCCAGTGAGTGAAACTACATGCATGCAAGATAATATTGAAATTCATTGAATAATGTCGACTGGACTGGGTTTGGTTTGTGTAAGTGTGTCCAGTGTACTGTATGTCTGCGAGAAGCAACATGAGATAGCATTTAAAGTGACAATCACATCTCTGTTTCTGTGTCAAGTCCATACCATTTTCTTGCAGAATCCTCTCCGCCAATGGGGGCACATTAACCAGCTGTAACACTAGGGGTCGCCGTGTGACTATCCCTGATCCCCGAGGCAAAAAATCCCTTCCAACCAGGCTCTCCAACACAGAACTCTTGCCACTGCTCTGATTTTAGAAAGGCTTTGACACTTAACTACATTAATGATTCATTGCTATTATTTATACTTTCTCCATCTCCCTGGACACTGGCCTGTTCATTTCAACAATAACACATACTTTCTCCATCTCCCTGGACACTGGCCTGTTCATTTCAACAATAACACAATTACCCAGTGTAACAGGTAACAGTTGATTCTTGCATTTTTATTCTGTACTGACCTGCGATCCAACCACCACTATCTGAGGCAGCTGTATGATCTTTGCCCCCACTGTCATGAAGACTTCCTGGAGCCGGTTGATGATGGGAATTAGAGCCTCCATCTCTTAGGACTGGACACTACAGTTGGCAAGAGAAAATAAAATAAGCAATGGTCATCAGTCTCTGTAATCCCTTACAAAAGCAAAAACAAGAGACCTCTTACAGATACTTCATAAACCGGTGTACAGGCACAAGCAAAAAACACATAATAGCTTAGTGTTTGTTGTTGTGATTCATAAGCTCTTGTGATGATAACCAACACATTACATAAGAAGGGTGGTCAGAATTTGGAAGGGAGAGGAAAGGAATTCAGACCCTACTGAGAGAACACTGGAATCACTTGGGGTTGACGGTTGATTTAGTGACCACAGATATAGCTTGCTTGCTAGCTACTGCTTGCTTTGAAGATAGCTTGCTTTGAAGATAGCATATCTAGTCTAGCTAGTTAACCCAGCTTGCTTATGAACCTCTGTGACCCCCTATCATGCAATAATGTAGGCCTCATTTCACAAACTAGACAGATTTTAAGCATAGCAAAGTCTGCATATCTTTCGGTATGCAACATGATTTTGTTATGAAGGGGATTAAACGAAGATGCTGCTGGACGTCCTACTAGCTTAGCCTATTCAGGCCAAGATGCTCTGTGATGATGAGGAAGCAAGGAAAGTGGTTAACTAACGTTAACTGTTTCCTTACCGGAGGAGGACACGGTGACGACTTTCCTCTCAATCCAAGAAGAACATGCTCACTTCATACTGTAATGATAACTACAGTAACTGAAGTTCTATATTATCTACTATTTAGCGTTGTCTGTATTTTTTGCGACTACAAACCGGTTTGCGTTGAAGGCGGCATTGAAAATTGGGTGTCCTCAAGTCATTTTAGAAAGAGGTGATTGGTCATTGAGCGTGATTCGTATATTTATTTGTTAGCTGATTGGTTTAAATACAGTTCTCTCAGCATTTTGAAAACGCCCTCAGCACTCTTTTCTTTTGCAAAGCAATTCAAAACTAACAGAGTATACAAACAACAGTCAGGGGCATACAGACAATACATTATATAAAGACCTTGTAAAAAGTACAAACATTCAGTTTTGATAGTTTTTTGTTATGAGAAGAAGAAATTGTGTATATCGTTCAATTTAATTCTAAAAAATAATAAACAAGAGGTTTTCGACTCAAATGTACATGTATGAATATGGAATTTTGCTAAAATAACAATGAGGTTGATTAAGAAGAAATGCTTCGCATAGTCTTTGCTATACTTTGTAAAAACCAAATATCACATTTTCAAGTAGAAGGGCAAAATTAGTATGCATATGATCTAAAACAAATCTACAGATAACGCCCTTCACACGCAGATGTTCCTTGTACTTTTTGGCCAATTAAAATATTTCCTATTACATGGCACACTCACCTCCCTCCTCTTTTTACAAGTGACATCACACCTTTTTCTTGAAAAAACAAACAAAACAAAATACATTTGCCAGTAAATATTCCAACTCAGGTCCAAATATAATACACTTACGTCAGCTCCTTGTGACTGCAACACAAAGGCGTGTTAACGAGAGTCAGCATGACACAAGAGCTGCGCAAATGTGCTTCGTGGAAGTCCAATCTAGGTGATTTCTAGATCAGATAATTACTGCACTTTGCCCCGTCGGACTCGTGAACAAGTAGCACACCTTTTGATTAAAAAACAACAACAGCAAAGGGTCGTGTCTAGACAAATAAGATAGGCAAACCTAATCTACCAATTTGTAATCAAAGTAGTTAGCTAGTTAATGAGAAATAATTATTCGAGAGAACAACAGTTTCCCCTCTGCATCTCTGTCGGGTACGTGTCTGAAGCCAAAGTAAAAGGTAAACGATTTGATTTTCCTCAAGATAGCCAGCTAGCCAACGTTAGTTATAGCTAAGATAGCCAGCTAGCCAACATTAGCTATAGCTAGCTCTTACCTAGCCAATATCTCTCAGGTCATGTGGAAATTGAACAGTTAGCAAGAAGTATAGCTGGGTTACCAATATTTGCCTTTTCTGTATTCCACTAGAATTTCTAGTGATCATCATGATTCATGGTCAAAGCCTGTCACACATCCCAAGCATCCTGCCATTGACTTATTCTCTCATCAGCACATATGGCGTCTCGGAAGAAGGTGCTACTTAAGGTCATAATCCTTGGAGACTCAGGGTGAGTTGAAAACTTGCATTTTGAAACCTGTTCATTCCAAATTATCCTTCCCACAGATCAGTCTTACTTACTTCATGTACACTGGGTTTCCCCCATTTGTTGGTTAATGTGCCTAAAGATGATTTGACCTAATTTTGTCCCTGCATATGTTTGCTCATCAGTCTCCTCTCTATCTCCACACTGACAGAGTTGGAAAGACCTCTCTCATGAAGCAATATGTGAATAAGAAGTTCAGCAATCAGTATAAGGCCACAATCGGTGCTGACTTTCTTACAAAATAAGTGATGGTGGATGACAGGCTGGTGACAATGCAGGTAATGGACTCAGCCTATCTCTATCCTTGACCATGCATATTTTCTAACATATACAGTGGGGGGGGAAAGTATTTAGTCAGCCACCAATTGTGCAAGTTCTCCCACTTAAAAAGATGAGAGAGGCCTGTAATTTTCATCATAGGTACACATCAACTACAGTGGGGAAAAAAAGTATTTAGTCAGCCACCAATTGTGCAAGTTCTCCCACTTAAAAAGATGAGAGAGGCCTGTAATTTTCATCATAGGTACACGTCAACTATGACAGACAAATTGAGAGAAAAAAATCCAGAAAATCACATTGTAGGATTTTTAATGAATTTATTTGCAAATTATGGTGGAAAATAAGTATTTGGTCACCTACAAACAAGCAAGATTTCTGGCTCTCACAGACCTGTAACTTCTTCTTTAAGAGGCTCCTCTGTCCTCCACTCGTTACCTGTATTAATGGCACCTGTTTGAAGTTGTTATCAGTATAAAAGACACCTGTCCACAACCTCAAACAGTCACACTCCAAACTCCACTATGGCCAAGACCAAAGAGCTGTCAAAGGACACCAGAAACAAAATTGTAGACCTGCACCAGGCTGGGAAGACTGAATCTGCAATAGGTAAGCAGCTTGGTTTGAAGAAATCAACTGTGGGAGCAATTATTAGGAAATGGAAGACATACAAGACCACTGATAATCTCCCTCGATCTGGGGCTCCACGCAAGATCTCACCCCGTGGGGTCAAAATGATTACAAGAACGGTGAGCAAAAATCCCAGAACCACACGGGGGGACCTAGTGAATGACCTGCAGAGAGCTGGGACCAAAGTAACAAAGCCTACCATCAGTAACACACTACGCCGCCAGGGACTCAAATCCTGCAGTGCCAGACGTGTCCCCCTGCTTAAGCCAGTACATGTCCAGGCCCGTCTGAAGTTTGCTAGAGTGCATTTGGATGATCCAGAAGAGGATTGGGAGAATGTCATATGGTCAGATGAAACCAAAATATAACTTTTTGGTAAAAACTCAACTCGTTGTGTTTGGAGGACAAAGAATGCTGAGTTGCATCCAAAGAACACCATACCTACTGTGAAGCATGGGGGTGGAAACATCATGCTTTGGGGCTGTTTTTCTGCAAAGGGACCAGGACGACTGATCCGTGTAAAGGAAAGAATGAATGGGGCCATGTATTGTGAGATTTTGAGTGAAAACCTCCTTCCATCAGCAAGGGCATTGAAGATGAAACATGGCTGGGTCTTTCAGCATGACAATGATCCCAAACACACCGCCCGGGCAACGAAGGAGTGGCTTCGTAAGATGCATTTCAAGGTCCTGGAGTGGCCTAGCCAGTCTCCAGATCTCAACCCCATAGAAAATCTTTGGAGGGAGTTGAAAGTTTGTGTTGCCCAGCGACAGCCCCAAAACATCACTGCTCTAGAGGAGATCTGCATGGAGGAATGGGCCAAAATACCAGCAACAGTGTGTGAAAACCTTGTGAAGACTTACAGAAAACGTGTGACCTGTGTCATTGCCAACAAAGGGTATATAACAAAGTATTGAGAAACTTTTGTTATTGACCAAATACTTATTTTCCACCATAATTTGCAAATAAATTCATAAAAAATCCTACAATGTGATTTTTCTGGATTTTTTTTCCTCATTTTGTCTGTCATAGTTGACGTGTACCTATGATGAAAATTACAGGCCTCTCTCATCTTTTTAAGTGGGAGAAATTGCACAATTGGTGGCTGACTAAATACTTTTTTCCCCCACTGTATGTATAGTATATCAACGTCCTAATCAGTGGCGATTTTAGCATATAAATCTTAATGGTGCAAACACAAGCAATTTGTTTTACAACACAACACTAAACAATACATTAAATGCACTATAACGGTGACAAACGGTGCCCAAAAAAGCTTTCCTTTCAGCACCATAGAGTGAATCCTTACCACTGCTACACCTGGCTATCATTCAGCCTCATTTACTGACTTTTTAAAAACCTTAGCTGATATTGCTGACTTGCTTAAACAAATATGGTTTCTACTGACTCCTTGTAGATTTGTGTAACTCGAATAAGAACCGCCTTTTCCTTCTATAATAATAACGAATGGTGACTTAAGTTTTGAACCATACAAACATTATTACATTTATGTTCAATAAATGTGTTCTTATATCATTAACACTTAGAGCTAAGTATAAGCAAGTGCAAGCAAACGAGCTGCGATGAGGTAGGCCTATTTGTTCAGCTCTTTCTAAATGGACAGCGACACATTGATAGATTTTAGTTCAGATAAATTTAGCAAGATGTTGAGGCCTTAACTTTACTTTTTTTTTTTAAGTCACCACACAGAGAGAGACGGACTCAGCGGTTAGCCTACCATTTGAAATATTTTATTATGTGGTCTAAAAAGGAAGGAAAATAGAATCACAAGGATCCACTTTTATAGACAATATGCCGACGCACACAGTGCATTGTGCAAACAAAACAACCCTCGCAATATCAACTGGAATTACATGGGTCTATTACTGAACCTTTTGTTGAAAAAAATATATTGGAATGGGAAGAGACTGTCAAACATGGTTACAGACCCAACAACATTAAATAGTATCCCCTCCCTGTGAATAAAAGCACATTAGCTAATTATAATGCACAAAGTAAGCAAAACAATTAAATGCACCATTCTAACATTGCCTAAAATGATGAATGAGATACTAATGAGATGGACCTATATAAGGTCCTTCTTGTGGGCAAACTTGTGCAATTGCCACACTTTAATGTGTGCTATATTTTTGGCAAGCAGGTACCTATTCTCCTCTGTTTATTGGTTGTGAAGGTCAGGGCTTGTCTATATGGGGTGTCTAGCTGAGCCACAATGTTTGATTTCCCCAGTAATCCGAGTTTAAAGGTCCTGAACAGTCATTCTGAAAATTACTTTTTCTCTCATGGCTAACTACCAGGAAGATTGAAAAGACCGGCTGTGGCCAGGAAGCTTATATTAACGAGCTCGACTTGACTGACGGTTCTTTCAAACGCCTATGTCAAGCAACTTGGATGCACTCAAAGAAAGAGACCAAGTTTGTATGCTGCTGTATTAACTCAACCATGAGACATCCATGTCTTCATCACTGGAAACGATAAATAGTTGAGTTTGATATCATTAACAAATAGGGTTGTCAAACTATTAAAACATTTCTTGAATAAAAAGTTTTAAAGTAATTAAATAGTTTTACCTTTAACGTCAATTATCTAAAAACGCGTAAACGCCTCCCCAAATATTTTGCATATGTTGTAGCTTAGACCCTATTTACATCATCTGAGGTGTTTGTGTTGTGCCCGTCATCAGTTGAGACAGCATACTCTTGAATACAGTGTGGGTCTCATTTCAATCATAGAAATATAATTAATAGAATGTACATATCCCTTCAGACCACTGCAATTTAGCTGGTACATCATTAAAATGTTCACTTCCAATTACTACCACAGAGATGGCCGCCGGTCAACCCACAGTTGAACGTCAACTTAAATGGGAATGTATATTAAATTATCTATATTTCTATTATTTCAAAAGGGTTCCTATGGAAGATTGACCGTATAATTTAAAACTACTAAAATTCCCATTCGTCAACATTTTCTGATGTGTGGACCTCCAACCATCTTTGTGGTACATTTATCAGCCAAAACATGACACCCACCCTCTATTCAAGAGCAACACCTCAGATTATGTAAAATAGGTTTAAGCTAAAATACATGCAAAAATGATAGTTTACACATTTTTAGATAATTGACCATTTCTATTAAACAATTTTAAAAGAAATTATAGATTAGTTTGACAACCCTGTTTTGTAAGCTTTGAAATGATATCAAACACAACCGTTTATCTTTTCCAGAATTGAAGGAATGGATGTCTCATGGAGTGGGGTCTCCAAAATGGGTCAACTTTGAGTACATCTGTCTCCTAAATGTTTTGGCATTCAGGTCCAAAAAGTTACTTTCTGACCTCTTCTACCATGTAGTGTATGGAAAGTTTCATTCAAATCAAAGGGGTGCGGTTAAAATGTGATTGAAATCAAATGGAACAACCCTACAACAAAACATTTTAGACTGTGTTAACACAGGCAGCCCAATTCTGATCCATTTGCCCAATTATTGCCAAAAGATCTGATCTGATTGGTCCAACGACCGATAATTGGGAAAAAGATTAGAATTGGACTATTTGTGTAAACGCAGCCTAAGTCAATCCTTTCTCTATTATGTAACATGGTCCCTTTGGTTGTCTTGAGGTGCATGTAGTGGTGAGTTCAGTTGTTGTGAATTTCATCATTTTTTACTAGCTCTGGGACACTGCAGGGCAGGAGAGATTCCAGTCGTTGGGCGTTGCTTTCTATCGAGGTGCAGACTGTTGTGTCCTTGTGTATGATGTTACCGCTCCCAAACACCTTCAAGACTCTTGAAAGATGGCGAGACGAGTTCCTGATTCAAGCCAGCCCTTGTGACCCAGAGAACTTCCCTTCGTTGTGCTCGGCAACAAGATTGACTTGGAGAACAGGCAGGTCTGTGCATATGCCCAGATGTGTGAATTATGTGAAGTTGTGCCATGCTGCATAGTTACCTCAAAGTTTTTGGTTTGCTGTGTAAAATGTAATTTGTAAATATAAATATTATATTACTGACCAGGTGACGACCAAGCGAGCCCAGGCGTGGTGTACAAGTAAAAGCAGTATACCATATTTCGAGACAAGTGCGAAGGAGGCCATTTAATGTTGATCAAGCCTTCCAGACTATTTGCCGAAATGCTCTCAAACAGGTAGGCTTATGCTGATTGAATTTAGATAATGTTAAACTAATGACACAACTTTCACACTCAAAGAACAATTGATTGATACAGATACAAACATGCATTCACAGACAAAGCTTTTTTTTCATTTCTAGGAATCAGAAGTAAAGACTTCTGATTTCCCAGATCAGACTGAGGGATGACACACCAGCCTCCTCCAGTGATGGCTGCAGCTGCTGAGGAAGGAAAAATGATGAATCCACATTTATGTTTGATTGAAGGGGGGGAGACTACAAGAATGTACATTCCTACCGTTTTATGTCTTCCCATACGAGAGATCTCATATGAAAAATGCAAATCTCCCCGTTTTTCTCTTTGAAGTCGTTTTTCTCCGTGACACAAACTGAACATCAGTTACATCAATTTCAGTCTTTTCACCAAGACAACTGGCTTTGTACTTGTCAAACATTTGTTTTTGATACTCATCAGTCATGCCATAACATACATTTTCTCAGGGAGACATCCAATGCAGATTCTCCCTTGTCAACATGCCTTCCATTTTGGTTGTGTTCACGGTGTTTGTCATGGCAGTCATAACTACTATTCTTCCCCTTTTTAAAGAACTTGGTGTCACATCATCATTCCCACTTATCTGCACTACTATTGTATTTACTCTTCAAGGAGGTTAATACTTATGTACAGCATATTTGCATGAACAATGGAGAAGAAATGGAAGACAGTTTTGAGCTGCTGATTTGAAATAGTGTAGAAATGGGACTCAAGTGTGACAGTGTGTGTGTGTGTGTACAGTAGGTGGTGGGAGAGGAGACAAAGCTCTCACTAGGAAATCCAATATGATCAACAATGTGTGCTGTATCTCTCTAATATGGATAATGCAGTCAGAGGCAAATTCCTGTTATCAAGTCATATTGATTATACAAAACTGGACATCTTGTTAGATGCGAGTTGAAATAGCTTTTCCCAGCTAAGGATGTTCAATATGCAGGGCAAAGCACATCCTGCTATCATAGATAAGGCAGAATGTCGCTCTCACACACAATCTGACCTTATGATTTGTATATTTTTTAAACCATCCATGTATAATATATACAAATACAACCATATGCAGGTCCTCATCAGTTGTATATAACAAATGTATACGGTTGTATGGAGAAGTGAAATATAATCCCTATATCTTTAATATAAATTGTTTAATAACTTCCTGACAGTTGAATAAAAAGGTAGAATTATGACAGGAGTATTTGAGGTAGATTGTGCTTTTTTCATACTAGGGCTAGGCCTGTTGAGTTGTACTGTATTTGGAATTTAGGGAAAAACTAACTTTTCTTTTTTAATGCTTGTATAAACACAATATTTACAAATCATACAATGGCTGCATTGATCAACACTAACCAGAACAGACAGGCTCCACTCACCTTCTTACAGATAGTTTACAGAAAACATATAATTCATTTCCAACACATTGCTTATAAATAAGACCTTCCATAATTTTTCTGTGTCCTCTTGTAACATGATGTAGCAGCCACAGATAACTTTAGACCAACAGTCAAAAGGGATTGGCTCTCATTTCAGTCGATTTGATCAAGTGAAAATATCCTATTAATTGAACTGGAATGACTGAAAAGAAAATAATCATTTAAGCCAGGCTGTAATCTGGAAGCTTTGTAGTAAGACTATAGTCAAGCGTTCATTTTATCCCTGTAAAATTAAACCTTTATCAGGCTGACACTGGGGATTCTCAGCATGAAAAGTCAATTTACACTGCAGTTCTCCTGCCATGCTCTTCAAAAATTGACCCACTGCTCCTCTGGGAATCGCCAGAATACTGTCATGTCAGACAGGTAGTCTCTCAATCCATGTATGTTGTGTTCATGCCCTCACTCTCTGGGTGAAGCAGTCGCCCAGCCAGGCGTTCAATGTCATCCAGGCTGAGTTGCCGAAGTGAACGTTCATAATCCTTGTGGAAGAGAAAGCAGTGTTAATTGATAGCTGGAGAATTATACAATTATTCATACAGTACAAAAGTAGTTGTAACTACACAGTCTCAAGGTGAGAACATTCAGTGAATTCTGTACTTCAGCGAAAGTATGGAGGGATGTTCTTAAACACTTAATTGGTAATTATTGTAGTGTTGAAACAGAGTATTCAATGGGTGTGCATGCAAAGCAGCTTATATACTCCGAAATCAGAATAATATATTTCCTGATTGTCTTGTTTTTGTTGGTGAGCATGATAAGACCTATGGATATGGACCAACAGCTGACTACTCTTGTTAATGGAAATACTGTACCTTGACAAGCTGTTCTTGCACTTTAGCTGCATCTGCAGGGCTGTAATGCTTCGCCAGGACAGTGGACAGAGTCTGCCACACCCCACCGACAGCACAGCTACTGCTAGCCATCCCAGCCACTCCACTTCTCTCCCCCGCTGGACGAACCACCAAATTTAACTTGGCCTCTGGCCCAATGGAATAATCACTCAATCTATGTTCATCTGTAAGGAAAATTGACAAAGATGTGTATAGCTTTAGTATACACTGAGTATATAAAACATTAAGAACACCTGCTCTTTCCATGACAGACTGACCAGGTGAAAGCTATGATCCCTTATTGATGTCACTTGTTAAATCCACTTCAATCAGTGTAGATGAAGGGGAGGAGACATGTTAAAGAATCATTCAGAGGGTGAATGGGCAAGACAAAATATTTAAGTGCCTTTGAACGGGGTATGGTAGTAGGTGCAATGGCGCACTGGTTTATGTCAAGAACTGCAATGCTGCTGGACTTTTCACAACAGTTTCCCACATGTATCAAGAATGGTCCACCACCCAAAGGACATCCATCCAACTTGACACAACTGTGGAAAGCATAGGCGTCAACGTGGGCCAGCATCCCTGTGGAACGCTTTCGACACCTTGTAGAGTCCATGCCCTGACGAATTTAGGCTGTTCTGAGAGCGAAAGGGGGGTGTGCAACTCAATATTAGGAAGGTGTTCCTAATGTTTGGTATACTCAATGTATGTACAGGTATGAATGTTACAAAGAGTATTAAAGCATGCAGAGGGTCAATGTGTAAAGAATCTAATCGTGTTACGAAATGCTTGTGCTTCTAGCTCTGACAGTGCAGTAATATCTAACAAGTAATATCTAACAATTTCACAACATATACCCAATACACACAAATCTAAGTAAGCTACAGTAGTTGGCCTCGGTGTAGGTACCTGCAAGGGCTTTCCCTTTGTAAAGCAATCGCTGCTGATTTGCAGGTATATTCAGACGTTCAGACACCAGTTCTTTCACAGTGGATACTTTTTCATCTTCTGTGACCTGAAATTGTGACAAGATTAAACAACTGACATTTAATATTCTTTACTTTATTGATGAGCTGCAGCACAATTGATATAATTGAACAAGTCCTCCTGACATGCCCGAGAGACAAAAGCAGTGCTCACAATTGCAGAGCTGCTGACCTGTGTCTGATCAGGCACATTATCTTCACTAGCTAGCTAGTAAGGAGAGGAACGCGCACTAATGCTCTGAACCACAACTACAACGTTAGCTACCTATCTTCACTACTAGTACGAACAAGAAAGCTAGCTAGCTTCCATTTCATTAAGTTACAGCCCTGCTGTGAACACCATCTGTATCAAGACACTCAGTAGCTAACGTTAGCTACATAAAAAAAATACAAATGTCTTTAAACATGCTAACTAGCTAGTTTACTAACTGTAACCTGTGCCGAAGCCCGTTGTGCATGAAAACAGCATTAGCTGCTAGCCAAGCATAGCTAGCTACCGGCTCCGGTCTGACTTTTGCTCTGCTTACCTGTACGTTGCACTCCTTTCCTTGAAGTGGTTTTACAGTTAGAATCATTGTATTGACTGTGTAATTGAGAACGATTCGACGTTATTATATCAGGTTTATTGTTTCTTCAAACAGGCCGAGCCTTATCAACAATCCATCTAGTTACTTCCCCACTGATTTTACTACTCAATATGCGTGTACTGCCCCCTATTGAGTGGAGTATGGTTCGACCGTCACTTATGGGGCTGGAGAAATGTTACTCTCAAATTCATAGATGTAGCTAATTTTTTGTTTTTGTTACATTTATATATATATATTTTAATTATTTATATTTGTTCTTTATTTTTGTAATTATTATTATATATATATATATATATATATATATATAATTTTTAGTTTTAGTCATTTTGCAGAGGCTCTTATCCAGAGCGACTTACAGTTAGTGGGTGCATACATTTTTCATACTGGCCCCCCGTGGGAATCGAACCCACAACCCTGGCGTTGCAAGCGCCATGCTCTACCAACTGAGCTACAGGAGGGCCCAGTAGCTATGGGTGCAAGGATAATTTGTGCATGATGATATCAAAATTGTTTTTAAAAATGTCATCATGACAATTTTGTTATCGAGAGCATTACACAAATTAATAGTATTTCTTTATAACATTAGGCTATTAGAAATGTTGAACCTGCTCATCAAATTCAGAAAAAATCCTTAGATATAGCCCTTATCCATTAGGGCTATGTGTGCCACAATGCCAATTTGTAATATGATTACATGACATCCACGATTTTACCTACAGTAAACTTTGGAGAACAAACACCATCTTACTATTGAGCGAGTCATGTAGGCTAATTAGGTACGAGAAACACTCTGAAAATAGTGTGTCCCGTGTCCCAATTAGGTATTAGGAGCAATGTTGGGCGACGCGAGAGAACAGGGAATCTGAGAGCCAAGCCTACTGGTGAGAGCGTTCAGGCGTCATCTATCCATAGTCTTTCTGTAGCTACAAAACATCAAATTTTCACTGACAGTATTGCAAGTGACTGTGCTGCACCTGTCCATTCTTTTAAATCGAGCGAAAACATTTTTAAAAACTAATAGATAGAGTATAATTCAGACATTTCGATTCTCGGGACTTTCTTGCTGATGTTCTTCTGCTTAGACAGGTAGGTAAGTGATTTTACTTAGTGATTTATTAATTTTTTTGCTATGTGAAGTTAAAGTTGCATAGCTGAATCTCTAACAATTTGACATATTTTGTTGCGTACTATGCCTATTATTTAATCAACTGCATCCTTAGTGCGAAATGAGTTTTTGAGCTGTCTTTTCAATCAAAGACGGTCTAATTAGAATGTTCTGAAATGCAACAAATAAAAAATTTACAATGTAATACACGCACACACACACACACACACACACACACACACACACACACAAGTGGCGGTCGGTGCCGTTTAAGATGAGGGAGGACGACTATTTATTTTATGGGCCTTATTTCAATTACAGCATATTGGATGACTGTCATTCATATTCCATTCACCCAGTTCAATGTAACATCGATAGGTTTAGGCTACTACATGATACTCAAATGTTCCATATACCCATCATGAGGTTGCTACAACCTACGAATGAAAGTTTACAACATAGTAGCACACAGGTCGAGAGAAAGATTTGAGGTGACAGACAGTACCACCTTGCACACTCTTGCCTGCATCTAACCGATCTAGGGTGTAATGATTAGGCCATACATTTCAAAGGAGAGTTTCTATTGGACAAATTCAGGGATGTTTATCCCCGTTTCGTTCCGTTTGCTTCCGTTTCAGAAACGTTTTTCAACAGAATCGGCTGAATGAATAAACCCCTGATCAAACGCAAACTGTTCACTTTCATAGCCACAGACAGTATAAACAGTTGTATTCCTTCTCGCATCTACGCACTCTCCTCCTCTCACCTTTTCCATTCACTTATGAACTTCAGTGCACAACACATCAGCTGTCTGTGACCAGGCGAAAGAACCTTTCCAAGCCAAACCTTCATATCGTAACTGCTACACACAACCTACATCGTTGTCACCATATTAGCTAAAGTAACGTCATAGTCAATAGCTAATGGAACTAACACCTTAGTAAACCCGCTACAATCATGCAGTACAGTGTACAGCCAGTAAGCATTTTTAGCAACTACACCGGCAGGCCCCGGTGGCAATAAATGAGTAAAATCAAAATTTTACCTTGACTTGGAAGAGTTTCAGTGTTGGATAGTCATAGCCAGCTAGCTAACATAACAGCCCTCTGCTTGATCAGGGTGTTTGAGTAGGCAAAACTAGCTAGCAGCATTTGCTAGCTAAGTAAGTGAAAGTGAAAGTTTAAAAAATGGTGAAATATAGCTCTCTCTCTCTCTCTCTCTCTCTCTCTCTTGCTCCTCATTCATTTTTAAAGACATGTATTTCTTCAAAACTGTTCAACTATTGTCTTTCTCTCTCTTTGAGTCAACTAATCACCACATTTTATGCACTGCTGTGCTAGCTAGCTGTAGCTTATGCTTTCAAAACTAGATTCATTCTCTGATCCTTTGATTGGGTGGACAACATGTCAGTTCATACTGAAAGAGCTCCGATAGGTTGGAGGATGTCCTCCGGAAGTTGTCATAATTACTGTGTAAGTCTATGGAAGGGGGTGAGAACCATGAGCCTCCTAGGTTTTGCATTGAAGTCAATGTACCCAGAGGAGGACGGAAGCTAGCTGTCCTCCGGCTACACCATGGTGCTACCCTACAGAGTGCTGTTGAGGCTACTGTAGACCTTCATTGCAAAACAGCGTGTTTTAATCAATTATTTGGTGACGTGAATATATTTAACATAGTTTTATCTAAAAAGGATAAAACATTTACATTTGACTATTTAAAAAAATGAAATTCACTGAGGAGGATGGTCCTCCCCTTCCTCCTATGAGGAGCCTCCACTTACACACACTCTCTCTAAATCTCTCTCATAATTCCCTCGCCCATCAGCTTTGCTCCGCTCTACAGAGGCAATGGGTACACTTCGAGACCTGCAGTTTGCCCTGCAACTGAAGATTGAGGAGCTTCGCCAGAGGGATACACTCATTGATGAGCTAGAGCTGGAGTTGGATGCCAAGGACGACTTGATTCGAAGGCTGCAGGGTGAACTGGACCGGTACAGGGCAACCATCACACCCCCAGGGTCTTCTGGAGCTAGTGAAGGTAAGACATTATGCAGAAAATACATCCACATTTCAGGCAATGTTTTTATTTTATGCTCTTATACATTTTATTTATCACATACAGTGCCTTCAGAAAGTATTCACACCCCTTTACTTTTTCCATATTTCGTTTCGTTACAGTCTGAAATTAAAATTGATTAATTTGAGATTTTGTGTCACTGACCTACTTTTACAGATTAATTAAAAATGAAAAGCCCCTTTGTTATGGCAAGCCTAAATAAGTTTGGGAGTAAAACTGTGCTTAACAAGTCACATAATAAGTTGCATGGACTCACTCTGTGTGCAATAATAGTGTTTAACATGATTTTTGAATGACTATCACATCTCTGTACTCCACACATACAATTATCTGTAAGGTCCCTTAGTCGAGCAGTGAATTTTAAACACAGATTCAACCACAAAGACCAGGGAGGTTTTCCAATGCCTCACAAAGAAGGCACCTATTGGTAGATGGGTAAAAAAAACAGACATTGAATAACCCTTTGAGCATGGTGAAGTTATTAATTACACTTTGGATGGTGTATCAATACACCCAGTTACTACAAAGATACAGGCGTCCTTCCTAACACAGTTGTCGGAGAGGAAGGAAACCGCTCAGGGATTTCATGAGGCCAATGGTGACTTTAAAACAGTTACAGAGTTTAATGGCTGTGATAGAAAAAAAATGAGGATGGATCAACAACATTGTAGTTACTCCAAAATACTAACTAAATGACAGAGTGAAAAGAAGGAAACCTGTACAGAACTAAAGTAAAACTGCAAAGAATGTGGCAAAGAAATTATCTTTATGTCCTAAATACAAAGCATTATGTTTGGGGCAAATCTAACACAACACATCACGGAGTACCACTCTTAATATCTTCAAGCATGGTGGTGGCTGCATCATGTCATGGGTATGCTTGTCATCGGCAAGGATTAGGGAGTTTTTTAGGATAAAAATAAATTGAATAGAGCTAAGCACAGGCAATATCCTAGAGCAAAACTTGGTTCTGTCTGCTTTCCAACGGACACTTGGAGACAAATTCACTTTTCAGCAGGACAATAACCTAAAACACAAGGCCAAATATGCTTACCAAGACAACATTGAATGTTCCTGAGTGGCCTAGTTACAGTTGTGACTTAAATCGGCTTGAAAATCTATGGCAAGACTTGAAAATGGGTGTCTAGCAATGATGAACAACCAACTTGACAGAGCTTGAAGAATAAAAAAAATAAAAAAGTCCAAATATTGTACAATCCAGGTGTGCAAAGCTCTTGAAGACTTACCCAGAATGTCTCACCGCTGTAATCGCTGCCAAAAGTGATTCTAACATGTATTGACTCAGGGGTGTGTATACTTATGTAAATTAGATATTTCATTTTCAATACATTTGCAAAAATGTTTTCACTTTGTCATTATGGGGTATTGTGTGTAGATGGGTGAGAAAAAAACATCTAATTTTGAATTCAGGCTGTAACACAACAAAATGTGGAGTAAGTCAAGGGGTATGAATACTTTCTGAAGGCGCTGTATTTCTATATGTGCTGACGTAGGATACATTGTATCTAATGTCTGAATATTATGAATCATAGTGTAAATACTCTACATTTGGCTATTTGTTGTTTTAGACTTGAATTGTGCTCCTTATATGTTGCTCAAAGAAAGTGAGCAGAGCAAAATTGATTTGTTTTCCTGTTTCAGGGCATTCTGCAGAGTGTGAAGAGATCCAGAGAGCCAAAAGAAAGACCATATTATCAGAGCCCCTCACTCTGGATCCAAGGCAACTTGCTCTGACCACCCTGAAAAGCTACAACAAAAGCCAACAGTGAGAGAACACACCAAGGACACCATTAGCCTTGGCAACATTCCCTTTTACCTGTTCCACTTGAGAAATGTGCTCTGAAAGGCCCGTAAGGCTGATCAAGTGGTACATGCACAGACACAAACGTCAATAATGATTTTCATTGATTTATACACACTGTATGAAACTTGGCTCAAGGCTTTAGAGTCTTTGTTGTCAAACACTAGCCACAGTGAAATTACTTATTGATTGCCTCACACACTCTTTACTCCTTCAGGTCACAGGAGCTGATTCAGACCTCCTTTTTAGAGAATGACTTTCTAAAGAACCTGGAGAGTGGGCAAATCCTGGCTATAATGGACTGCATGTACCCCACCACGGTCAACCAAGGCTGCTGCGTCATTCAAGAGGGAGACAGTGGAACTCTTGCCTATGTTCTAGAAGGTAACAAGTTAAATCAACAGTGGTTTAAAAGTGGTGGATTGGGAATACAGCCACTTCAAGGTCCAAACCCTGTTGTCTTCTTGAAATTCCATGTATAGCCCCACTCTCAAAAAGAGGACTTAAGTATTCCCAAAGTCCCCAATGTATAGTAATTGCTCGAGGCGTTTTGGTGAATTATTCATCGAGCACTTGGTCTCCGCAATCTAAGAGCAGGCAGCTCATGGTCTTTAATGTATGTTGGTTATTCGTTTTTTAAGTTAGCTCAGAGATGTCCCCCTCCTTATTTCCTCCTCCCTCTGGCTCAAGTTGAATTGGTATGCTCCTCTGTTAGTGCCGGCACTGCTTTCTGGCGCAATGAGGGAGACTGTTAGAATGACCTGTTTCTGGAAGGAGAGAGGGAGAGATGGTGTTGTGCATGATAAGCGGCATACATCATGTTTAATGTCAGATAGGGACAGGGCAAGAGGCCCATTCGCGATCGGCCCTGGTTTGCAATGCTCATTGATGCTGGAGCTCAGGCATTTCTCCGACTACCCTCATATCTGATCTGACACGCAATCGGGCACGGTTGTCCAATTTGCTTTTCTTGTTACCTGAGCCCTAGACTGTTTCTGTTTCTGCTGTGCTGTTGTAGATTAAAGTGTCTCTACCTGACACATGGCATATCTCAGACAGCTGCGTTCATCTGATGGTGTCAGTCACACTCCCTGTCAGCTCCTGCAGCTGGGAGCTGGGTGAGGGGGGCTGAGCTAACGTGTGGTCACACCTCCTCAGCTTCCGCCCTGCTGTTTGTATGGGATGCCTCAGACTGCCATCACCGTCCTTTACCATCTTCCTCTGAAGGAGATCAAACAGCAGCTGCACTGTCACACACACACACACATAGCCTACACGCACATGCCAATGGCATAAACACGCACACGCACATGCAAACGTAAACATGCACAAAGGTAAACACATACATGCATACTTAAACACAAGCACACCACATATTCCTGCAACATCACTGGTGCACTTTGATTTCAAGCATTTGTAATCTGTTGATAACGATATATTCTGTATTTGCTGCATTGTATGTTTGTGTTTAAATGGGCATTTAACAGAGGGGAAGATGGAGATGACCAAGGATGCCAAGAAGCTACTCACAATTGAACCAGGAAGAGTGTTTGGAGAATTGGCACTCCTGTACAACTGCAACTACACCTACACTATAACAGGTACTGGAGTGTTGTGCATGGAGTGCTGTGTAGTGTGGTTGTTCTATTCTATTGTAACAACAGCTGAAGTAAATGCAAAACATGTCATCTAGAAATCCTTTCACAATTTTGCTGTGCTTGGATAGATTTTTAATTGGTCTAAAAAATTATTGTTCAAGAGAGCATCACAATCACAGACCAGCCTATTCATCACAGCTGAGTAGATTAGCTGTCAGATTGGGAAATTCTGTAGAATTTCAAATCAAAATAACTTTTTCAAACACTACATTACAGCTTCAAACACTCCTCTCCTCTGAGATGTGCGGAATACAAAACACATCTTGCTTTGGTTCATAAGTATACAGTTGAAGTCGGAAGTTTACATACACCTTAGCCAAATATTTTTATTTATTTATTTTATTTCACCTTTATTTAACCAGGTAAGCCAGTTGAGAACAAGTTCTCATTTACAACTGCGACCTGGCCAAGATAAAGCAAAGCAGTGCGATAAAAACAACAGCACAGAGTTACATATGGGGTAAAAAAACATAAAGTAAAAAAATACAACAGAAAATATATATACAGTGTGTGCAAATGTAGCAAGTTATGGTGGTAAGGCAATACATTTATACATTTAAACTTTTTCACAATTCCTGACATTTAATCCTAGGAAAAATTCCCTGTTTTAGGTCAGTTAGGATCACCACTTTATTTTAAGAATGTGAAATGTCAGAATAATAGTAGAGGGAATTATTTATTTCAGCTTTTATTTATTTCATCACATTCCCAGTAGGTCAGAAGTTTACATACACTCAATTAATATTTGGTAGCATTGCCTTTAAATTGTTTAACTTGGGTCAAATGTTTCAGGTAGACTTTCACAAGCTTCCCACAATAAGTAGGGAGAATTTTGGCCCATTCCTCCTGACAGAGCTGGTGTAACTGAGTCAGGTTTGTAGGCCTCCTTGCTTGCACACGCTTTTTCAGTTCTGCCCACACATTTTCTATAGGATTGAGGTCAGGGCTTTGTGATGGACACTCCAATAACTTGACTTTGTTGTCCTTAAGCCATTTCTCCACAACTTTGGAAGTCTGCTTGGGGTCATTGTCCATTTGGAAGACCCATTTGCGACCAAGCTTTAACTTCCTGACTAATGTCTTGAGATGTTGCTTCAATATATCCACCTAATTTACCTTCCTCATGATGCCATCTATTTTGTGAAGTGCACCAGTCCCTCCTGCAGCAAAGCACCCACACAGCATGATGCTGCCACCCCGTGCTTCACGATTGGGATGGTGTTCTTCGGCTTGCAAGATACCACCTTTTTCCTCCAAACATAACAATGGTCATTATGGCCAAACAGTTCTATTTTTGTTTCATCAGACCAGAGGACATTTCTCCAAAAAGTATGATCTTTGTCCCCATGTGCAGTTTCAAACCGTAGTCTGGCTTTTTTATGGCGGTTTTGGAGCAGTGGCTTCTTCCTTGCTGAGCGGCCTTTCAGGTTATGTCGATATAAGACTTGTTTTACTGTGGATATAGATACTTTTGTACCTGTTTCCTCCAGCATCTTCACAAGGTCCTTTGCTGTTGTTCTGGGATTGATTTGCACTTTTCCCACCACAGTACGTTCATCTCTAGGAGACAGAACGAGTCTCCTTCCTGAGCGGTATGACGGCTGCGTGGTCCCATGGTGTTTATACTTGCGTACTATTGTTTGTACAGATGAACGTGGTACCTTCAGGCGTTTGGAAATTGCTCCCAAGGATGAACCAGACTTGTGGAGGTCTACAATTGTTTTTCTGAGGTCTTGGCTGATTTATTTTGATTTTCACATGATGTCAAGCAAAGAGGCACTGAGTTTGAAGGTAGGCCTTGAAATACATCCACAGGTACACCTCCAATTGACTCAAATGATGTCAATTAGCCTATCAGAAGCTTCTTAAGGCATGACATCATTTTCTGGAATTTTCCAAGCTGTTTAAAGGCACAGTCAACTTAGTGTATGTAAACTTCTGACCCACTGGAATTGTGATACAGTGAATTATAAGTGAAATAATCTGTCTGAAAACAATTGTTAGAAAAATTACTTGTGTCATGCACAAAGTAGATGTCCTAACCGACTTGCCAAAACTATAGTTTGTTAACAAGAAATGTGTGGAGTGGTTGAAAAATGAGTTTTAATGACTCCAACCTAAGTGTATGTAAACTTCCAACTTCAACTGTACATATTCAAATATGTATAATGGTACATCAAAACAACACATTTTATTTAGTTATACATTTTTATTATTGCTCAGTGGCTTGCACTTGATTTTATCAATGGAAAATTAAATGTGTGCTATCGTCTCTCTACACTGTCTGAGCCCAAAGCCCACTGGGAAACGCAGCCACTGCTGCTCACATCTGACCTGCTTTCGCAAAGAAATAGGTTGATGGAATGGACAGAATCAGTGCAAATAAAAAAATCTGTTCATTTCTCCCCCTCTTACTGTGTTTCCTTTGCCATCCTCCTGTCCTATTTTCCACTGTCCCACCTTGTCCATTTTCTCTTTCAGTGCATTGCTGGTTTCGTGTTTAATTGTCTAGTACATTTATCTTTCAGTAAATCTCCCTCTCCAATTCCCTCTCCCTATCTGTTCTCACAGCAACAGTTCTCAATTTATGTTCCTTGCCTCTCTTTCTTCTATATCCACTCCTCCCAACCCTTTCCCTGGTGCGGCACTGCCTTGTTCTCCTGGCTGACCTGACATTACTTTTTCCCTTTGTTGCCATCAAATAACATCAATAAAGCTTTCTCTCCTGTAGTCTAAAATCACTGTATAACTGCAAGAGGTTAAGGTGAAAAAATGTGTTCCCTGATTTGGCATTCATGGTCACACAGGATGTTCTTCCCAGAAAATGGCAAAGAGTATGACATTTAAAAGGGTTAGACTAATATCTGATATTCAGATTTTAGACTCAAATATACTGTAGCAATCCTCGCAATATGAGGCAGGTTACAATTCCCACCAAGTGGGTTAACCCTATTGGCACGATAGGGTGTTTGCCTTTCACGTAAGTGACCTGGGTTCGCTTCCCTGCCTGGCTGCCCTGCTGTTCGCTACATTGGTGTCAGAAGGCGGCAGTGTAGTGATCCTTGCTATATGAGCCACGTTACAATTCCCACCAAGTGGGTTAACCCTATTGGCGCGATGCGTAGGCCAGCGATCTGGGTTCACTTCCCTGCCGTTCGCTACAATAGGTACCATATAAAGATAACAATGGCATGTTGTTGATTTCACACTGTGCGTTCATTATCAACTTAAATAATGGCATGATTGGGAGGGGAAGGACTAGAAGGATTGGAGTTGTACGGCCAGTACAGGACAGAGGCTCCTGTTCGCACAAAGCCCTGCTGAATCAATTAATCTGGATCATTATTCATTTACAACATCTCTGTCAGAGTTCCGTTCCTGTCTGCCCACAGAACAGACAGAAGAGAGGAAGGCTGCATGGGGAATGTCATCTACAATCATCTGTCCTCCTTATTCCCTTATCCACAACACTTTCAGAGAAAGGAACACAAACACTCAGACATTCCTTTTAAGAGTACAGGAAACATTTATAGTAGTGTTATCTAACTGTGTTTCTAGGAGTCAATTGTTTGTAGAGCATCGTTTGCAAACCCGGCCTTGACAGATGCTGCATCTATTTACAGAGATGAAAATGTTGTGAAATAGAAGACATTTGCTAAGTCCCCTAGCCTTACATTGTAGTGCAACAGAGGGTACTATCTATACTACTAACATAAACTGGAAGGATAAGAATGAAAATTTGCCCTCAACACACATACGGTATACTCACAGAATACAGAAAACATTCATACCTAAAGATATTTCTGTTTCTTTCTACCACTGCTCTTGACATTGTGGGATTTGGAAGATCTTCTTTACCATTTCCTGTCTTTCTCTGCAGCCCTAAAAAACAGCATGTTGTGGGTTATTGACCGGCAGAGCTTTCAGACCATCATGGTGCAGAGTGGCCTCAGCAGACTGGCCCAGTTCAGAGAGCTCCTCTGCAGGTAAATACCACCCTCATCACTACACAAGGAAAATATATATCTGTGTAAAATTGAAAATACATACAGTGGGGAAAAAAAGTATTTAGTCAGCCACCAATTGTGCAAGTTCTCCCACTTAAAAAGATGAGAGAGGCCTGTAATTTTCATCATAGGTACACGTCAACTATGACAGACAAATTGAGCATTTTTTTCTCCAGAAAATCACATTGTAGGATTTTTTATGAATTTATTTGCAAATTATGGTGGAAAATAAGTATTTGGTCACCTACAAACAAGCAAGATTTCTGGCTCTCACAGACCTGTAACTTCTTCTTTAAGAGGCTCCTCTGTCCTCCACTCGTTACCTGTATTAATGGCACCTGTTTGAACTTGTTATCAGTATAAAAGACACCTGTCCACAACCTCAAACAGTCACACTCCAAACTCCACTATGGCCAAGACCAAAGAGCTGTCAAAGGACACCAGAAACAAAATTGTAGTCCTGCACCAGGCTGGGAAGACTGAATCTGCAATAGGTAAGCAGCTTGGTTTGAAGAAATCAACTGTGGGAGCAATTATTAGGAAATGGAAGACATACAAGACCACTGATAATCTCCCTCGATCTGGGGCTCCACGCAAGATCTCACCCCGTGGGGTCAAAATTATCACAAGAACGGTGAGCAGAAATCCCAGAACCACACGGGGGGACCTAGTGAATGACCTGCAGAGAGCTGGGACCAAAGTAACAAAGACTACCATCAGTAATACACTACGCCGCCAGGGACTCAAATCCTGCAGTGCCAGACGTGTCCCCCTGCTTAAGCCAGTACATGTCCAGGCCCGTCTGAAGTTTGCTAGAGTGCATTTGGATGATCCAGAAGAGGATTGGGAGAATGTCATATGGTCAGATGAAACCAAAATAGAACTTTTTGGTAAAAACTCAACTTGTCGTGTTTGGAGGACAAAGAATGCTGAGTTGCATCCAAAGAACACCATACCTACTGTGAAGCCTGTGAAGCATGGGGGTGGAAACATCATGCTTTGGGGCTGTTTTTCTGCAAAGGGACCAGGACGACTGATCCGTGTAAAGGAAAGAATGAATGGGGCCATGTATCGTGAGATTTTGAGTGAAAACCTCCTTCCATCAGCAAGGGCATTGAAGATGAAACGTGGCTGGGTCTTTCAGCATGACAATGATCCCAAACACACCGCCCGGGCAACGAAGGAGTGGCTTCGTAAGAAGCATTTCAAGGTCCTGGAGTGGCCTAGCCAGTCTCCAGATCTCAACCCCATAGAAAATCTTTGGAGGGAGTTGAAAGTCTGTGTTGCCCAGCGACAGCCCCAAAACATCACTGCTCTAGAGGAGATCTGCATGGAGGAATGGGGCAAAATACCAGCAACAGTGTGTGAAAACCTTGTGAAGACTTACAGAAAACGTTTGACCTGTGTCATTGCCAACAACGGGTATATAACAAAGTATTGAGAAACTTTTGTTATTGACCAAATACTTACTTTCCACCATAATTTGCAAATAAATTCATAAAAAATCCTACAATGTGATTTTCTGGATTTGTTTTTCTCATTTTGTGTGTCATAGTTGATGTGTACATATGATGAAAATTACAGGCCTCTCTCATCTTTTTAAGTGGGAGAACTTGCACAATTGGTGGCTGACTAAATACTTTTTTCCCCCACTGTATTTGTGTAGAATTGACACTAATCTACAATCTACGCCACTATAGTAGAACAGTTCAAATGTCCTATGTTGTGAGTCAGTCGTCCTGATGTTACCTGTGTGTTTGTCTGGCTGCAGAGTTCCCTTCCTGCGCTCGCTGCCAGAGGATGTGCTCATGAAAGTGTCTGATATTCTGGAAGAGGTACAGAACATTAATCTATTATACACATTCTCTCCTCAGCTTCACTAACACAACATGCTGTAGAAAAGGCATGTTCCACAAACAGAATCTAGTTAGCTGATTATTTTTTTATGTTATGCAATAATTATTACCCATCTGCTATGCATTCTCTATTGACAGTTTACAGGCATATTTGCATTGCATTGGTGGCCTAATCAGGTTGGCTCACAGACAACATTTTACATTTACATTTACATCATTTAGCAGACGCTCTTATCCAGAGCGACTTACAAATTGGTGCATTCACCTTATAGCCAGTGGGATAACCACTTTACAATGTGTATTTTAATGTATATTTTTAAATAAATAAAAAATGTGTGTTATTTTAATTTTTTAATTTTTAATTTTTTTGGGGGGTGGGGGGGGGGGGGGGGGGGGGGTGGGTTGGGGTAAGGGAGGGGTAGAAGGATTACTTTATCCTATCCCAGGTATTCCTTAAAGAGGTGGGATTTCAAATGTCTCCGGAAGGTTGTGAGTGACTCCGCTGTCCTGGCGTCGTGAGGGAGCTTGTTCCACCATTGGGGTGCCAGAGCAGCGAACAGTTTTGACTGGGCTGAGCGGGAACTATGCTTCCGCAGAGGAAGGGGAGCCAGCAGGCCAGAGGTGGATGAACACAATGCCCTCGTTTGGGTGTAGGGACTGATCAGAACCTGAAGGTACGGAGGTGCCGTTCCCCTCACAGCTCCATAGGCAAGCACCATGGTCTTGTAACAGATGCGAGCTTCAACTGGAAGCCAGTGGAGTGTGCGGAGGAGGGGGGTGACGTGAGAGAACTTGGGAAGGTTGAACACCAGACGGGCTGCGGCATTCTGGATGAGTTGTAGGGGTTTAATGGCACAGGCAGGGAGCCCAGCCAACAGCGAGTTGCAGTAATCCAGACGGGAGATGACAAGTGCCTGGATTAGGACCTGTGCCGCTTCCTGTGTAAGGCAGGGTCGTACTCTCCGAATGTTGTAGAGCATGAACGTACAGGATCGGGTCACCGCCTTGATGTTAGCGGAGAACGACAGGGTGTTGTCCAGGGTCACGCCAAGGCTCTTCGCACTCTGGGAGGAGGACACAACGGAGTTGTCAACCATGATGGCGAGATCATGGAACAGGCAGTCCTTCCCCGGGAGGAAGAACAGCTCCGTCTTGCCAAGGTTCAGCTTGAGGTGGTGATCCGTCATCCATACTGATATGTCTGCCAGACATGCAGAGATGCGATTCGCCACCTGGTTATCAGAAGGGGGAAAGGAGAAGATTAGTTGTGTGTCGTCAGCGTAGCAATGATAGGAGAGGCCATGTGAGGATATGACAGAGCCAAGTGACTTGGTGTATAGCGAGAATAGGAGAGGGCCTAGAACTGAGCACGTGGTGCGGAGACAGCTTCTCGCCACGCCACTTGGTAGGAGCGACCGGTCAGGTAGGACGCAATCCAAGAGTGAGCCGCGCCGGAGATGCCCAGCTCGGAGAGGGTGGAGAGGAGGATCTGATGGTTCACAGTATCAAAGGCAGCAGACAGGTCTAGAAGGACAAGAGCAGAGGAGAGAGAGTTAGCTTTAGCAGTGCGGAGAGCCTCCGTGACACAGAGAAGAGCAGTCTCAGTTGAATGACCAGTCTTGAAACCTGACTGGTTTGGATCAAAAAGGTCATTCTGAGAGAGATAGCAAGAGAGTTGGCTAAAGACGGCACGCTCAATAGTTTTGGAGAGAAAAGAAAGAAGGGATACTGGTCTGTAGTTGTTGACATCAGAGGGATCGAGTGTTGGTTTTTTGAGAAGGGGTGCAACTCTCGCTCTCTTGAAGACGGAAGGGACATAGCCAGATTCATTATTACATAATATGGTTTAGTGCCCATTTAAGTTTTTATAGGCCTACTTGTTTTTTGGGGTTCAGCTTTCTTCTTCCTTTTAGTTCGGAAGGGACATAGCCAGCGGTCAAGGATGAGTTGATCAGCGAGGTGAGGTAGGGGAGAAGGTCACCGGAGATGGTCTGGAGAAGAGAGGAGGGGATAGGGTCAAGCGGGCAGGTTGTTGGGCGGCCTGCCGTCACAAGTCGCAAGATTTTATCTGGAGAGAGAGGGGAGAAAGAAGTCAAAGCATAGGGTAGGGCAGTGTGAGCAGGACCAGCAGTGTCATTTGACTTAACAAACGAGGATCGGATGTCGTCAACCTTCTTTTCAAAGTGGTTGACGAAGTCATCCACAGAGAGGGAGGAGGGGGGGGGGGGGGGATTCAGCAGGGAGGAGAATGTGGCAAAGAGCTTCCTAGGGTTAGAGGCAGATGCTTGGAATTTAGCGTGGTAGAAAGTGGCCTTAGCAGCAGAAACAGATGAAGAAAATGTAGAGAGGAGGGAGTGAAAAGATGCCAGGTCCGCAGGGAGTCTAGTTTTCTTCCATTTCCGCTCAGCTGCCCGGAGCTCTGTTCTGTGAGCTCGCAATGAGTCATCAAGCCACGGAGCTGGAGGGGAGGACCGAGCCGGCCGGGAGGATAGGGGACATAGAGAGTCAAAGGATGCAGAAAGGGAGGAGAGGAGGGTTGAGGAGGCAGAATCAGGAGATTGGAGGGAGAAGGATTGAGCAGAGGGAAGAGATGATAGGATGGAAGAGGAGAGAGTAGCAGGAGAGAGAGACCGAAGGTTGCGACGGCGCATTACCATCTGTGTAGGGGCAGAGTGAGTAGTGTTGGAGGAGAGCGAGAGAGAAAAGGATAAAAAGTAATGGTCGGAGACTTGGAGGGGAGTTGCAGTGAGATTAGTAGAAGAACAGCATCTAGTAAAGATGAGGTCAAGCGTATTGCCTGCCTTGTGAGTAGGGGGGGACGGTGAGAGGGTGAGGTCAAAAGAGGAGAGGAGTGGAAAGAAGGAGGCAGAGAGAAATGAGTCAAATGTAGACGTAGGGAGGTTGAAATCCCCCAGAACTGTGAGGGGTGAGCCATCCTCAGGAAAGGAACTTATCAAGGCGTCAAGCTCATTGATGAACTCTCCAAGGGAACCTGGAGGGCGATAGATGACAAGGATATTAAGCTTAAATGGGCTAGTGACTGTGACAGCATGGAATTCAAATGAGGAGATAGACAGATGGGTTAGGGGAAAAATTGAGAATGTCCACTTGGGAGAGATGAGGATTGCTGTGCCACCACCCCGCTGACCAGATGCTCTCGGGGTATGCGAGAACACATGGTCAGACGAGGAGAGAGCAGTAGGAGTAACAGTGTTTTCAGTGGTAATCCATGTTTCCGTCAGCGCCAAGAAGTCGAGGGACTGGAGGGTAGCATAGGCTGGGATGAAGTCTGCCTTTTTGGCAGCCGAACGGCAGTTCCAGAGGCTGCCTGAGACCTGGAACTCCAGGTGGGTGGTGCGTGCAGGGACCACCAGGTTAGAGAGGCAGCAGCCACGCGGTGTGAGGCATTTGTGTAGCCTGTGCGGAGAGGAGAGAACAGGGATAGGCAGAGGCATAGTTGACAGGCTGCAGCAAATGGCTACAATAATGCAGAGGAGATCGGAATGAAATGAACTAAACATCTGGGAAAGGAGAGAGCGGGGCCTGCCTCAGCACAACTCCCAAATATAACTCTCCCAACTTCCACCTCAGAAACTATAATTGTTGTAAACTACAGCGGTTCAATGTTTCTAGGAATAGACTAACTCAGTTTATTCAGCTAGCTAACTAGGTGCATCTCTGTGTTGATTGGTTGGTGATGTACACATGCCAGGATTCTCAACATCTCACATGCTACATATCCCTTCTCCCCCTGCCTTCATACTGTTACTTCATAATTTACCTCTTATTTCTAACTCCCATCTCCCATTTTCCCACCTATCCACCATCTCTCACCTGTCTGTCTCAACAGAGTCGCTACAGTGAAGGTGATTATATTATTCGCCAGGGTGCCACAGGGGACACGTTCTACATCATCAGTAGTGGCCAGGTAAGGATGAGGATGGCTGAACCTTACCTTGAACTCAATAAACAAGCTTCAACTAGTGGAGGACAGAAATAGGCATCTACAGGGGTTAGTCTGACACAACAACTGTACTGGCACAGTTGGTGCTAATTAATCAGTGCATCTCCACATTTCAAAGATGACATGAAAGAGACAAGACAGATAATCAGTCTCTACCCCCTCTATCTACCTCCTAGGTGAAGGTGACAGAGAAGAAGTCAGCCAATGATGAGGCAGTACTCCTGTCAACTCTCTCTGAGGGCCATTGGTTTGGAGAGAAAGCACTGAGGGGGTGAGAAACAGTAATTCATCATGTGCTTTTATCCAAAGGTCTGTTATACAGCAGCTTACATTTGTACACATTACATTGCTTGATATATATTGACATACTAGCTCTCTCATATCACAAATCTCATTAACCACTAGACAGTTATAGTTATAGAGTAATAGAACATACATACATTATACTGTATGGATAATTCAGCTATTACTAAGCCAACACTGTCCAAGTTTGTCTCATCTGGGGAATGAGACATACTCTCCCCATGTGATTGCATTTTGCTCATCATGTTGTCCCTCATAAACAACTACAATCAATAGGACAGTGGGAACTAGTGACAATATGCAAATTCATAATGAATCTATCTTGGTCAAATGATAGTAATAAAAGCTACATAGGGTCTCACAGATTTCAAGAGAATATTCTGAGCGATAACATTTTCTGTCTGCATGGTGTCAGTGCTGTTGTCATTTATTGGCATGCCATTTTGATAACCTTTCAATTACAAACCTTTTGCTCCATTTCCAGAGAGGATGTGCGGACAGTGAATGTAATTGCTGCTGGTGATGTCACATGCCTGGTTGTGGATAGAGAGTAAGTGATTTGTTTAGACTATGGCATGATTATTTGAGAATGTTGCACATTCTGCTTCATTCTCATCCTCTTATTTGTAGAATATGTAGAACAGATCTCCAACATGCACGCAATGCCCCACCACGGTGTCCCCCAAGCACACAGTGCCAGTATAGTTTTTATTAGCCACTTTGTTATGATGTGAAAATGGTTCAAAATGTTTTAAGTGACCTGAGACCATATCATTTTTCATCAGGTCTTTCAAAAATATCATAGGTTTGGTGGAGGACAGTAATACTGTGCACAAGAGCAGCGAACTCAATGCCCAGTAAGTAGCAACGGAAACTATAGCTAACACTTTACAGCCAACAGGTATATTGCATTAGTATTTGTTATAAGCATGGTATAAACCTTTATAATGTCTTATCATAAGGCTTACATGTTTTGTCTCTTTATCTCTGTTTGTATTTTAATGAGCCTTGATCCAAATGAACCATTTTTATGTATTTAATCTTTATTTAGAACAAGTAAAGCAACATGGGCTAACCCATCTTTTCCATGTGAGCAGGTCAGAGGAAGATGCAGCTCTCCTCTCCAACGCGTCTCTCAGAGATTTCCAGGTCATCTGTAACCTAGGAGAGGGGGAAACCGGTCATTCAGAGCTGGTGAGTTGTTTCAAGTTTTATTAGTCGTATGGGATATGCATGGAATACCTTATCCAAGGAAATACTTACTTGCAGGTTCCTTCTTGACAATGCAACAACAATAAAGAAGAATAAAATATAAGAATGCAAACATAAAGTAAATGGCAGTAGAATAGAAGAAACATTTTAGCATAAGTATTATATAGGAAGGCACAATTTATAATCCAATATTTACATGTGTATTGGGGAAGGGGGGGATGGGGGACAGTATATAATTTGAGCAGTATAATAAGAGTCTGGTAGCAGCAGTTGTGATGTGTGTGCAGCATGAATGTATATGTGTGTGTGTGTGTATATCTGTGTGGGTGTGTGCATGAGTGAGTGCATGTGTGCTAAGGTGAAGAGAATCAGAGCAGGTGGTCAGTCCAGTTCAAGTGTTCAGCAGTCTGATGGCTTGTAGATAGAAACTGTCTCTGAGCCTGTTGGTATCAGACCTCATGCTCCGATACTGTATGTCCGACGGTAAGGGAGAGAACAGCTCGTGGCTGGAGTGTGTGGGGCCCTTGATGATGCTGTGTGCCTTCCTCAGGCACCGTTTCAAGTAGATGTCCTAGATGGGTGGGAGCACGGTCCCAGTGATGTACTGGACCGTCTTCACCACGCGCAGGAGGGCCTCTCAATGGTGCAGCAGTAGTATTTGGAGAGAAGCTTTGGTGCCCTCTTGGGAAGAGTGGTGATGTTGTTGGTCCATGACAAGTCCTCTGTGATGTTGATGCCGAGGAACTTAAAACTTGTGACTCTCTCTACTGCAGTACCGTTGAGGTTTTTGTCATGACACCGTAAGGCCAGTTCACTGACTTGTCGTTGTTGGTTATCAGGCCTACAACCGTGGTGTCGTCAGCAAACTTGATGGTGGAGTTGGTGTCGTGCAAAGCCACGCAGTCGTGGGTGAACAGGGAGTACAGCAGAGGACTGATGACACACCCTTGGGGGGCCCCTGTGTTAAGAGTCAGTGTGGAGGAGGTGTTGTTGTGGATCTGTTGGAGCGGTATAAAATTGGAGTGGGTCCAGTGTGCCTGGCATGCTGGCCTTGGCGATAGTCATTTGGGCATGTCACCTTGTTTTTCTTTGGCACTGGGACGATGGTGGTCTCCTTAAAGCAGGTGGGGACTACAGCCTGGGTTAGGGACAGGTTGAAGATGTCAGAGAAGACGCCCGTGAGCTGGTCAGCACACACTCTGAACCAGGGATGCCATCTGGGCCGGTGGCTTTGTGAGTATTCACTCTTTTGAGAGCTTTCCTCACGTCAGCCTAAAGACTCCAAGACCATGAGGAACAAGATTCTCTGGTCTGATGAAAGCAAGATTGAACTCTTTGGCCTGAATGCCAAGCGTCACATCTGGAGGAAACCTGGCACCATCCCTACGGTGAAGCATGGTGGTGGCAGCATCATGCTGTGGGGATGTTTTTCAGTGGCAGGGACTGGGAGACAGGATCGAGGCAAAGATTGTAAACAAAGTACTGAGTAAAGGGTCTGAATACTTATTAAAATGTGTGGGGGGGGGGGTTATATATAAAAACCTGTTTTTGCTTTGTCATTATTGGGTATTCTGTGTAGATTGACCAATTTAATCAATTTTAGAATTGTGTGTAGATTGACCAAAACCAATTTAATCAATTTTAGAATAAGGCTGTAACGTAACAAAATGTGGAAAAAGTCAAGGGGTCTGAATACTTTCCGAAGGCACTGTATATTACTCATTGTTGATGGATGAATCCTGGGTGGATGAATCTTTGAACATATTCCAATCAGTATTCTCAAAACAATCCTGCAGCATTGAGTCTGCCTCCTCTGTCCAGCGCCTCACTATTCTCTGTGTTGGTGGCTCCCTCTTGAGTTGCTGCTTGTAGCCGGGGAGTAGGAACAGCAACGTGATCTAATTGGCCGAAGTTGGGAGTAAGTAGTGTGTCAAGCTTGAAACTGTCAGTAAATCCCAATGCATTATTGTCTGGTTTCCATGTTGCTTTTAATGGATAAACCTACATGTTGTTGTTAATGTTTTTGCATTCCTCCTAGGTACAGCTTAAGTCCAACATCAACTGCCTGTTCACCATGAGGGTGTTGAGGAAGCATCAGATCCTAAGCACTGCTAAACAGGAGTGCATCCTGAGGGAAAGACACATCCTCATGGCAGCTCATAGTCCATTCATTGTCAGGTGTGCTGTGCACCCACCCACCAGCCAAACATACCTAGGCCGGGATTCAATCCGATCACGGGTTATAGGCATTGCGGCTTAGGCAATGTTCTGCCGTTCACGGAGATCCCATTCACTGTATAAAAGCTGCATATATCGGCTCAAAAAAACCTTTAAAAACTGCAATGCCTATCACCTGCGATCGGATTGAATCCTTGAACAAATCTTACCCTGGTGAACTCACTATATGCTTATCAACTGTACAACATCTGTGTCTTCTTTGCCACTCATAGGTTACACCGTACCTTCAGAGATGCAAAGTGCCTGTACATGCTGACAGAAGCTTGCCTAGGTGGTGAGCTCTGGAATCTACTGAAAGACAGGTACTGCTAACGGCACTACTGTCTACATGTGATTTTTGTATATTTTGCAGTATGGATTTTATAACTGAATTGATAGCGTTTGAATACTTATTTTTAGGGCACAACATCAGTATGTCCCATGAAACTTGCTAATCACTACGGTGCTCTTGCTCCTACATTTCAGAGGCTCATTTGATGACAGTAGCACACGTTTTTACACTGCCTGTGTTGTTGAGGCCCTTATCTTCCTGCACCACAACAGTATCACATACAGGGATCTGAAGCCTGAGAATGTAGTTCTGGACCAGCGCGGATATGCCAAAGTGGTAACATGACTAGAGCTCCTTTCACTGCATTTCAAACCCACACAAGATGGAATATAATATAGTAATTGTCAATTTTGCACATGGTTACACAAACAAATACAGTACGTTCAAAGGTTACAGTTATATTAGCATACATAGAACTGTTTCACTTTGGAAAATATAGGTTATGGATCCATTGAGATACTGAACATCCATATTCATGACTTGACTGTGCTACCCTTCTTAGGTGGGGTTTGGTTGTGCTAAGAAAGTGGGCTTGGGTAAGAAGACATGGACATTCTGTGGCACACCTGACTATGTGGCCCCTGAGATCATCCTGAACAAGGGGCACAGTGTGTCTGCAGATCTCTGGTCTCTAGGCGTCTTTGTGTTTGAACTGCTGAGTGGAAGGTAAGATTATAAGATAGTCAATTTCTCTCCAGAGCTCCAGTGTTTTGTCCCATTTTTTGTTCTCTGTTGTTCTCGTCTCTGTCAGGCATTCTCATAGATCAATCTTTACCTTTCCAGTCTCCCATTCTGTGGCCCTGATCCTATGAAGACGTTCACAGCCACCATCCGTGGGATTGACCTGGTTGAATTCCCTAAAACCATCAGTAAGAGTGCCTCAAGCCTGATCAAGAAGCTCTGCAGGTGTGACACATTTAGCAATGACTGAAAACAGTCATTCATTGTATCACACTTCCTCAGCTATTAGTTGTGTGTCATGATGACTCTCTGTCCTGGTCTCTCAGGAACAACCCTGCAGAGAGACTGGGGAATCAGAGAAACGGGGCCAAGGACATCCAGAAGCACAAGTAAGATGAAAGGCTGAGATGAAAACATCCGACTGTGTCACTGTCATCTATATAGCAGCAGGTTATAGTCTGTTATCTTGTTCTTTCTTTCAGGTGGTTTGAAGGTTTCAACTGGGAAGGACTTCGCAAAAGCACTTTGGCTCCACCAATCATACCCAAAGTAAGTACTAGGCAGAGCTATATGTTAATTAGTCATAAGACAACATGCTTCAGCAACTGCATAAGAATAGTTATTGCACAGGTAGCTGTACAGGTCTGACCATTGCTGACTACTTCTGGTTTGATATATATACTGAACAAAAATATAAAAGCAACATGCAACAATTTCAAAGATTTTACTGAGTTACAGTTATATAAGGAAATTAGTCAATTGAAATAAATTAATTAGTCCCTAATCTATGGATTTCACATGACTGGGCAGGGGTGCAGCCATAGGTGGGCCTTGGAGGGCATAGCCCCTGTCACGGAATCAGCCGAGGCTGCTCCTCCTCCTTGCTCGGGCAGGCTTCGGCGTTCGTCGTCCCCGGAGTACTAGCTGGCACCGATCTATGTTTCTGTGTTTGACTTGTTTTGTCTTGATTGTGTACACCTGTTTCCTATTATGTTGTATTGTATTCCCTATATAACCCTCTGTCGTTCATTGTGTGTTGTGTGTGATTGTTCTCGTCATTTTCGGCAGTTGCTATTGTGCGGGTATTCCCCTCCCTGTTTGGAGGTTGTTTTGTACTCTGGTTACTTTGTTAGTAAAAGTACGTTTCCAGTAGCTCGGTGTCCTGCGTTTGACTTCGCCTACCGCATTCACGTCGCACTTTGACAGCCCCACCCACTTGGCAGCCAGGCAACACTCACTGGGGAGCCAGGCCCAGCCAATCAGAATGAGTTTTTCCACACAAAAGGGCTTTATTACAGACAAAGATACTCCTCAACAACCCCCCCGATCCTGCAGGTGAAGAAGCCGGATGTGGAGGTCCTGGATTGGCGTGGTTACACATGTTCTACGGTTGTGAGGCCGGTTGGACGTACTGCCAAATTCTCTAAAAGATGTTGGAGGCAGCTTATGGTAGAGAAATTAACATTCAATTATCTGGCAACAGCTCTGGTGGACATTGCTGTAGTCAGCATGCCAATTGCACGCACCCTCAAAACTTTAGTCATCTGTGGCATTCTGTTGTTTTAAAGTGGCCTTTTATTGTCCCCAGCACAAGGTGCACCTGTGTAATGATCATGCTGTTTAATCAGCTTCTTGATATACCACATCTGTCAGGTTGATGGAATATGTTGGCAAAGGAGAAATGCTCACTAACAGGGATGTAAACAAATTTGTGCACAACATTTTAGAGAAATACGCTTTTTGGGCGTATGGAATGGGGTATTTTTTATTTCAACTAATGAAACATAGGACCAACACTTTACATGTTGCATTTATATTTATGTTCAGTGTATATATACAGTGCCTTCAGAAAGTATTCAGACCCCTTGACTTTTTCTACATTTTGTTAGGTTACAGCCTTATTCTAAAATTGATTTTTTTTTTATTCCCTCATCAATCTACACAATACCACATAATGACAAAGCAAAAACAGGTTTTTAGAAATGTTTGCTAATTTATAAAAAATAAAAAACAGAAATATCACATTTACATAAGTATTCAGACTCTTTACTCAGTACTTTGTTGAAACACCTTTGGCAGCAATTACAGCCTTGAGTCTTCTTGGGTATGACGCTACAAGCTTGGCACACCTGTATTTGGGGAGTTTCTCCCATTCTTCTCTGCAGATCCTCTCAAGCTCTGTCAGGTTGGATGGGGAGCGTTGCTGCACAGCTATTTTCAGGTCTCTCCAGATATGTTCGATCGGGTTCAAGTCCGGGCTCTGGCTGGGCCACTCAAGGACATTCAGAGACTTGTCCCGAAGCCACTCCTGCGTTGTCTTGGCTGTGTGCTTAGGGTCGTTGTCCTGTTGGAGGGTGAACCTTCGCCCCAGTCTGAGGTCCTGAGTGCTCTGGAGCAGGTTTTCATTAAGGATCTCTCTGTACTTTGCTCTGTTCATCCTTACCTCGATCTTGACTAGTCTCCCTGTCCCTGCCACTGAAAAACACCCCCACAGCATGATGCTGCCACCACCATGCTTCACCGTAGAGATGGTGCCAGGTTTCCTCCAGAAGTGACACTTGGCATTCAGGCCAAAGAGTTCAATCTTGGTTTCATCAGACCAGAGAATCTTGTTTCTCATGGACAGAGTCTTTAGGTGCCTTTTGGCAAACTCCAAGCGGGCTATCATGTGCCTTTTACTGAGGATTGGCATCCATCTGGCCACTCTACCATAAAGTCCTGATTGGTGGAGTGCTGCAGAGATGGTTGTCCTTCTGGAAGGTTCTCCCATCTCCACAGAGGGATTCTAGAGCTCTGTCAGAGTGACCATCGGGTTCTTGGTCACCTCCCTGACCAAGGCCCTTCTCTTGCTCAGTTTGGCCGGGTGGCCAGCTCTAGCAAGAGTCTTGGTGGTTCCAAACGTCTTCCATTTAAGAATGATGGAGGCCACTGTGTTCTTGTGGACATTCAATGCTGCAGAATTTTTGTTTGTACCCTTCCCCAGATCTGTGCCTCGACACAATCCTGTCTCGGAGCTCTATGGACAATTCCTTCGACCTCATGGCTTGGTTTTTGCTCTGACATGCACAGTCAACTGTGGGACCTTATATAGACAGGTGTGTGCCTTTCCAAATCAATTGAATTTACCACAGGTGGACTCCAATCAAGTTGTAGAAACATCTCAAGGATGATCAATGGAAACAGGATGCACCTGAGCTCAATTTTGAGTCTCATAGCAAAGGGTCTGAATACTTATGTAAATAAGGTATTTCTGTTTTTTATTTTTTATTAATTTGCAAACATTTCTAAAAACCTATTTTCGCTTTGTCATTATTGGGTATTGTGTGTAGATTGCTGAGGATTTGTATTTATTTAATCCATTTTAGAATAAGGCTGTAACGTAACAAAATGTGGAAAAGGTCAAGGGTCTGAATACTTTCCGAAGGCACTATATACTTACATATTGTATTTTACCATTATAAATATTATTTTTTCAGTTCATCAGTCACTTGGAGGACAGCAAATTGGACCCCTTCACTGACATGCTTGAGGACTCACCAGCTGTTGAGGACTCAGAGTGGGACATAGATTTCTGATTGAAAAATATAATTTTTATCTGGGTTGAATCCTACACATGATCTGATACGAAAATAGTTTTTGGAAATTCAACTGAGGAGACAGAGAAATGGAATGTCATTGTGTTCAACATTCTTTGATTTCAACTGGTTTGAATATTTTGTAATTCTATCTTTTGTAAACTAGCAAAGAAGTGAATGTTGATAGCTGTTCCTGTATTATTATGTGATATTTCTTACTGTGTATTATTGTTTTACCAAAAGTGTTATGTAGGCTATCTCAATTCATAAACCTATGAGTCAACATCTGATTATTTGTAATTAAATAAATATACAAATACATAATCTGAGCTTCATCATGCATCCAATAACTGGTTGTTAAATCACAGGATGTTTTAGAGCACTTTAATTAATTAAAAAAAATTAATCACCTCCAATATTTGTTGAGTTGAGATATAATGTGCTTGACTAATTCAAAAGCTTTTTTTTCTCTCATGATCATTAATTTCAAGAGCAATAGACTAGCTACAGACATCATCTCTCAGGCCCCTCATCTCTCTGGCCCCTCTCTATACTGCCACCTACCGGAGACCTCATCTCTCAGGCCCCTCATCTCTCTGGCCCCTCATCTCTCAGGCCCCTCATCTCTCTGGCCCCTCTCTATACTGCCACCTACCGGAGACCTCATCTCTCAGGCCCCTCATCTCTCTGGCCCCTCATCTCTCAGGCCCCTCATCTCTCTGGCCCCTCTCTATACTGCCACCTACCGGAGACCTCATCTCTCAGGCCCCTCATCTCTCTGGCCCCTCTCTATACTGCCACCTACCGGAGACCTCATCTCTCAGGCCCCTCATCTCTCAGGCCCCTCTCTATACTGTCACCTACCGGAGACCTCATCTCTCAGGTCCCTCTTATCTCTCATGCCCCTCCCCACATCTCTCAGGCCCCTCATCTCTCTGGCCCCTCTCTATACTGCCACCTACCGGAGACCTCATCTCTCAGGCCCCTCTTATCTCTCATGCCCCTCCCCACATCTCTCAGGCCCCTCAGTGACAAACCGCCCAGGGAAAACAAACCCCCTCTTTCAACTGGCTCTTGGATGCTTCTCTTTCTATTGGCTCATGACTACTTTATCGTTCTACGGGTCGCAGTAGCAGCCATTTTTTAAACTTCATTTTGATTTGCCTACCTAAATCGAAATAGCCTACCGTTCCTGGTTTATATGCTTATTTAGAAGTATTTTATTCATGGAATGCTGCTCATGTCACTATACCAATTGTTTAATTGACTTGTTTATTTCATTCTATTTGGGAGACAACAAATGTAACCATATTTTGCATTATTGAAATATTGTGAATTATGTTGGATGATGACAATAATCCTGTCTGACATGTAGAGAGTTCAGTTCTATGGCAATCTCTGAGAGATGAGAGGGGCCTGAGGATGAGGGGGAGGTGCCTGAGATATCTCTAGTTGGTGGCATTATAGAAAGGAGCCTGAGAGATGAGGTCTCCAGTGATCGGCGTATGCGCACGTGGAAGGGGCGATGGAAGACGCAGGCCAAGATGTCGACACAAGTCCACAGGATAGAATAGACGCCGGAAGGGAAAGGAGGGGGAAAATGGAGTCCTTTGAGAAGGCAAGAAACAGATATTGGTTAGGAGAAGTGCAGTATTATCATAAGGAGACGTATACTTGGATGAATGAGGATGAATGGAGGGAAAAAGAGAGGCAGAGGAGGTCTAAGAGAGAGAGGGAGGAAGACTGAGTTTGAGTCAGTAAAAAATGGCGGGGAAAAGGGAGAAGGTTTGTTAAAGAAAAGTGGTAGGAAATGTAAGCAAAGTGAGCTGAAGACAGGAGGAGAAATGGAAGTGAATGAGGGTGAAGTATCGGAGGTGGTAGGTGTGGTGAAGTGCTCGGAGCCAGAGCCTTGCACAGAGGGTCAGGATAAAGATGAGTCTGTGACAGTAGGAGTGAAGTTTGTGGAAAAAGTGGATCCTTGCCTTTTGGCTGATCCATTTGTGGTTTCAAGATGGGTGAAAAAAAGCATTGGGTATAGTGGAATCGGTGAGGGTAACCAGAAGTGGTCTAGTGATAATTGTTTGTGTTTCTGTTGGGCAGAGGGAGAAGGCGCTCAGAGTTAAACAAGAAAAGGGCGCCATTGAAAGGAGTGATTACTGGGGTAGTAGTAAATGTAAAAGTGGATCAACTGAAGGAGAAGATTCCTGGTGTGTGTGATGCTCGTCGTTTGGTGCGACACAAACAGGGGGGCGAGAGTGGGGAAACAGAAGAGTCATTGTCTGCTCTTTTGAGTTTTGAAGTTGAGTCTTTGCCTGACAAAGTAAAAATTAGGATATATAAGTTATCCTGTGCGAGCTTATGTGCCGAGTACATTACGATGTTACAGGTGTCAAACTTATGGGCATGTGGCAGCAGTATGTAGGAGGGAGATTCCAAGGTGTGAGAAGTGTGCAGAAGGGCATGAGACAAAGGAGTGTGAAGCAGTGGGGAAAGTGGTGGTATGTGCTAATAGTAGGGGTGGCCATGGGGCTGGGGATCAGCCATGTCCAGTGCGAGAGAAGCAGGTTGAGGTTTCCAGGGTAAGATTAGAGAAGAAATTGTCATATGTGGAGGCAGTGAAGAAAGTAGAGGAAGAGGGGTCAATGGGGGTAGTGGTGAGAGTAGGAGATATATACCAGTACAGTGGGATAGGCAAGCAAGTGATATATGTTTCAGTAAGATTGGATTTTTAGCGTTTATAGCAATGGTTATTAATTGTACTGCAGGGATGGAACGTAAGTCGAAGAAAATTGAAGTTGTGGTGGCAGCTGCAGAGAGATATTTGGGTGTGCGAGACTTGACAGCAGAAGAGTTACAGAGAGTGTTAAGTGGTGATGTCCCATCATTTCAGGTTGAGGGCATGAGGTAGGAGTGAGTATATTTAAATAGTGGAGAAGGGTGGGGTTAATTATTAGTAATAGTTTTGAATGTGTGAGTGTAGTGTTAGATGGTAGGATATTTATTTGGTTTGTTTTATTTTATTTTTCAAGGAAAGATAAGGGAGTTGTACTCCAGTCTAGTAGGTGGCGGTAATGCAACAAATTGGATGCCAACCGCCGTTAAACCTCATGGAAGAAGAAGAAGAGGTCTCCAGTAGGTGGCAGTAAAGAGTGGGGCCTGAGAGATGAGGTCTCCAGTAGATGGCAGTATAGAGAGGGGCCTGAGAGATGAGGTCTCCAGATGTACCCCTCTCAAGAAGAGGGGGGTTAAGGGTTACACTTTGGTATGTTTGGTGGCGGGTGGTGATTTCGCTACTCCTGTCGAAGTAGAGGAACACAATTTGAAGAAAATCGGGTGACTTAGATTTTATTCAGGTAAGAGTCAGTTGCGTTGAGACTTGTGAAACGACTTCTTTAAAACTGTGGGGAAAGTTCTCTACTAGGTACAAATTAACTAGAGTAGGTAATTGGAACACACTTTGTAGTGACACTATTGGATACAAAGTAGCGTACTCAACGTGGCATAAGTGCAATACACTTACAACCTGTTTACCATTTCCATTCGATACTAGCTTTGAAACAGGTACAGTACAGTTTTGACGATGTTGAGTTGTCCTGCACTATTCTGTAAATGAAGAGAGAGAGTCAGAGGCGTGTGTCTATTCTGAAGATGATGCATGTTAAATTATGTATTGCCATGAATGGGACAGAAATTCGATTTTCGAGCTCACCATCAATCTGGCTGTTTTTAGTTACATTGTAGCCTTTTATTTTGCAAGCTACAGTATTAGTTAACACCCCAATATCTACACAGTAACTGAAAGACAAAATATTCTAAACTTTGCAATACATGGTAAGAAATTGTCAGCTGCCATAACAGTAGGTTATCAGTTTCAAGGAAGGATATATTTCAAATACTTCTTTGTACTTTTAATTCTAGCATATGAGGTGAAAACACCCTTTGCAGAATTATGTGGTCCTTCTTTTTCCCCAAACAAAGGTAAGTGCTATATGGCTTGAAACCAATGGTATTTGGCCAGCTGGACCAAACCCGTGTATAGCTTGAGTTCTTTGGCATTCCTCCTATTGCAGTTCATGCTGTACAGTTACCCGAAATAATGTCTGGCTGCATGTACCCATGTGTCTTCATTTAGTTTGTTTTTGCAAGGGCTTTGTGCCATTGCCTTAATATTGAAGTCTATGTCTGTCAATGGAAACCACAGGCAAGGTGTTAAAAAGTTGTCGATGTTGCTGGAATGCAGTCTGGGCAGGGCTGAGTTGGCACACTGTTGTGTTGCTGGTACAGTCAGACAGTGGAGGTAAAGTAACACTGTGGATAAAGTAACACTGTGGACAGCTGAAGTTTGTGTCCATTTATGCATAGTGCGCTGTGCTGCTTTAGTGTACAAACACACATTCTAGACAGGCCCTCCTTTTAATCAATACCATGGGAGTCTAATGATGGTGGTAGGAGTGCTGCAAAGACCTCCTGTGTTCTTTGTGTGTGTGTGTTGACTAGAGTGATGGCCTCTGCTCTGCTCTGTCTGCTCCTGGACTGTTAATCTTCCCAGCAGCCCATCATGGTGATGGTTACCGTGCCTTCTGTTTTCCTCTCCATCGCCTTTCCCTTCCCAAAACCCTAATTGTGACTATGTCTGTGTTCTTCACGCTTCATTTGGGAATCACAGCCGGGAAAACAATGTGCATTTCATTCTCTCTCCCCCTTACTCTCTCACTCATTCACTAACCTCACGTGTCCCCAGTGCTCTTCCCATCTCCACTCAGACCCCTTGCTTCTGTGACCACATGGAAGCAGTGCAAAATGTACTAAACCTTTGGTATACTGCTAGGCTATGCTGTTGCTCAGTCCTTCCTCTCTCACCTGTAGTTTTCTGGGTCAGAGAATAACATTTTCTGCCATTTTTCTTTCATCAGGGATGGCCTTCGAAGCCAACATGACATTTGCTCACACACGTAATTAGATTTTTGTAGTGGGGTGGCTTTTGATCACTAGAAATCTGGAAAATACTGAAAACAATGCTTAATCTCTGCTTGATGATGAAATCCTTTGCCAACCACATTCCCCCATGCACCACTCTCCTGTAGAACATAGACCCAGGTGTGCAGTGACATAGGCACCTATGTTAATTTAGTACAAAGACAATGAGGATACAGATAGAGGGTGCAATACTGCTCCTGATCCTCATTATAGATTTCTCCACAGACAAGCATTGCATCTTTAAACGTTCTTATTATTTTCTATTGGAGAGGATTACACATTGTGTGGTTTTTGCTTTTGTCTTAGTGTTGCTCTGTTTTTATCTCTGTTTCTGCCTGCCAGCAGGAGTGAATATGCACAGACATGCAAACTGCCCTTGGGTGTCTGTTTAAATATTTGTCATTTTTGAAACTCTAAGCTGGTGCTTTATGGCACCTTTTAATGTGTACCTTACTGAGCAGTATAGGTGATTCATTCCAGATTGTTGCGTTTACTCTAAAGGCTATAGAGAAAATATATGTTAGAGGCCTACAATGGGTGTATTTAATCCCTCTTAGATATTTCATTTGCTTAGTAACTGTTTCACATGTCTCCATTATTCCCTTTGTCTCATTTCTGTTTGGGACTAAGTGCCAGGGAAGCACAATAGTCCCTGTCTGGTTCTGACAATAGCCATAATGAATGGGACTGAGGGAGGAAGGGTGATAATGCTACATTCTAGTCTAGATAAAGAGAGAAATAGGGGAATATAGGGGGATATTCTCTTCTCAGCAAACCATCATTTTTGATGTGTCATCTATGAAAGCCCATTTATTTTCTCATTGGTATATGTCAAAGGAGCCATGGGGACCTTCCAAACTCAGACTGCAACTTTTCAGCAGGTGTAGTGCAATGCTTAGGGCAATTGTTGCCATATTTATTATTTTATCAGCTAACAGAATTGATGAATTATTATGGATGCTGGGCACAGTATGAATTATGTGACCATTCCAACAGGGCATTTTATTTGAGTTCAGAGCAATATATTCTGCTTATATATTGTGCATTTGGAGAGGTCCTAGAACTTTCAAAGAACTTGAAGAAAAAGTAATGAGAAAAATGATGAATCTTTGGTCATTTTCTTCTCTAGGGGGGTGAACTGGGAAATGGTTGGCCTGCTTTAAAGACTGAAGGAGAGGGGAGTGACCACCCTTTATCCCCTTTACTTCTGAAAGAAGGGGGGAGAAAGTGGGTGAGAGGTTGAGGGGTATGGGGGAGGGGGATTTATTTGGTGAAGTGAATTCCATGTGCTGATGCAGAGAAAGTGGAACGGTGGACAAACTCATAGTTTGGAGAGACTTAGAAGATTTTAGAAGACAGGAGGGTGTGAGAATGAAATGCTTTAGTAGATGTACGTTTGTTTCACATTTGTTTTGGTTAACATGTTGTGCCCACGTTTCTTTCTCGTACTCTGGTTTGGTTGTGACCATTACAGACTGGCAGGGAAACATGAGGGTGGATCTACAGGCTGTCCCTCCCATCTCCCCACCAAACTCTCTTACTGAATGCATCTACTCTCTTTCTCTCTCACTCGCTCTCTCTCTTTATTCTCTCCTCTCTCTAGCTCCATTTATGTTGGTGGACACAGCATTGACTAAGTGCCTGTTTCTGGTTAGCCAATCATGATTACTTCCGAGTGTCTGTCCTCTATACACCCCAGCCATTCATTCTCTCCTCAGTCCCCCCCTGTCTGTCTGCTGAGCTGGAGGGCCAGTGTGCGTCGGCTTTTAAAAACAGAGGATGTTGCATTGTTTTGGTGACCAAGTTTGTTTGTTGTCATTTAGCTTTATTCATTTTGTGCTGTATACGATTTGTCAGTTTCATTCCTAATTGTTCCATAAACATTGACCCCCCTCAGCCCCTCTTTTCCCTGAAACATTTAGAAAACTATTGTATAGGGGAGATTAGCTACTCTTTCTTGCACACTGCACATGGTTTATGTTCTGTTTCTAAAGTACAATAGCACCTCTGTGGACGTCTTTTCACAAGTTTGTAGAGAATTCCTTGATGTAATTGCTTCCCCTTTCACTTTTACACTCTCATTACATTTCTCTCTCATTCATTCAGGCAAATACACTCATATTCTCTCTCTCTCTTTCTCTCTCAGCTATGCATTTTCAGGAGTGGTTCCAGTCCCTTCGTTTCAGTGGGGGGGTTCGAGGACCTGAGAGGGAGGACTTCTGGAGCCTTGTCCCCTCTCTCCCTTCATTGTCCTCTTTCTCCGTCTCTCTGTCCCCGTCCTCTCTGCTGGGTATAGGGGCTCTGGCCTCCTTCACTGCATACTGGCTGGTGACCCGCCCTCGGCCCATGCGTCCTCCTTGTGATCTGAATGCCCAGTCTATCCCTGTACAGGTGAGAGTATTGTGTTCTGGAGCAGATGAGTGTTAGTAAGAGTAATATTTATTAAGAACAGTCGTGTTTGTTTGTGTGAGTAATAGTAGTTGTATTTATCACTGTATTTTGGATTGTATTTTTTTAATGGAGTCTATATATTGCAGGGAGAGCCCAATTGGAGGCGTTCAGCTTTGCTCAAGGACGATGTCCTGTTGGAGTTCTACTATGATGACACCAGGACAGCTTATGATATGTTCCAGAGAGGACTGAGGGTGGCAGGTGAGCTGGTCGGACACAGTGGACTAATGGGCTAGTTATGAGCAATGACAACTTACCAGACATGCCAGAGTGTACCTGACTAGAATGTGTTGATGCACAGGGGATGGCCCATGCCTTGGCTTCAGGAAACCTGGGGAACCTTACCAGTGGATCTCCTACAGTGAGGTCTGTGGATCTTTGGTCTTTGATCGTTATTGCTAAGTAATTACATACGGTATGCTCAAGCTCTATTCAATGATTTTATTATTGTTGCTGTCTGATTGTCATCTGTTTTAGGTGGCTGAACAGGCACAGGTGCTGGGCTCTGGGCTTTTGGGCAAAGGCTGCCAACCAAACCCTGAGCAGTTTGTTGGAATATTTGCCCAGAACAGGCCAGAGGTACAGAAGGCTACACATTCCTTCCCTGCTATTCTACGTAGTGAAATGCCAAGACGTTTAATCCTAATACTTCTCTGTCTGTTAGAGCACTGTCCTTGTAGAGACTCCACTAATGTGGTGACCAAGCATCAGTTAGGAAGGAGTCTGGGGTCTGTCTTTCTAATAGTGTTGCTCTGTCTCCCTCTGTTGGCGGCAGTGGATCATTTCAGAGCTGGCCTGCTACACCTTCTCAATGGCTGTAGTGCCCCTGTATGACACACTCGGAGAGGAGGCCATGGTGCATATCCTCAACCTTGGTAAGGCTGGAATACTCTGTTACAACAGACTGTAATGTATGGGTATATATATATACAGTACCAGTCAAACGTTTGGACACACCTACTCATTCACAGGTTTTTCTTTATTTTTACTATTTTCTACAAGACATCAACACTATGCAATAACACATATAAAATCATGTGGTAACCCAAAAAGGGTTAAACAAATCAAAATATATTTGAGATTCTTCAAAGTAGCCACCTTTTGCCTTGATGACAGCTTTGCACACTCTTGGCATTCTCTAAACCAGCTTCATGAGGTAGTCACCTGGAATGCGTTTCAATTAACAGGTGTGCTTTGTTAATTTGTGGAATTTATTTCCTTAATGGTTTTGAGCCAATCAGTTGTGTTGTGACAAGGTAGGGTTGGTATACAGAAGATAGCCCTATTTGGTAAAAGACCAAGTCCATATTATGGCAAGAACAGCTCAAATAAGCAAAGAGAAACGACAGTCCATCATTACTTTAAGACATGAAGGTCAGTCAATCCGGAAAATTTCAAGAACTTTGACAGTTTCTTCAATTGCTATGATGAAACTGGCTCTCATGAGGACCGCCACAGGAAAGGAAGACCCAGAGTTACCTCTGCTACAGAGGATAAGTTCATTAGAATATTGCAGCCCAAATAAATGCTTCACAGAGTTCAAGTAACAGACACATCTCAACATCAACTGTTCAGAGGAGACTGCGTGAATCAGGCCTTCATGGTCGAATTGCTGCAAAGAAACCACTACTAAAGGACACCAATAAGAAGAAGAGACTTGCTTGGTCCAAGAAACACGAGTTTCTGATGAATTTGAGATTTTTGGTTACAACCACCGTGTCTTTGTGAGATGCAGAGTAGGTGAACGGATGATCTCTGCATGTGTGGTTCCCACCGTAAAGCATGGAGGAGGAGGTGTGGGGGTGCTTATCTGGTGAATCTGTCAGTGATTTATTTAGAATTCAAGGCACACTTGACCAGCATGGCTACCACAGCATTCTGCAGCGATACGCCATCCCATCTGGTTTGCGCTTAGTGGGACTATCATTTGTTTATCAACAGGACAATGACCCAAAACACACCTCCAGGCTGTGTAAGGGCTATTTGACCAAGAAGAAGAGTGATGGTGTGCTGCATCAGATGATCTGGCCTCCACAATCACCCGACATCAACCCAATTGAGATGGTTTTGGATGAGTCGGACCGCAGAGTGAAGGAAAAGCAGCTAACAAGTGCTCAGCATATGTGGGAACTCCTTCAAGACTGTTGGAAAAGCATTCCAGGTGAAGCTGGTTGAGAGAATGCCAAGAGTGTGCAAAGCTGTCATCAAGGCAAAGGGTGGCTACTTTGAAGAATCTAAAATATAGTTTGATTTATTTAACACTTCTTTGGTTAATACATGATTCCATATGTGTTATTTCATAGTTTTGATGTCTTCACTATTATTCTACTATGTAGAAAATAGTAAAAATAAAGAAACACCCTTGAATGAGTAGGTGTGTCCAAACATTTGATGTCCACCACTGTCCTATTACTCTTCTTGTTCATTCTGGCTGTTTCACCTCCTAGCGGAGATCTCCCTGGTGATCTGTGACAAGGAGGAGAAGGCAGAGTCCCTTCTGGGGAATAAGGAGAAGGGTGTGACGCCTACTCTCTCCTGTCTGGTGCTCTTCAATGCCTGCAGTGATGCCATAGTGGAGAGGGGGAAGAACTGTGGTGTGGAGATTCTAGAACTCACACAGCTCATGGTGGGAGGAGGGTAGATGTATACAATGTAAAGATGATGAATTGCTAGAATAGATGCCTGCTTCTTTAGTTGGGATATTGGATCAACATCACAAACAAAAGATCACATCACAAACCCTTTCACTGGGGTTAGATTATAAGTCACCTTGAGTACCACAGACATGACCTTGTGTTTGTATGTGCATATTGCAGGAACTTGGACGACAGAACCTCACAGAACCTGTGGTGAGTTTTCCTCTGGTAAATGTTGATTAGGTCTCAATTACAGTTTTTGCTGCTTCCCTACTGTTTTTGATCCTGTTGTCAATCATCTGTGTCTGTTTGTTGCAGCCACCCCAACCCCAGGACCTGGCAGTCGTGTGCTTCACCAGTGGAACAACAGGTACCATGTGTTTTTATAGATCTCTGTGTGAGGCCTCAAGTACCCCCACTACCCTGCATGTTAATCATATACTTAAGCATTTACCCACACTGCTAGGAATGTGCCCATGGGGGCCCACTGACAACCTCTCATTATGTTATGAGATAAATTCCGGTGCTACACAGAGCCGTGCAATGATGCCCTCCTTCAAACTAAACTGTGTTCTGTTTATTTGGGCAGGAAAGCCCAAGGGAGCCATGATCACCCACGGCAACATCGCCTCCAACTCCTCCTCTGTTATTAAGATCCTGGAGGTCTGTTCTGGCTCCCACCTCCGTCTTGAATTCAGAAGGAGTTTCATGGCTAGCTCCATTTTCTCTCTATTTGTCTCACTCCATCCATCTCTCTCACTGTTCTTCTCCCTGTAGTGTTTTAAGATATGATAAATGGGATGTTTAATAGCCCTTGTGAATGCGAAATAGTTTACCCATAATTGTCCTTGTAAAAGATACATTGCTGTTGTAAAATCTAGATTGCATATTTAATTGGTTGTATGCCATCTCTATTATCCACTGTGTAACTGTTTTATGCGTCAATTATTTCCCTCCATTACAGGGGTCATTTGTGATTCAGCAAGAGGACGTGTCAATCTCTTACCTGCCTCTTGCCCACATGTTTGAGAGGATGATTCAGGTAGCTCACCCTCTTTTGATTACAATAATACTTTTATATGTCTGTCTTGGTGACTATGCATGTCAGACAGTGCTTCTAAATGGTCCTGTCTTCCTCAGGTGTCCATGTTATGTCATGGGGCCAGGGTAGGATTCTACCAGGGGGATATCTCCCTGCTCATGGACGATATTAAGACTCTGAAACCCACCTTCTTCCCAGTGGTGCCTCGCCTACTCAACCGCATCTACGACAAGGTCAGCAGATGAGTCCAAATCCTATGATACTGTACCAACCATACCAATTTTGTTTGTTTATGTAGGATTTTATTTTTTTCTATGCTCTTTTCTGTGTGCATGCATGTCTGTGTGTAGATCTTAGGCTCCATGACGTCCCCATTGCGCCGGGCAGTGCTGCACTATGCGGTGAGGAGGAAGCAGGCTGAGCTCAGCAGTGGGGTGGTACGTAACAACAGTCTGTGGGACAGGCTGGTGTTCAACAGGATTCAGGTCAGTCACTGAACACATACAGTGCATTCAGAAAGTATTCAGACCCCTTCCCTTTTTCCACATTTTGTTACGTTACAGCCTTATTCTAAAATGGATTAAATATTATTTTCTTCTCATCAATCTACACACAATACCCCATAATGACAAAGCGAAAACAGGTTTTTATAAATTTTTGCAAATGTATTTCAAATAAAAACAGATACCTTACTTACATAAGTATTCAGACCCTTTGATATGAGACTCAAAATGTCCATTGATCATCCTTGAGATGTTTCTACAACTTGATTGGAGTCCACCTGTGGTAAATTCAATTGATTGGACATGATTTGGAAAGGAGCACACCTGTCTATGTAAGGTCCTACAGTTGACAGTGCATGTCAGAGCAAAAACCAAGCCATGAGGTCGAAGGAATTGTCCATAGAGCTCCGAGACAGGATTGTGTCAAGGCACAGATCTGGGGAAGGGTACCAAAACATTTCTGCAGCATTGAAGGTCCCCAAGAACACAGTGGCCTCCATCATTCTTAAATGGAAGAAGTTTGGAACCACCAAGACTCTTCCTAGAGCTGGCCACCCGGCCAAACTGAGCAATCTGGGGAGAAGGGCCTTGGTCAGGGAGGTGACCAAGAACCCGATGGTCACTCTGACAGAGCTCCAGAGTTCCTCTGTGGAGATGGGAGAACCTTCCAGAAGGACAACCATCTCTGCAGCACTCCACCAATCAGGCCTTTATGGTAGAGTGGCCAGACGGAAGCCACTCCTCAGTAAAAGGCACATGACAGCCTGCTTGGAGTTTGCTAAAAGGCACCTAAAGGACTCTCAGACCATGAGAAACAAGATGTTCTGGTCTGATGAAACCAAGATTGAACTCTTTGGCCTGAATGCCAAACGTCACGTCAGGAGGAAACCTGGCACCATCCCTACGGTGAAGCATGGTGGTGGCAGCATCATGCTGTGGGGATGTTTTTCAGCGCCAGGGACTGGGAGACTAGTCAGGATTGAGGGAAAGATTAATGGAGCAAAGTACAGAGAGATCCTTAATGAAAACCTGCTCCAGAGCGCTCAGGACCTCAGACTGGGGCGAAGGTTCACCTTCCAACAGGACAACGACCCTAAGCACACAGCCAGGACAAGTCTCTGAATGTCTTTGAGTGGTCCAGCCAGAGCCCAGACTTGAACCCGATCGAACATATCTGAAGAGACCTGAAGATAGCTGTGCCCTACGCTCCCCATCCAACCTGACAGAGCTTGAGAGGATCTGCAGAGAAGAATGGGAGAAACTCCCCAAATACAGGTGTGCCAAGCTTGTAGCGTCATACCCAAGAAGACTCAATGTTGTAATCGCTGCCAAAGGTGCCTCAACAAAGTACTGAGTAAAGGGTCTGAATACTTATGTAAAAGTCATATTTCAGTTTTTTTTAAAACTGTTTTTGCTTTGTTATTATGGGGTATTGGGTGTATATTTGAGGGGGGGAAACGATTTAATCAATTTTAGAATAAGGCTGTAATGGAACAAAATGTGTGAATACTTTCCGAATGCACTGTAAAGTCTCCCTTTTCAGAAAACTGTATTTGTTAGATGTAATTGGATTCTAGTTGTTTCTTTGTGTTTCAGGCTAATTTAGGAGGTAATCTGAGGTTCATTCTGACCGCCTCGGCCCCCATCTCCCCCACCGTGCTCTCCTTCCTCAGGGCCACCCTCGGCTGTCTGGTGAGAATGCCTGCCTGGAGCTCAGGCTAAATGTATGGGTTTATTTCTGATGGGAGTGTGAGGTTTAGTGATGTGGAATGTGCCTGCTGCTCTGTGCAGATCTTCGAGGGTTACGGGCAGACTGAATGCACAGCAGGCTGCACCTTCTCCATGCCAGGTGACTGGAGTGCAGGTAAGGGGCTGGGTCTCTGACTATGGGAAACTATGTACTTCATATCTGGAGACAACTAGTCACTGATCAAATCAAATCAAATCAAATTGTATTGGTCACATGCGCCGAATACAACAGGTGCAGACATTACAGTGAAATGCTTACTTACAGCCCTTAACCAACAGTGCATTTATTTTTAACGAAAAAAGTAAAAATAAAACAACAACAAAAAAGTGTTTAGAGAAAAAAAGAGCAGAAGTAAAATAAAGTGACAGTAGGGAGGCTATATATACAGGGGGGTACCGTTGCAGAGTCAATGTGCGGGGGCACCGGCTAGTTGAGGTAGTTGTGGTAATATGTACATGTGGGTAGAGTTGCATAAATGAGTGACTATGCATAAATAATTAACAGAGTAGCAGCAGCGTAAAAAGGATGGGGTGGGGGGGCAGTGCAAATAGTCCGGGTAGCCATGATTAGCTGTTCAGGAGTCTTATGGCTTGGGGTTAGAAGCTGTTGAGAAGTCTTTTGGACCTAGACTTGGCACTCCGGTACCGCTTGCCGTGCGGTAGCAGAGAGAACAGTCTATGACTAGGGTGGCTGGAGTCTTTGACAATTTTGAGGGCCTTCCTCTGACACCGCCTGGTATAGAGGTCCTGGATGGCAGGAAGCTTGGCCCCAGTGATGTACTGGGCCGTACGCACTACCCTCTGTAGTGCCTTGCGGTCGGAGGCCAAGCAGTTGCCATACCAGGCGGTGATGCAACCAGTCAGGATGCTCTCGATGGTGCAGCTGTAAAAAATTTTGAGGATCTGAGGACCCATGCCAAATCTTTTCAGTCTCCTGAGGGGGAATAGGCTTTGTCGTGCCCTCTTCACGACTGTCTTGGTGTGTTTGGACCATGATAGTTCGTTGGTGATGTGGACACCAAGGAACTTGAAGCTCTCAACCTGTTCCACTACAGCCCCGTCGATGAGAATGGGGCTGTAGTGATCCCATTATCTGCATGTTGGTTATACTCTGGTACTGTGTGTGTGTGTCTCAGGCCATGTTGGTGCTCCCCTGCCCTGTGCCATGGTGAAGTTGGTTGACATTCCTTATATGAACTATTATGCCAAGAACGGAGAAGGAGAGGTGAGGTGGTAAAAAAGCATAATGGTATTACCGTGTTATTGTACAACATACCCAGCAAAAATGTATCACTCTGGCTGTTGTGTATCAAGTGCTGTTCCTATATTAACACTGTTCCTACCTTTCTGCTGAGTTAGATCTGTATCCGTGGCCACAGTGTGTTCCGGGGGTACCTGAAAGATGAGGAGAAAACAACAGAGGCCCTGGACAGTGATGGCTGGCTGCACAGTGGAGATGTGGGCCAGTGGCTACCGGTGAGCTGGGTTACCATAGAGGACAATGATCAGTAGATACTCCAGTCAGTCAAGTCATGAATGTGTGTCGGTATGTTTTCCTGTTAGAATGGGACACTTCGCATCATCGACAGGAAGAAGCACATCTTCAAGCTGTCCCAGGGAGAGTACATTGCCCCTGAGAAGATTGAGAATGTCTACATGCGTTGTGTCCCTGTGCTACAGGTCTTTGTGCACGGAGACAGCCTACAGGTATTTGATATACCAGTACTCTGTAGTCCCCTGTAGCTCAGTTGGTAGAGCATGGCGCTTGCAACGCCAGGGTTGTGGGTTCATTTCCCATGGGGGGCCAGTATGAAAATGTATGCACTCACTAACTGTAAGTCGCTCTGGATAAGAGCGTCTGCTAAATGACTAAAATGTAAATGTACTCTTGTATTCACTGTCAGAGAATAGTCCTTTTTCTAAGACACAGTCATTCTCACTAACACTGTTTTATGTTCTGTTTCCAGGGTCACCTGATCGGTATTGTTGTGCCAGACCCAGAAGTGTTCATTGACTGGGTTAAGGAGAGGGGAATCGTTGGAACCTATGAGGAACTCTGCCAGAATCCAGTATGTGACGTCACCCTGGTTCACTCAATAGGCCATCTGCACCTTTACAATGTTTGCTGTTGTTGGATTGTATCAACTCCGAAGGTACTGATTGAAATCTTCTCTCACTACAGGATGTGAAGAAAGAAGTGTTAGAAGACATGACAGCCGTGGGGAAGGAAGCTGGGCTGAAGTCATTTGAGCAGGTGAGGAATCTTCAACATGAATACAGGCATACATTGGCTTCATATTTGTAACTAATGGTGCCATGGTATATGAAGACATAAAACATGGTGTAACAGGAAACTGAATACAACATAAAGAGTCTGATCGTTTTGCCATCTCTTTCCTCACTTTTAGGTGAAGGACTTGCACCTGCATCCAGAGATGTTCAGTGTTAGCAACGGTCTCCTCACCCCCACTCTGAAGACCAGACGAGTGGACATCCACAGGGTCTTCCAGGAACAGATAACAAACATGTACAGCACCACTGCCATCTAGAAGACCTCTATCCACTGTAACATGCTCACACACACACCCTGACATTTACATGAACTGTGTCTGTGTTTCCTGTCACTGGACAAAGATATGCAGTTTGCTGGATCTCACTATAGTACTAAAAACTGAGCATGTAGCCAAGCCAACAGAGGCAATTCCTACAGTACCCAGCTCAATACTATCAAACACATTTGGTACGGTTTTCAGGGGATTCCAGTCTGATACCATGCTGCTTCTTGTACATCAGTGTGTCAAATGTATTTTCATTGTTTACACATCATAGACAGTAGGAACAACAACATTAAATGGGACCAAACTATTTTTGCTCAAATGTTGTCCTTGCACAAAACCTGTCCGTAGAAAAAAAAAAAAAAAAAAAAATTGGGTAGAGAGCCGTGAGCAAGTAGACACTAGGTGGGCCTGATAATGCCCCCCTGGACCACACTTCCATCCTCCTGACTAATATGTAGCATCTAAACCTCGTGAAGGCTGCTTCTTGCAGTGTAAATGAATTAATATTCAGGTGTGTATTCTAGAGATGATTGTTTAGTGTTCTCAGTGAAGCTGTGACTGAGATACAGTAGCTTTGAACAAGACGATATCTGCAGTAAATCATTCCCATTTACTGACCACAGTCCTTTCTCCAAGGTTATATAAGGGATTCAACTGAAACATTACCCTTAAAGACATGCGCCGGAACTTCTTTAAACCGCCGGCTTTGGTCTGGGTGTGTCAATGTGTAGTTCATACATTCATAAGCTATGAGTAGAATTACTGTCTTATCTCAATTAGCCACTAAATCCTTAGTTTGAAAGGGACTGTGCTGCGCCATTTTCCCCCACATGGGCCAGCCCCTAGCAATTTGAGTTCTAGCCAATGAGCTTCAGCCCCTCGCCATTTGAGTGACAGCTAGAAAGATGCATACACCGTAGCACCTGAGAAAGCGCAATGACGTGGTGCACATATAACATAATACATTTTCGGGGACTACTTTTGGCTTGTGAGCACTCACTACTTTTAAAACTACTGCCAAAAAATTATACAAAAGTACCGGAGAATCTCTTTATAATTTATGCAGTTGCCATTAAATAGTGAATTTGTAAATGGGAAGTGCATTTTAAACTGTGAATATTGATGAATTATGTTCACTGGGCACGATTGACTAAATCCCAACAATGTAGAAATATTATTGTATGTTGCTTTCCTTAATAAAGAAACTATGATGATTATCATTCGTCAATTTCATTTAGTTGAAGTGTATGACAAGGCAGATCACTGAAGGAGACACTTCTTACATCTATTTATTGCATGGTTGTTCATAGAAAATGACAATGGAAAAAGCTTTACTGAACACAATGTCTAAACAGATGGTAACAGAGCAACAACAAAACTGCTTAATAAAACCCACTAACATTAAAGAAACAGATTACAAGTCAAGTTTCTCACTCAATAACAATGTTAATTAAACTAGAACTATGTTTTGGAAAAGGTAACCAAATAATAAAAAAAATACACATTTAGTCAAGTATGCATTTTGTGCATAGCTGTCCACAAAGAAAAGGCACACATGTCAAGAGAGAATTCCCTCAAAACATGACAAATTGACAATCATTGACTAAGGAAAAATGTCATCCTCAAGCAGAAGCATTTGCCATTAATAAATATCCAACAAAGGTGGGTATAATAGTTAAGTGATGTACTTCAATCATATGCCATGATCTCATCTTAGGCAATAACTGATAGACATGGTCCTCTCCTGGTTTTATTTGATCTGGTATGTAGTAGGAACATTTACTGGAGAGTTTAAATCAATAATTAAACTGTTTGCACAAATAAAACTGAGCACAAACAATGGAACAAAGAACAACAAAGATATGGTCAAATGAAGGAAAGCTATGAGAACAATGAACAGTAAGTGTCACTAGAGGGAACAAGAGCGTTGCTTTTGAAAGGCAAGCACTCTAGCTTGACTTGTAAAACCTACATGAAGAACAAGATAAGGGTATAAGGACTATCTCAGTCTAAGACTATGTCAGATTGTCCTTTTCAGAAGCAGGGGACGATTAGGGAACAGACAAAAACATTTTGACACTCCTTTATACAGCCACCATCAGAGGTCTGAAGATTAAAGAGTTTGACGTATTATATCCATAGCCAGGAAACTGGAGTGGCTAGTGTTAAATACTACAGGTAACTTTCAATATAATTTTTACCCCAACAAATAAGCTCCCAGTCCACAATGCACAGGCTAGATCAGTGTGCATAACCCCTGAGGGAGGGAGAAATACAGAGATTCAACTGAATGTAGCTTTCTGACCTACACTTCATCCTCTAGTCTGCTAACATTTCAATATTAGTGTTCAAGACAGTACTACCAATATGGTACAATAAATTACATTTTGGTACGTACCTTGATTTGGAAATGATTACAAAACTCAAACGATCAAAACCGAGTATGCAGCTTTGAGAAGAAAGTGTGACCCACGGATATCCTATAAATCTACTAGTTCTATATGTAATTCTATGGTGTGACCCACAAATGAGTTCTTAGAACAGTTTCATTCCATGATTTAAAAAATATATATACATATTGGCTTATGATAATAGCACTTGGCTGATGGCTTGGTAAATGTGGCAGTTAAAATGCTTTGAATTGCTATCAGTGTTTCTTTAGACGTGAGAAAAGGGTCAGATGTGAGAGAGAGAGAGGTGGGAAGATGAGTGCAAGAAAGAAATTGATGATTAGGATATGACCAAAGCTGTCCATTTGCACAGTGAGAAGGATCCTGAAGAGCAATCCATTCACTGAGGTTTGAAAGGAGTCAAGGCCAGAGGTATAGAGCGAGCCCTTCCCCTCCTTGGTGTTCTCTCCCGCGCTCAGTCATCAGCGACAATAGACAGAGCACGCAGCTCACTCAGCTTGGCTTCATTCTCCCTCTCCCTCTGCTCATCAGTCAGCCCTGCCTGGTCGATCTGATCTGTCAACTCACTGAAGATTATGTGCATCTCCGTGAAGTACACCACCTGAAAGAGAGAAGGAAAGAGATGAATGGTTAATTTACTGAGGTGGAAGACTTTAAGAGGATGAGGATCTTACAGAAAGAGAGCAGTTGAAGTTCAAATCAGAACCCTGCCCAGTCCACCCCCCCCAATCTAACCACAGTTTACTTACAACATGCAGAGGCTCATGGTCCTATAGCCCTTCACCTCCACTAATGAGAAGCCATTCAGAAGTAAAGGAGCGAGCCCGTAGAAATCAAACAACTAAAACAAAGCCCAAACCCCAGCACTTCAGTGGGTAGTGACCCTGCCTTTTCTCTTCCAATCTGAACATGATACAGAGAGTGTTCGCTGAAAGCTTTCTTGACACATTCCACCCCTGTTTCTTCCCCCAGTTCATGAGTCAGGATCCCAGGAGAGATGCTTTGATGATTAATAGACTTTAATCACATTACAAGACTCCAAAAGAGTGGGCAGAGAATGAAAGTACTGGGAAATACAACCCCTTGAAACCCACACACATTTCAATATTTATTCATGCAGCGATGCATACGCTACAGTGCACTTAAGGGGGCATTTCTGACTTATTTGCAAATGCACACGTGTGTTCTGTTCTATATAGAGGCTGGAATAAAATAATAGCTGCTGGCAGATCAAGGGCGTTGAAGAATATAGACAGGCCATTTCAGATAGGAAAATGAAGATCTCTCTCTCTTGGGTAGGGAGAAGACGTAGCCACATGCTACTATAAGAGCTTTGTCACAGGAGGCATGCTGGTAGAGAAATGATCATGTAGCCATTTTCAACTAATTACATTTGAACAGTGATTAACTATCCAAATGTCTAATCCACATGACGTGTGCCAGCTGCAGCCCAGTTATATTAACAGAAGCCAGTTGGTATACCCAGTGACTAACCGGAAGAGGAACCCAGTTTGAAAAGCCTGTGTGTGTTTATACCGAACTCTGTCACTTAGACCACATGAGTGGGCCATGAGTATTGGGTTACCGGTGTATGTGGGGACAAAGCGGATATTTTTCATTTGAAAAGTGGCTTGGTGAAAAAGCTATGGGATACATGTCAGTTATAATGTACACCAGATCACGGTGTCCGGTCTGGGGTGAACATCCTTCATGTCATCCAGTCTCTACAATTATCCCAGTAATCATGTGCCATAAACTCCATGGACCACCTATGAAAAGAAGCCAATGGCCAAATTCAGACTTATTTATATGAACTATGTGATGTCTATTTATTTTCTTATTTTTATTTTATTTTACAAATGTCCAAATACACACCCTCGTCACCCTGGCCCTGATGACTAAATATTTTTTTAGACAGAGCTACACCAACTCATCTGACCTCAACTATGACTGTTTATTTCACTAACAATATTTCAAAAACATACAGCACGTGGGAGAAAAAGTTGCAGAACTTTGGCATCCAATATGATCCCATCTATCAATCTAATCTATCGATTGCCTCAGGAGAAGTGCAAAATAACTAAATCATTATGACAGTAGCGTGTCAAAAGAACATATCATTTCTTTCAGCTTGTACAAGCAGTACAGAACACCCTAACCAAGAACAACCACAGGGAATCCAAACTCAGACAATGTCTCAATTATCCAGCATCCGTACAGGTGGACAGGCACATCCGATCACAGCAGAGCATTGCGTCCCATTCATAGCCATTTCATGGAACTCCTGCTAGTGGTGCTAGAGCCTCAGAACAAAGGGAGGCATTGTGAGGGCACCCTGGGAGGCATGCAGCAGGTCCGGGGGAGAGGGAGTCCAGACTGCGCATGGGCTGCAGTGCTGACTGACCACCCAGGAGCGGCTGTGTTGGAGGAGTGGGTGTGTAGACCAGCCCGGCGCTGGAGTCTGTCCCTCTGACCCAACTGCATCCCCCCCCGCCTCCATTCACAGTGTGCTGGGGTTAGAGATGCGCTCTCTGAGCGAATTTGAGTCATCAGCGCTTTGCCTTCAGAGGGCCCTCATTACTGTTTCAAGTCATTATTTGCAGATGACTGAGTACAGACATGCTCCAGTGTCCATAGAGGACAGAGCACTGGAAAAGGGACACTAACAGTGGGAAGGCCCAAAATCTTTACCCAATCATTTTTATCCACAACCTGTCTCTATTAAATCCTAATCTTATAGGGCATTGGATCCATGTTTCTATAATCATCATTCTAGGGAGAGATAATGGCTCAGTGATGTCCAGTGTTACATTACAGAGCTACTATGGAGGAGATAATCCTGATCAGCTAACAAGATTACCAGAGACCTAATGGCAGCTGCCAAGTTCATACAGACTACCTCCAGTGACACCATCTCCTGAGCTGTGAAGATTAGGCTCCGATGCTGTTACACAAGTTTGTCTTTACTCAGCCAGCCCAGGAGGGCTCCATTCACTTCCAGTCTTCCAGTAACAGTCATCACATACAAGCCTTCCCACCTGTTCTAATGTCATAGAAATACAGGGGGAAAGTAAAGAACTCTGTCACGGAAGACAGAACTATGGATAGATCAAAGGACGCAAATATCAACTTCCTTTGAACCCCCTCTGGGCTTGCCTGGTAGTATCAATGACACAATGTCGGCTGAGTCTGATAGGCAGCTGTCGGTCTGTCAGTGTGTTTGGGGGTGGGGCGCCAGCCTGGCCTAGTGACGTGGCCACTACTCAATCTGATTAGGCGTGTGCCAGTTTCTATCCCAAAGGGGAAATGACATGGCTGGGGTGGGGTTAACGGTGTGGGGGTGCTCGGCTCAGCTGCTGGGCTGGATAAAGCGAGGCGGGCTCGCAGGTTAGAGGGGCTGGAGCCAGACAGACAGATAGACGGACAGACCTGGGCTTCCTGGGCTAATCAGGGAGGAGTGGGGCCGTCGCTGGGGGTTAATCACATTAAGACTGGGTGGAGGGAGACAGGGAGGATTACACACACTCTCTCCACTCCACTACCACTCCATGCTGTTGGTCAACAGACTGCTGGGCGCAACACTACACCCAAATCAACAATCTACTATAATGACAAATAAAACCCATTGGACACTTTTTGAACTGGGATTGGACAGTTAACAGGTTTTGTGTATCAACTGTATGCTCATACATACCTAGGCCTAATAATTCATAACTGTGCATGTATGTATGCATTACAAAGATGGCTCACAGGAGTTAAACTGGGTATGTCATGAGTGTGCACCCAGCCAGATACACTATAGCTCACCTGTGCCCGGATGAGTGCCTCAAAGCTGGGCTGAAAGTAGTCGATGCGGCTGTGGTAGAACTTGGGCATCTCGTCCAACAGCTGCTTGTTTTTGGCTTCAAAGTCCTCCCTGACTGGTCTCAGCTCCTCCCTGGCCTGGACGGGGGCAAACAGACGACAGGTTGACACTTCAACATACACACCTCATCATAACTATGGAGTCTCAACAATAATATTCCAGCTACGTTCTCAGAAATGTCATCTGTCAATAACAATGAAAAACAATAGGAGGAATGAAAATGTGTTCTGACGCAGAGAAAAAATAAAAAGACTAATCACGACCACAAGTGAGGAGGAGTGGGTTATGTGGGAAGAGTTGGCTGTGTGCAGACCACACCACCACTGATCAGGATTATGTGTGATGTATTAGCAGGTAGTCTATTGGTGGGCATAAAAAAAATTATATCTCAGTGAATATGCATGATTTAGAGTGCATGATGTGTGTGTATGTTAGTGGGGAGGGAGGAAGGTATAACAGCATTACCTGTGAGCACTAATGTTTATCTTAAGTATCTACTCTGTGTGTCCGTCCTTAGTGAGTCTGTTTAACTGGTGTGGTAGTGTTTTGTCAAGATCATTTCTCTAAGAGCTGTGAGATTCAAAGGCCAGGGAGATAGGGGGCCTCTTTAGGCTTTGTGCCCCTGACAATGCTTTTCTCATTGTGTGTGGGTGGGCAGCCATGTGAGGGTGTGAGCCCAGGCAGTGCTGCATTGATATCTGTGAATATGTGTGTGCTGCCGAAGAGGTCTCGGTGAGTGTGTCTACAATACTCAATTACGTGCCTGTATATGTGCAGCAGTGTCTTTTCAAAAGGCAATACTTGAGAGCCTGGTAGCTTGCGTGGGTGAACAGAGAGCACATGTACAGTATACATGCACTCAACTATTTTTGTTCATATCCAGTCAACATTTGTACCTTGTTCACTTCTTGATTGTATTGAAACCACTGACACCATGCTAGGACTTCTGCTGCCCAACGGAGATATGGAGTGAGAGTTAAAGTGGCAACACGTGCCAGCAGAAGCTGTTAGCACTGTTCCGTTACATAGAAAGAGCAGTGTACCTGGTGTAGTTTGACCATGGTGGGACCCGTCTTCTCCTTCTCTTCATACTTCTCTACCTTGGACTGTAACCTCTTGTAGTCCTGTAGAGCCTGCTCCCTTCGTTTCACGGCCATGTTGAGGCTGGGGAACACACTGCTGTACCTGAGACACACACACACACACAGAGACACAGCGAATGAGATCTGACACACAGAGGCAGACCTTGAGAGACAGAGAGAGAGAGAGAGACAGAGACACAGAGAGACAGAGAGAGATAAAGATACTGAGAGCCTGCTGGACAACACATCATGGAGACAAAGTGACTGCTTTGTACCTGAGATGTGGACATAATGAGACATGACATTGCTCTGTGTACATATCTGAATGATACTTCCTACTTATTGCATTGTGTCCTCAATTCAGACCAAGAAATCTAAACAAATCATGCGAAATGAACCCAAGGTGTTGTCTTAAAATAATAAACATGTGCATTGAAAAAAGTATTGCACTTTAAGATCGAAAGTACACTACCGGTCAAAAGTTCTAGAACACCTACTCATTCAAGGGTGTTTCTTTATTTTTATTATATTCTACATTGTAGAATAATAGTGAAGACATCAAAACTATGACATAACACATATGGAATCATGTAGTAACCAAGTTACTACAAATATATTTTATATTTGAGATTCTTCAAATAGCCACCCTTTGCCATGATGACAGCTTTGCACACTCTTGGCATTCTCTCAACTAGCTTCACCTGGAATGCTTTTCCAACAGTCTTGAAGGAGTTTCCACATATGCTGAGCACTTGTTGGCTGCTTTTCCTTCACTCTGTGGTCCGACTCATCCCAAACCATCTCAATTTGGTTGAGGTCGGGGGATTGTGGAGGCCAGCACTCCATCACTCTCCTTCTTGGTAAAATAGCCCTTACACAGCCTGGAGGTGTGTTGGGTCATTGTCCTGTTGAAAAACAAATTATAGTCCCACTAAGCCCAAACCAGATGGGATGGCGTATCGCTGCAGAATGCTGTGGTAGCCATGCTGGTTAAGGTTTTTTTTTTTTTCAGCCCTCTAACCAATTGTACTATTATGTGTGTTTTTCCGCGTTATTTGTAATTTATTCTGTACATAATGTTTCTGCCATCGTCTCTTATAACCAAAAAGATCTTCTGGATATCAGGACAGCGATTACGCACCTCGTATTGGACTAAGATTTTTTCTTCAACAAGTCGGATGCGAAGGATATCCTACAGACACCTGACAAGGCCCAAATCCCCGTCATTCGCATGAGAAAGAGACGGAGATATCGTGGACGTAGGTCGGGGTGCCTTGTAAGGATCCGACGGCGAGCGAGTAAACTGCCTCTTCCATCAATCCTATTAGCCAATGTTGTTGTTTTATTTTAAATGCATTGTTGGTTAAGTGTGCCTACGTTATATCGGCATCGAACATGTCACCCTCCCTAGGAGAGGGGGTGACCTCGACAACTTATTGTTAAAACGAGAGGCTGCCTGGATCTTTAATTTAAAGACCCTTGCCCCCTTCGGTCTCAATGTAGACTTTGATTTGAAGCCATTCTTGTGATTATTGTGATTTTGCTATTCATTGTAAATGTTTGTGGGCCTATGTAGCCAAGTTGTATCTATGATCGTATGCTATCCATGTTTTTTGTGTGTTCTGTTTATCTGTGAATTAACCAATGCTATTAAGCCACACCCGGCCATGATTACAGACACCTGCGTGTGTCCTTTGACACTATATAAACTAGTGACCAGCAGTGTTTGGCATTATACCCTGATGAAGACAGCTTGTCTGTCGAAACGTTGGTTATTAGGTTATTAAATGATTGCATCTGAGCTCCTAGAGTGTGCAGCTCTCCTTTTCTTTTTCAAGCCACGATGGTTAAGTGTGCCTTGAATTCTAAATAAATCACAGACAGTGTCACCAGCAAAGCACCCCCACACCATACACCTTCCTCCTCCATGCTTTACGGTAGATCATCCGTTCACCCACACCGCGTCTCCCAAAGACACGGTGGTTGGAACCAAAAATCTCCAATTTGGACTCATCAGATCAATGGACACATTCCCACCGGTCTAATGTCCATTGCTCGTGTTTCTTGGCCCAAGCAAGTCTCTTCTTCTTATTGGTGTCCTTTAGTAATGGTTTCTTTGCAGCAATTCAACCATGAAGGACTGATTCACGCAGTCTCCTCTTAACAGTTGATGTTGAGATGTGTCTGTTACTTGAACTCTGTGAAGCATTGATTTGGGCTGCAATTTCTGAGGCTGGTAACTCTAATGAACTTATCCTCTGCAGCAGAGGTAACTCTGGGTCTTCCATTCCTGTGGCGGTCCTCATGAGAGCCACTTTCATCATAGCGCTTGATGGTTGTTGCGACTGCACTTGAAGTAACTTTCAAAGTTCTTGAAATGTTCCGTATTGACTGACATACATGTCTTAAAGTAATGATGGACTGTCGTTTCTCTTTGCTTATTTGAGCTGTTCTTGCCATAATATGGACTTGGTCTTTTACGAAATAGGGCTATCTTCCGTATACCCCCCGTACCTTGTCACAACACAACTGATTGGCTCAAACACATTAAGAAGGAAATAAATTCCACAAATTAACTTTTAAGAAGACACACATGTTAATTGAAATGCATTCCAGGTGACTACCTCATGAAGCTGGTTGAGAGAATGCCAAGAGTGTGTAACGCTGTCATCAAGGTAAAGGGTGGCTATTTGAAGAATCTCAAATATAAAATATATTTTGATTTGTTTAACACTTTTTTGGTTACTACATGATTCCATGTGTGTTATTTCATAGTTTTGATGTCTTCACTATTATTTCTACAATGTAGAAAATAGTAAAAATAAAGAAAAACTCTTGAATGAGTAGATGTTCTAAAACTTTTGACCGGTAGTGTAGACTGAACAAGAAAGAATAAGCTTTCTCTAAACCACTGACAACTTTTTGAAGTGAGTTCTCCTGGATCGATACGCAAGCAGCACAGAAAAGTGTCCTCAAGTAGGAGACATCTTAGTGTAGACTGGAGTCACTTTCAAACAACCATGGAGGACAATGGTCAGTCAAACCGACTCCAATATATTATTTAACTACTATAGTGCAAAATGGCATGAAACAATTAATTCGGTTTCAATGATTTTATTCAAAATGAAAATATAATCTTTCTGAGAGGATCCTTGTCTTAGGTACTAAAAATAGGAAACACATTTGTAACTTAGCAACAGGAGTCCGTGCCTCATCCTGGGACTTACTTTGCTCCAACACACTGGTTCTGTGCATTCTGCTTTTACAGGAAATATAGTACAGAAATGCAGCTACGCCACTTCATTTGCAAAATACTTTACATTTTCCAAACTAGAAAACTAAAATGGTTGCCAACCAACTAGATACCTGGATCTTCACACATTTGAGAGCACTTTAATATACTTTGTATGATTCTATATAGGCACAGTAAGTCAGGTGTCACATTCACCATGCATGTTTATTTACCCAGGTCTAAGTTTCATAACCTGATGACATTGCTTTCTTTTCTATGATTCATCTGGGAGGATTCCATACAGGCTGTGGCTAGCTATAGCTTAGTTCCTTGAACGTCTGCTAATCTCACTAGTGTAAAGTGTGCCAGTGATTCATATTTTTTCCTCAAACAATGAGCCAATTCTCCTGGTTCTCTACTTAATATACCACAGGTGAGGGGAATCCACAATGGACCTGACAAGAGGTTGTGAAATCCAGTCTGCCTCAACAAAGAGTAGAGTAAGCCCTGTGAGGGGGTGGCCAGCTGGGGTGGGGGGAGTTGGGCAGTGTGACGTGACGTGACCTGGGCTCAGCCTCAGACAAGCTGTGGATTGTTTCCCACAGGAAGTTGAGAAGGGAGCGGCCCTGTATCGTTTTGCCGATGTCACAGAGCCCAGCCCCACGACCCACGCTCTCCCTCTATTTATAAAACAACACTTTGGCCCAGTTTACGGCAGGCAGGCAGGCTGGGTGGATGCCTTCCTCTAGTAGTTTACGATCTGTCTCTTGCTCCAGTGTAGTGTACACATACTTCAAGTGCCAGAGGATTACACAACCGCCCCCTAAGCACGAATGCACTCCAACATGATTCACTTCAGACTACATCACAATAGAGTAGTAATGACAACATTTGGGTCACTCACACATGATCACATTGTAGGTAGGAGGTATCTGGTAGAGTAGTGACAGTCAGGAGGACCACTGCTTCCTTTCTCTTAATGATGTGACTGAGAGAACACCTGTGTGAGCCGATATAAGGAGCTCACTGTTCTAATGCTGTCATACCTAGAGGTAGAGCTCCAAGAGGATGCCAATGTGTCTGTTGTGCTCAGACTGTGTAAAGAGGAGCTCTGTGGGAGCCTGGCTGACTCAGCTGTAACTGTGACATGTAGAGGAGTGACAGTGGCTGTGTTTGAAGGTCACTGTATACATTGCGTAATGATAGTTTGGGATCGCTGGCTGGGCTGGACATTTCCCTAGATGTCTCTGGTCTGACTTCCACATACTGACCAGTCAGCTCCAGACCAGCCTATATTTACTCCGGCCTCGTCTAGGCCTAGGCTCTGCTGGACCAAGGGCGCACCACCACTGTCTATGTGACAGGTCAGTCAGGGTGTGGTGGCTGGCTGGATGGAAATAGCAACTGGATGAGAGCTTGTTTATGACAAGTTGATCCACAGTCGAACCGACACAACCAGACAGCCAGCCAGCCAGACAGTCAGCCAGACAAGCCCCAGTCTGGACCAACCAGCCCAGCCGGAGCGGAGCAGAGACCTTGTTCTGGCAGGTTGATTGACCGCTCCACTGAACACTGTCACTATCCCATGACTAAAGGCCTCTCTAAGAATATGTTCACCTTCTATGTCTCATTATCTATGAAATGAGGAAGTAACACAGTGAAAGCCAAGCTTACGCAATCACATAAGGCATTATTTATGCGTAGTGAAAATACAAAGTCACTGTAGGCTAAGTGTTGTGTAAAGGCTAGAGACAGCGTGTTGCGTACGTGCCAGCAGAACCTCTGTTTCGATAGGGAAGGTTTGCTCTGCCACAACATGCCTCATGCTTTGTCTCTGTTGATCGAAAGTGAGAGGACGACTCACGCAAGCTAG